CACACACACACACACACACACACACACACACACACACACACACACACACACACACACACACACACACACACACACACACACACACACACACACACAGAGAGAGAGAAGAAAAGCATCACTTTTGATTTTTGAGGCTGGGTAGAAGAAAAATCGATAGATGACGAGGAGAACAAGAAGGTGGGATGGAGATGAAGAGCAGATCGAACACAGTGGGTTTCAGTTATCCACGCATGTCTTCCGCGGAGCCATTTTCGAGTATCAAAGCACGGTGGGAAGAAAAAGGGGGGAAAGCAGAGTATCCAAGTGTCCAAGAGGGTAGAAGGTTGGGAAAGGAACTCTACTATAGAGGTGAAAACCACACTGGCGGACCATCGACGAGCCTGACCCTTGGAGCATAGGAGGCTCTCACGGAGGCTGGACAATCGAGGGGCGTCACCGAGCCATGGGATCACATGGTATGATTGGAGCAAAGATGGAGCGCAGCCGCTGTTATGTGAGGAAAGGGACAAAGAAAGAACCTGACGCGGCAATGTAGGTTTGGATAGTAGAAAGAGGATGATGAGGCAAAGAAGAAATTGTCCTTGATGTCCGAAATACAGGAGAGTCCACTTTTCATGGGGGCATGTACAGTGAAAGTGTCTCTGACCGACATGGAGCTGCGTGATGCGTTGAAGCCTGATCTGTGACGAGATTTTGTATAGTCGCTTGCTGAAGACGAACAACCTGATTACCGAGCACTTGAGATGTAGAAATGTAGCTGCTGTGATGATTCAGCTGGGTTTGACTACATTCAGACCTGGGATACCCCACCAACCGGTCTTCCGGGCACGCCTCTCCTGCCGTTCCCACCAGCCACGGGCTGAGCAAACTGTCCAGGCTGAGAATTCTCGTACATGGAGATCAAACTTTCCTCATCTGATCTCTGATTCGAGCCGTGCAGGAGAGGAGTAGGGCTCGCCGACGATTGGTACGATTGGTACGAGGCATGCGAGCTGTGGCCGTAGGATGGGGTAGGTGAGCCGAAACCGCCACCTACGGCCCCGCCAGGGTAATCCGGTACTGGCCAGGGCTTGGGGGCCGAAGTGGGCTGTGCAGCTGCTGGCCTGATCATGCGTGATCGACCATAGTTGGCTGATGATGGCTCTGTAGTCGCTCCCGCTCCCCTGTGGGTGTGCTGTTGCGACCAGTGATTTGCGGTGATGTAATGGCCCTCCTTGAGCGGCGCGGCTGCATTGGAAGACACACGGGCCGAATACAGAGGGGATCCTTGTCGCCTTGGTTGTTGTGGTTGTTGCTGCTGTTGCTGTTGTGCTGCTGAGAGAGGATGAGCGTTGGCAGGGAGTAGAGCGCTCGAGTCCCCTGGCACAGCGTATTGTGGTGCGGTAGCAGAGCCACGGGCTGCCTCGGCCATTTGAGCAGCTGAAAGATACTCATCGTCGAGGAGGCCAATGGTGGAATTTCGCCGACTTTGATCCGGAGTAGAATCAGCATGGGAGCTGATCTCTAGAGGGTGTTGACGTCGTGCGATGGGCCCACCTCCTGCATCTGCCGAGTTGTATACTCCTCCGGGATTCAACTTTACAATACCGCCAGAGTGAGTCCGGTGCAGGGTGAGGTTGGTCCCACGGTAGAGACTACTCTTTCTTTCCAAAGACTTTCGACCATGGTCGCCTGACGTGCGACTATAGTCTGCTCCACTGATCGGACGACGATGCGCAGACGGCGCATGTGCATCCCGGTAACCGCTACGCCGTTGGTTTTGTGCATAGTTTGAACCCGGTCTATTGGACTTTGTCCAGTCGCCAGAGGTACGCGAGCCATACGTGTCTGTTGATGCCATGCGTCCGGTATTGGCAAGAAAGGGAAGGTCGCGCATCGAGGAAAAGGAGCTATAGCTCGTCTCGGCCATGTTGCTCCTTGTGAAGGAACTGCCGCTGTAGCCTCTTGGTCCTGATCCGAGCATCTTCGACCCTCTGTGAGGCTTGTAGAGTGTATCAGAGCCAGAACCCGATGCCTCTGAGGTAGGGCTCGAAATGGGTGCACCCGCGTCAGAAGGGCGGGCATCGGTATTGAGGGCAGAGGTGGAGATTCCGGGACTGATGTGACCCGAGTGGCCACCTCGTACTCTGAGATCAGTCTTTGCCTTTGCCCTCTCCTGCATAACATGTTTCGAGGTGGGCATGTGAGACTGCAAGATGACATAGACGAGGGCTACTACGGCGACACCCAGACCGCCACAGACGAGAACAATGGCGCCTTCTGGTACCTTGCCATCTATGAGTACGGTGTCTGCATCGGCACCTGTTGTATTGGCCCTCTTGGTGATGACTTCGGCTAATGCAGTGGGAGCATTTGCTAGTGCCATGGTTGAGACGATGGCCACGACGACTGCTTTGGCAGAGTAAGTTCTTGCTGCCATCCGGTCTGAACGGCGCCTATGTAAGATCATCCTGACGTCCGCAATTGGCACGTCGAGGAGGGGCAAAAGTGGAAAAGGGAAGGAGGGTAGGAGGGGCCTCGACAGAAGTGTGAGATTGTATCCGGTGTTCTCTAGGCGTAGTCGTGGTTGCAAAGAAATGTAGAGTAGAAGGAGAGGGGGGATCCAGGCGGTGCAAGGGGTCCAGCGCGAGACGGCGATGCAGTGATCGGAGAAGACGCCGGAAATTCCTTGGCAGGAGGACGACTACTCAGCGAGTGGTTCCGCCTGAATAGAGTCTACCTAGAGTAGCTCTCAGCACGATGTTGGGCTCCGAGGAGGATGATAGTGATAGATACCCTTGAGCGTATGCTGAGGGTAGGAGATGGTAAAAGTAGAATGGTTGGCTTGGGTTTGGCCCTGGTTGGTTGGTGACTTAATGGGCCTGGGGGGTGGGCGAGTGGGTGTGGTGCCGAATCGGCGAAGGAACGACCGATCCGGTCGATGGATTGCTTCTGGTCTCTGTCCAGGCGCCGGCGGAGGGGCGTGGCAGGCAGGGCAGACGACGAGGCCGTCGCGTGGTGGTCCCTCTGACGCAACCCTTTCCCCCGCGCCGTCGCCCCCATCGACGTTGGCTGTGATTTCAGGTACAGGGACTTGCATCCAGGGGCGTGTGGCCTGTCACTGCCAACTGGCGCTGCTTGAAATGCATCCCATTCACCTCACCACGCCGGCTTGGCTTGGAGCCCCGATGCCCCGAGGCTGAGCTGAGCTGAGGCGGAAGACAAGCGCTGCCGTAGGGGGGGGGGGGGCACTGTGCCAGTGCTGGTGCTGTGCGGGCGGCCATTGTTCTTTTTTGGCGGCGAATTCTGGACCAACTCCTATTCTGCCTCGGCGGCATCTCCCGCACCTTCTGAGACTGACGGTAGCGGCCAGTCCGCCCGCCGGGCCAGGCTAGGGAGCGTGTGAGATTGTGGGTGAACTACTCCAGCCACACACCAACCAGCAGACGCAGGCAACAGAGCCACGGCCGGCACGGCATCCCCTTCCATCGCGGCACGCCTACCCACACACGCATACATACATGCATACATGCATACACACACACACACGCACACACACACCTACACACAGGAACAGCTCCTCTTCTCTTCTCCCTTCTCCATTCCCAAGCGAGAGTCAAGATGGAGACGGCATATGCATCCTCCAAGCCTCCCTCACACCAACGGAGCAAGCAGAGGTCAGCTAACAAAAGACAGACATCGCGATCGCAGTCAAGAGCAAACTCAGGGTCTCTCTGTGTGTGTGTGCGAGAGTGTGTGTGCGGGGAATGGAAAAAGGGGTCGACGGGACGAGAATAGCGGTGCAGGCGGGTTCCTTGCGCGGCTTGATTATCGGCAGGCTCCACTGGCACTGGCAGAGGGCGACTTACTCGAACCTCGCTAATAACCCTCCTCTCCCTCCGTCCAAGGGATACCGCCGCACACCACCCTACCGAGGGCACCGCTCTGAGTCGTCGTCGTCGTCCTTCTGAAAGCCAAGGGGGGATGTTGGAAACAGTGTGCGTATGCCTCTGAAATCCAAGCTTCGTGTCCTTGGCGGGGAGGGTGAAAAATAAGCCGATAGGCTCAGGGCTTAATCAAAAAAAGCAAAAGCAAAAGCAATCGGTCTACAAACAGCAACCACCGACCGGCGGGACCGCACGCCATGTCTCTCCCTTTCCGGCGGATCAGGTGAAGCCTCCGTCGCCGTCGGCTCCACGAGGGCCGATCCGAGCGCCGGGCTGAGACAGCGCTGGGCCTCTGAATTGATCACGGCCTGTGCTTTAGTGGACTGAAAATCATCACATCACATTGGATAGAGAGAGAGAGAGTGCAAACGATGAATTGTTTCTGATTCAATAATGAATGGATTGGATGGGTTCGATGTTGTATGAATAGACGACCGGAGGATATTCACAATGCAAAAGAGGTAGATGAATCAAGGATGGTGGGTGCCAAGGCTGGGCACGCAGATGACATCTAGGGCTCGAGAAGAGGAGGAGGAGGGGGACAGGGCACCGCTTGCCGATTTCCCATTCACCCGCCAACCTACCGCGCCAATACCAACTTCCCGCGTCTAGACCGCAATTGTCCGTCCACTACCGTCGATGAGCTCACCAAAGAGACCTTGAGCACTCTCCTCGCTCCTCATCTGGAGCATGTAGATGATACCAGTGTGCTTGCCTGCATCGCTAATCTCCACTGCCACGCCCACCTTGCCCACCCTCTCTACACCATCGGGCAGAATAATCGTCGAGACGAGCGTCTTGCGGTCGTTTTCCACCACTAGCTGACGCTCATCAGCGGGGAGGAGGTGGTACAGCTTCAGTCGGGCGTTGCCGAGGGACTTCCACTGCGCATGGCTCTGCTTGATGTACAGTCGACACCTCATCTGTGCCGAAACGGTAGAAGTGGTAGGTCCCGTAGGCTTCAAGACAGGACTGCTGGGTGGACTGTAGTCCGGAGTACCCTTGAGATCTCCATCCCTCATCATCTCAGAAGGGAGCTTGTAGCCGCCACCACTCTTTCCACTCGATGCTGAACGAGTTCGAGCGACTGGTGCATTGGCAGCATTCCTGGCCTGCTCGCGAAGATTGGGAGCTGAAGGATGGCGCGATGGCTCTCGATGCTGCGGGGCCGAGAGCTGTCCTCCCATACCCAGGGCCTTGGGGGGCGATCCCGATGCCCCCGGTCCTCCCGCTCGTGGGCCTTGTGGGCCAGGGAAGGGAGATGCCCTTCCGCCGGCCATCGAAAGCGGCGTGTCTGAGCGGCTGCCCATAGGCGAGGGGTTCAATCTGGGCGGGCCCAGGTTCCCGTCCATGAGACTGTGGGCCTTTCCAGGCGGGGGAAGCGGTGGTCGCATCATCATCCCACCATTCACGTTAGGGCCCCCCAGATGAGGGGAACTCTTGGGGATCGGCGCAGGTGGGAAGGGGCCACCGTTCATTGATCGCCCTGAGGAGGAAGATGAAGGAGGATGAGGAGGTCCCATAGGCGCTGGCCTCATCGGTGGTCCACCCATAAAAGGACGTCCGAAGATGGAGCTCCCCCCTCCATTTGGTGCAGACGACAACGAGGCATCAGACGTCGAGATGGGCGATGCAACACGGGCAAGACCCGGCACGCTTGAGCTTGACAAGCCACGTGCACCTTCCATAGAGCCAGCACTGTGAGGAGGAGACGTTGATTGTGAAGGTCCGGCTCTGCCAAAGGCGGGCGTCGAAGGGGCCGCAAGACGGAAGTCCTGCTGCTGCTGTTGCTGTGCCCCTTGCAGATTTGGCCAGCTTCCTGGCACCAATGCGCCTGGCCCTGGACTCCCTATCTCTGGAGAAGACAGGCCGAGTCCTTTGATGAGAGCGGGCCCTGCCTGGATTGGGGCACCGCCAAGAGGTGAAGGACCTGAAGCTCCTGGAATTTGCACCTTTGGTGCCAGATTCGAAGCAAAGGTATGGCAGTCCTCGAAAGCGGCGAGCCAAGTTTCCTTCTCCTCCCTCGAAGTCATGTGTACCTTCAGGGTCTCTTTCTTCAGAATGGTGATCAGGAGCGCATTGCCAGGGCCAGCCGCGTCGACCACCTTCAGGTGCTTGCCGGCCAGGGGAGGGAAGAGCAACCACATTGCTTCTGGACCCAAGTTCCTCTCGCTTCTCTCACTAGGCGTCATTCGATCGCAGACCAAGAACAGATCGGTGAGGAGGTAGATGTGACCTCTGCGCCATGTCGTCTCTTGACCGGTTGACAGCGGAACAAAGTCAATCACAACGTCTGCCGACCTCCTCAGTTCTCGCTTGAATGGCAGAGTCGGAGGATTGATTCTCAGCTGGCACTTCTTTGGCTTCATGGAGAATATGTCAAGCACCCTGTCCACAGCGAGCGTCCGTTCCAGATCATCCGCAGGATAGAGACCGACGGTGCTGACAGGTGAGACAGTCTCGGATTGCGTGCCAGGAGAAGACTCCGAAGGTGCTGATGTCATCAATGGCGGCGGACGAACCTGTTGCCCAATCATAAGTGGACTCAGAGGCGCCTCAGCGCCGCCAGGTGTCGAAGGGACATCCAGGTTGGCCAGTGAAGTGTTGGAGAAATCGAGCTTGCCGAGCTTGGCCGCCAGACTGTTCCCAGGCTGCGTTGAAGCGGTTCCGACGGCGGTGTAGCTGGTGGAGGACGCGGACGATGTGGCTGGTGTCGGCTTGGCGGTGGGCTCGGCAGGCCGCACCTTATCTATCTTGAAGGTTGCAGTCACCGGAGAGTGATCCAACACTCCCATGCTGATCTTCTTCGTCGACTTTTCCAGTAGCTCGTCCAGCTTGTCATTGGCTCCGACGAGCAATTTGTGATCGCTCCTGCCCGGATGTGTGCTCTTCAGAAGGCGCGAGTAGAGCTTCTTGTAGTACTTGAGCCTAATCTCGGGCAATGCGAAGAGGGAATCCAATGTCCACACCTCGCTGGGTGACCGCTTCCTGTCCGAAAAGACCACTGGTGTACCGTCTGCATTCGTGGACGATGAGATCTCCCCGAGCAGCTCCGGCAGCTTCGTGTTCTTCTGTACACTAGACCAATTGTCAAAACCTGCAAAGTAGTTCTCGCAGTACCGCGCGTATGGCACTTCCAAGTCATCGATCCACCGCATCAAAAGATCACCAAGAGCACGAGGAGAAGACGGACTAGGTCCAATCTCTTTGAGCGATTTCAGGAACGATCTGTTCACTCGGTAGATAGCCTCGATATTCCGGAACATGGTGTCCAATTCAGGAGGAGGGAAGTTCGTTCTGCTCCAGGCCGCGGCGACTTTCTGCAGGGCGATACGAGGCAACCGTGTAGGCTCCGTGAGTCAGAGAAACCCAGCGCGACCAATGCCGCAACGCAATCAGATACTCACCCGGATGATCTTGCCCAGCTCGGCTACATAGGCGGTCTCAGTCTCTATCAGGTCCTGCAGAGGATTGGTCTTCTTCCCGGCTTTACCCTTCACCGGGCTGTTTTCCGCACTGTCGCTCTCGAGGTTCATGAGTGCGCTCACATCACCAGCGGTAGATGGTGTCGGCTTTCCAGCCTCAGTCCCCTCGGACCCAGAAGACCCAGTTGCGAACCCACTCATTCCGAGATTGGGACTCTTTAATTGGTCGGAATACGCAAAGGCCGACTGAGATGCTCTCGCGCTGGATTCCAAAGAAGTCCTCTGACTTGCGCCCTTATGGTCAAAGGATTCGTTTGGTGTGGTCAAGGGCGTGGAAGGGCTTGTTGAGACACCAGAAGTGCTAACGGTAGAACCTCCAGACCCTCTGGCGACAGGAGGGAGATACCGGCTGTTTGATGCTGTGCTGTTGTTTGAGTCCCTGCGAGGATCGGTAGACGCCGAGGAGGGGGAGGATGTGCGGATCTGCCGATGGCTGTAGTAGGACGACGGGCCTTCCGTTGAGCTGGACGAGGAAGGGGAGAACAATTGCGTCTGAAGAGCTGCCAGCCCTCCAAAGTTGGCAGTATTACTCATGGATGATGGAGGAGCCAACACTGCTACTCCGGACTGCCCTGCTCCTGGAGGCGACTGAAGCGGAGGCGGTCTGCGAAAGGGAGGAGATGCAGAGATCACTGACGCAGCAGGTGAGGAAGAATGATATGGATAGGGGCGAGCAGGCCTCTGGGAAGGCGATCCTTGTTGAGGCAAGAAGGGTAGCGGTCTATAACGGAGGTGCGCCTCGTTGGAGAATCTACCGTTCTGCAGCGATGGATGTCCTCTCGCGAGATCAATCGACAAGCTCTTGTGAAGGGCTGCTGGGTGAGACAGAGGGGGTGGGCGCGGAACGAGCTGGCCAGGTATGAGGGGTCCCGAATAGAAAGTTTGAGGTGCAGGAGGTGCCGGTGACTGGGAAGGGTGGGGACGTGCCGGTAGGAAGCCGTTGTGTGGGCGAAATGGCGACGCTGAAGGGTACTGCCGTAGGCCTGCTGGAGAATCAGGAGAAGAGTCGAAAGAAGGGAGTCTGGAAGGAGGGAGGCTAGAAATAGAGGGCCTCTGTGCGTGGTGTTGATCCTGTTGGTGGTACATCACCGCAAAGGGGGGAAGCAGAGGGGCGACGAGGAGGAGAGATTGAGGTGATGGTTAGTAAAGTCAGGCCTGGTAGTAGACGTGCATGTACGCCTTGGCACAGTTCCATTGCCATCACGGCCCCCTTGCGCCCTGGGAGGTCAAGCGCTCCGCGGCATTGCCGTTCCTGACTGCTACTGCTGTCGTGCCGGCGGCAGTTCATTAACCGGGCCCTCTTTACATCCTGCTCCGTCACCTACTTGTTCTGTCTGAGCAGAAGCAAGGCTATCCGTAATGCTTCGTCCTCCAACTCACCTCGAACGTTGGCCTATGATCAGCTCGTGACAGCGATGTCTAATCAGTAGAAGCAGAAGTGAACACCAAGACCGGATCGCGCGTTTGAGGGCGGTCTGGTGTATGTGATGCCAAGAAGAGAAAGAAAACAGTCTGTCGAAGGCGTCTGGTATATTGAGGAAGCCCGAGATTGATCGCAGATCACGATTCGGGAATTGTCTAAAAGGAAAAGGCGGACGTGACAGTGCGGGTCTAGCTCGATGATGTCCGTTCTTCTAGTAAGGTGAACGGTTGAGCTGTGAGGGTCAAGGCGACCAATGGTATCGATGCAGGAAATCCGTTGTGGCAAAGAGGGTGGGTGAGTGAGAGAGAAAGGTAAAGAGGGAAATCGGATCTCGTCGAGGAGCGACGACGAGGTGTGAGATTGCAAAGTAAGGAAGAGGAAGGGCGTCTCACTGCTCATCGTCCCAACGGAACAAACACCAGCCGGCAGCCGTGGGCCTTCCTGGTCGTCTCGTCTGCCTGTCTCTCTGCCGCGTCTGTCTGGGCCTCTCGCGATTGTGTGCGTGTGTGTGTGTGGGCGTGTGCATCCCGCCTGCTTGGCCGCCTGCCCTCGTCGGTGACTTCTTCAGGGGCCAGGCAGGGCAGCACACGAGGAGCGCAAGACTCGCCGCCGCCGCCCAACACGTTCGGCCGGCAGGCAGCCTGTCCGAAATCAACACGCGACGCCACGGAATGGACGCAGCAGCAGCAGCAGCAAGCAAGCCCGCCTTCCGCGCCGTACCACCCGCCTGTCCCCTCAACCGGTCCGACTTCAACGTCGGCTGGCTTGTCAAGGGCCCATGCCCGCGGAGCATTCGCCGCCGACATCGACATCCATGTCAAAGGTCATGCTTCTAGAATTCTACGCCACTGATGACGATGGTCGATGCCCTTTTGATCGCCGAAGCTGTGACTAGTGTACATTGCGAGCACTCGCTTGACCCTCTCCCTGCAGAGGGCCCCTTTCCCTGACCCCTCTCTTCCCCACTTTCTCCAGCTCTCACATGCCGACAATCCCTAGAGTGACTCTTGCTTGCCGTCCTCCAGCTTCGATGCCCAATACGCCTTACCAAATGTCGCAGCTACGATAAAGGGGAAGATGATCGTGGCATCACAGTACACCTTGACGCTACGTCCGCCCCTTTCCGCCGACTTGATCTTGCCCCAGGAGATGGCCTCGTCAGGACGAGCCCCCGAGTCTGAACCGTCGAACTCTTGGCCAGTGTTGATGTACACGGCATAGTCCGCTCCGTTGCGCTGAGGGAGTGTCAGGGCAAACCACCGCGAGACGCATCAGATTTCATTCGCTCCCCTTGCCAGCCTACGTATAGAGCTTCTGGTCACTCACAAAGAGCATAGCATTCGCTATTTGATGCTTGCACACCCCTCCGCCCAGAACGATCATGCCCGCCTTGCGAGACTTGACGCTCATATCGTTCAGGCGGCGAATGTCCTTGACCAGGTCCACTACCAAGCCGGGAGACTTGTACGAGTGAAAGTACAGCATGTCTCCCAATGAGCCGTCGGTCAGAGCGGGGCAGAAGACCGGGATTCCATTCTACAGCAGCGAGAGGAGAGGATTGACGTGAGATGGTTATCCTTTGCAAGCCAGCCAGGATTATACTTCTCCTTTGACTCACCTTTGCTGCCCAGTATAGAACACTCCGCTCATCGTCAATCTCTTTTCCCAGCCTCTCGCATATCCGACTTGGCGACCAGGCATTCTCAACATCATCCCCTTGCTCCTCCCTCATCTTCTCCAAGATGGGCATGACCCAATCCTCGAACTTGCAGTAGTTATCGTTCGGAACTACAAGGTTGCCAATCCTGTTCATGCCCTTCTTCCGGAGCTCTGATCCATCCAGATGGAAGTCAGCCATATAAGTCGGACCGAGACACTTGATGATGTCCTCCTCTACTCCTCCGGCAGTGGTGACAATGGCATGCACAAACTTGTGCTTGACCAGGAAGAGGATCACTTCGCGCAGGCCGGAGGAGATGAGGTTGGAAGTGAAACCCAGAAAGATGTTGCATTTGACCTGAGAGCGAGCAGTCTCTGATTGCAGGTCGTCTGGATCTGTGGGCAACACAGGCTCATCTGATAACCTCCAGCGACGCTGCGAGCAGAGCCAAGGTAGGAACGTCAGTGCGGGCTCGAATCGAGCGTGAGTGCTGCCCGCTCTCGTATAACTCACCATCTGCTCGATGATCTCCACTGCCTTGTTCACACCCGAGGCTTGAAACCCTACTCTTCCAAATGCAGAGATGAGACTCTCAACATTCTGGGGCTGGTCAAAGTCTGGCCCTCGTACTTGTTCGTACGAGTCAGGAACGGGGGCGGAAGCGACGAAGAGGGACGCTGTGGCTTCCGCAGGAGGAGCTGCTCCTGTGCCGTTACTCCCTGTAGAATGGCCAGCTGGTTGCACCGAAGAAGATGGTCCCAAGTCCTCCGTCATTGCCCGACAGTGTCTGTGCAGTCCGAGGTGAGTTTTGATCGGTCTCAAAGGCAATGAAGATGGTCAGACAGGCAAGCGTAGTATACCTCCCCTTCCGTTCTGTGCGGAAGGAGCACAAATTCTTCTCTCCACTCCGAGTTGCTCGAGGCGAAGCTGCTTCCGTGCGGCTGGGCAGCTTCTACCATCACCCAAGGGCCACTCACACCAACAGATGGCGGCGACAGAAGCTTCGGCCTTTGCAGGCCAGGTACAGCCCCGGGACATCTTCGTGTCTGCAGCGGCCAATCGCTACTCTCACGCAGCAGATTGGGGGAGCATACAGCCAGACGGAGATGGTGGAAGGATCAGCGTCCTGGCGTACGGATCGCACAGGAGCGTTGCCTTCGCATACAACCTAGGCGTGAGTATCTCGCAGCAAAGAGGCACGATCAAAGAGATGCTTGATGCTCAATGCTGAAATCTCTGTACAATGCCTGCGCTGCCTGGCAGGAGTCGGACTCTTCATATCGCGGCCTCTCGCAGCTTCTGCCCACTCCTTTCTCGAGCCCGATCACCACGCTCAAATTCATTGCAACATCACTTCCTCACGCTATTGCATTTGTCGCTGGAGCTGGCAATGGACAAGCAGCTATCTGGGTTGGAGAAGTGGACGGCAACTCGCAAGCCAAGTCGGACGGGCTTTGGAAGCCGATCCAATGGCGCCTGGCTGTACCTTTGGCTGGCATGAATCCACAGTCGCAGAGCTCTTCCGCTGAGAGGCAGAGTGGAACGGTACAAGCAATCGGCGTCCTGAGATCGCAGGGACAGCCTGCGGGAATTGAGACTACCCTGGTTGCGATCGGAACGTCCGACGGTACCATTTCCATCTGGTCCGTGGATCTCACACATCGGACCGGGGACGAGTCCTCCCCTCCTGCACTGCTGCAAACCATAGATGCCAGTCGCAAGGGTCTAGATACCGCCCTTCCCCTTGACATCGCCATCACTGCTCTACCAATTGCCCACGGAGAGATTGGTGCATTCACTGCTACATCGCCCCTTCTCATGGCCACAGCCTCGACAGATCGCAAGATTGTCTTCTGGCTGAGCGATGGCAACGAGGGCGTGAGCTTCCGCAAGGTCCTCACATTGAGCGGCCATGACGACTGGGTGAGGTCATTGGACTTCTCTGCATCCTTTCCGGTAGCAAATGACAGACAAGTAGAGCTAGCGAGCGGCAGTCAAGACGGCTCTGTGCGTCTGTGGAGGATAAGGCCACACGCCGAAGCAGCTGCCACTGGGTCGGATGCGTTCGATGTTCTCGCAAAGCAACTGGAAGACGAGGCTAGCCAGCAGAATGACGCAACAGGCAGCTCACTATCGAATAAGGTTCACGCCTTTGGAACCTCAATGGGTACGTGGGCAGTCAGCTTCGACGCCCTTCTGACCGGCCACGAATCATGGGTCACCGGAGTTCGATGGCAACCTCCGATTCTGTCTCTCGATGACAAGACCGATCAACCAGCCGCTTTGCTCTCCTCGAGTGTAGACAACAGTATCATTCTCTGGACGCCCTCAGTCTCGAGTACGACCAGTACCAAGAGTCGACTGATCTACCCCTCGCTATCCAGTAAGGATGCCACCTCATCGCTTTGGCTGCCTTCACAGCGCTTTGGAGAATTGGGAGTCGCAGGAGCTGGCGCTTTAGGTATGTTCGGGGCACTCTGGACGCCCAATTGGCATTCATCTGGCTCGAAACAGCTCATCCTGTCGCATGCTTGGGCCGGCGCCATCCACCTCTGGGGCTTTGACGAGAAGAACAACAAGTGGGAGAGCGCTCCAGCTGTCACAGGCCATAGTCTGCCCGTCAAGAGTGCCCGCTGGGCACCTGAAGGCGATTGGTTCTTGACTGCCAGTCTGGATCGGACCGCAAGACTATTCGGCACATACAATCGCAAGACCAATACCGCCGCAACGCAGATAACAACGACCTCGTGGCACGAGCTTGCCCGTCCTCAGACTCATGGGTACGACATCTGTTCTGCTGCGTGGCTCGACGATCTCTCCTTCGCAAGTGCAGGCGACGAGAAGGTGGCTAGAATCTTTGCTGCCCCGCAAGGCTTCGTGCAGAGTGCTCAGAGGCTGGGATCCAAACGAAGTGCTGCCGCTCAAAAGCCTACCGCAAAGCAAAATGTCCTTGTGATGGCCTTGCCAAGCATCGGACATATACGGAATCCGCATCAGCTGCGCAACCCTATCGAGGCTGCTACGAAGGAGAGCTGTTCATCTGCTCACAAACGCCTCGTGATCCTCCTTTTCTCTCCTGCATTCGACGCTCTATCCTCGGCAAGCGCCGAGGGACCTGAAGAGACCTCGTACGATGACGTCGAGTCTTTACTACGAGGCACCTACGCCACAGCATGGGCTGCCGCCAACAAAGAGGATGCTTTGTTGCTGGACATCGACGTCCTCCTAGTAGGACAAAAAGGATTCGAGACCTCATTGCGAGCTCTTGCCGGTGACGAGAGCGGCGTCGAGCACTTATGGGCAATGGAAGCGCACTCGGACTCGCTACCCAATTCCTTGCCAAGCAAGCCTGTTTTGTTGAAGGCGAGCGCTACTGCTGAGTCTGTCAACAGGGACGAGAAAGGTCCTATACCCTCATCCTTCCCGCACCATCGGAGCATAGCACTCGGTGGTACTTTTGATCATCTCCATGTGGGACACAAGATCCTCCTCAGTATGGCTGCTCTGATTGCCACAGACCGTATTGTCGTCGGCGTGACAGGAGACTCAATGCTGGCAAAGAAGAGCAACGCCTATCTCCTCGAACCTCTGGAGGAGCGCATCGCCGCTGTCGAGAGATTCTTGACAACTTTCAGGAGTACGATGACGCCTTTGCAGCAGGACGTCGTCGAGTTGGCCGACGTCTGCGGGCCAGCAGGATCTGATGGCTCTCTAGAAGCACTTTTAGTGACTGAAGAAACGCTCTCAGGAGCCGATACCATCGCCAAGACAAGAGAAGAACGAGGCCTGGGACCGCTTGAGCGTTATGTCATTGGCGTTGTAGGAGCGGGCGGCGAGGTTGATGTCAAGGGGGATGCAGCAGAGCTTGCAGCGGCAAAGGTCGGCAGTACTGCCATTCGCAAATGGCTCTCTGAGCAGTCTCCGAAGGTACAGGCAGTGGCGCGAAGGAAGCGGCGGAGAGATCTCAAGAGACAGGGAGACCAAGCGGACGGAGCGTCTTCTCAAGCTACGAATCGACCGATGGCTGCGAGTGCTCCTGCTCTAGGCCTTTCCAACAGGGCGATATTCGAGGGCCAAGCACCACAGACGGAGACAAATGAGCTGGGCAGGCAAGTCGCTGCGCAGACGGATGAGCCCATTTCGAGTGTCTTTACGCGTCCACCGGTGGAAGAAGAGCTGCTAGTGTCCACTCTGTGGCCAGAGCTCGACAAGCTGTACGGACACGGCTACGAGCTCCTCGCCGTGGATTCCAGTCCTGACAATGGTCGCCTTACTGCTACCAGCTGCAAGTCTACCACGGCTGAGCATTCATTGGTTCGAGTGTACGACCGCGAGGACAATTGGAAGGAGATTGCCGTCCTTCCAGGCCACTCTCTAACCATCACCCGTATACGCTTCAGTCCCAATGGCAAGTGGCTCTTGACAGTCTCGCGAGATCGCTCATGGAGACTCTTCTCCCGGGAAGATCGCCAGGGGCAAGTGAGCCTCTCGCCTCGCACGCACAAAGAATCGGCGCACGCGAGGATTATCTGGGATGCGGCGTGGGCGGACGATTCGCGTACCTTTGCCACGGCAGCGAGGGACAAGGCGGTCAAGGTGTGGCGACTTAAAGCAACCATAGCTGCACCGCAGGAAGGAGAAGACGCATTTGAGCTGGTGGCTACCGTCACCAAATTGCCAGAGGCAGCGACGGCCGTCGCGTTCGATGTGGGGAATCGGCTGGCCGTCGGGCTTGAGAATGGCGACGTGCTCATTTATCAGCTCGAAGGCAGTGAGCTGCGAAAGATCGTCTCGCTGCCGCGCCACCATGGCGCTGCTGTCAATGAGCTCGCTTGGCGGTCCCAACTCGACGAAGCGCAGGACGGTCAAGAGGAGCAATCCCTACTGCTGTCGGCAGGCGAGGACGGCGCTGTACGATTGACCTCTATGTAGCGCTGAACACTCAAAGAAGTCGTCAATAGATGTTTAGAGCTGCTATTGCTAAGTCTGCCAGTGTGTATATGGTAGGGGAGAATGCCTCACAGGCCCCAGATCCTAATTGTGCCCTCATGTCCCGCCTTCTCCTCCCCAGCGTAAGCCAACAAGTTCTTTGCCGGGTTCCACGCCAGGGTATTCGTCGTCCCCGTCACGGGTAACTTGTGGAGCGTGGCCCCATTGACCGTTGATCCAATCCAGATGAAGGGATCTTCCCCACCCGCTGCAAGGAATTCACCATCGTGGGAGAAGGACAGGGCGCGGGGAGGATAGTTGAGGTTTTGACCTGCCATCCACACCGATTCGAATTCTGGAATGGACCAGCAGCCAACGGTAGAGTCTGCGCTAGCCGTTGCTAGATATCTGAGCATTTGATGGAAGCAAGGAGGGGACCCGGTTCCGGTCAGCGTAATCTCTTTTGGCGACCTGACATTCTTTCCTCTTCTCACCTTCCAAGGGGGTCAAATTGGGCGCAGAAGATCGTTGCCGTATGTGCGAGTAGCGTATATACTGACTCCCACGGGACAGTCTGTGTCAAGCTCTGTCTCGCCGCCATTGCGGGCGTCACCGCTGTGGGAGCAGCTGGTGTTGCATCGACCTTCTTCTCCTCATCCACGTCCATCGCACTTGCTCCCTCTGTCTTGCGTGTCGCTGACTCCTCTACGGCAGCCTTTGAAGCGGCTTCTTGCGCTAGAGCACTTGCGCTTTCACTTGCGACTTTTGGAGGACTGACATCATTGCTTGACCGGGAGTCCATGACTCTCACACAGCCTGTTCCAGTTGTAGCGATGAAGATGGAGCCCGAATTACTCCAGGTGATCTCATTGATCTCTTCCTTTGAGTCCGGCGGAGAAGGCTTGATAGTCCCCAGGAGCTTCCCTCCGGCCCGTACATCAATAAGGGAGATGTCGTCGTCTCTGTTTCCGACTGCTATGAGGTGTCCCTTGGGATGGAAGGTGAGGTTGATGTTCGTCCCTGGGGTCTGTGTGGTGAAGGTGGCCGTTCCGCTGCGAATATCCCACAACCTCACTGTCGAGTCTTGTCCAGCAGTCGCAAGTCTCTCTGGATGGGTAGGGTCCCAAGCAAGAGCGTCCACAGTCTCGGTATGCCCCTTGAGCTCTATGGAAGAGCGAAGCTCTAGTGATCGCTCGGGCGTCCAGACTCTCACCACCTTGTCCACGCCTGCCGAGGCCAGTCTCCTGCCATCTGTGTTCCAGCCAAGACACCGCACGCTGGCTCGGTGACCGCCCTTGATCTCCCTGGGCGGCTTGTACGCGGCAAAGTTCGGCGGTCTAAGGTCCCTGGATATGAAGAGCTGGTGGTCCTGGGAAGGAGGCTCAGAGAGCGAGACTGTCATGGTTGTTAGGAAGGTATAGCACACTGAAGGTGTTGAATAGGAGGGAGGAGCAAGTCATCGTCATCCAACGGAAAAGGCGCACTTTGCGGAAAGGGAGAAGAACCGTGCAGCAGCTTCGCCTCAGTCCTTCTCGTCTGCTCACACCTCGTATCCACACCAGCCATCGCTCATCTATCACTGAACATGACTTCGATATGATCTGCTTTCCTCTTGCTGATTCCTTCCATGAATCTCCCGCCGTGCTGCTCTCGCCGGCTGCTCTCCCTCAAGGGGTCCCGCATCCCCTCTCTTCATCGCCGAGCGGTCATCACCTGTGACCTTGCCGGGTCCCAGCCGAGCTGCAGCCGAACCCTCAGCTCACAGATAGAGGCGTACCCCAGGAAGCATGGTCGTCCTACCCTCCCGCGACTGTCTCTGGACTTCGTACTCCCCTTTGGACCGTCTAAGGACAGCCGATCACCTCTAGACTCCTCGCCTCGGCAGAGGGCCCATGTCATCTCGCGGCTCCTCTCTCTACTCGAGCGACCAGTCTCGGTTGCTGATGAGGTGTTTGCAGCCTACTCCGAAGTGCTCTCTCTGCCTAGGGGAGAGACTCTGCTTTCGCCCCAGGAGGTTGGTCTAGTCATCGACAAATTGATCACACCGAAGCGCAGGGTGGGGATCGCTACGAGGACCGCCTTTGAACGAGTGACACTAGTCCTCGAAGGCGTCAGTAGGGCTAGAGAGACACTGTTGCGATCTTCGTCCCGATCGCACGAGGCAGCTGAGTGGGAATCGCTTCTGCGAAGTACCAGGCTGCAGAATGATATGGTCAGATTGATCAGAGACAGCCATAGGACGCGAGGGACAGATGAGCTCCATCAGGTCCTCGACGTCTTGCGCAAGAGCTTCCAGTGGGAGGAAGGGTCGACAGAGCTGGATCAGGCTGGCACTGATCGCAACGCTCATACAAGCAGAAGAAGGCTAGCTGCTCGGCATCGTAATACTGCGTCTACGGACAGGGTCAGACACAACATGGTACTAGAGCTCATCTCGCGCATCGCACAGCAGCCCACCCTTCGGAATGTCGGACGCAACAGCGACCAGACGCTCGCCAATAAGACGATCACATCGCGTCTGGTGCAGGAGCTACCTCTGAAAAGACTCGTGACGTCTACATTGTCGAGACAGGAAACAAGCAATTCTCTCGAAGACATGAGTCAACTCTACTACGCCCTCTGGAATGACATGAACGCTTTTGATGACCTATCCCCTGATGCGTTTGCCTGGTCCACACGTCTGCGCTTGGAAGGCAAAATCATGCTTCAGGAGCTCTTTGCTGCGCTCAGCGACTTTCCAAAGGGACGTACCGTGAGGTCGCTCGACGAGGTGTGGGACAAGAGTCTTGCCTTCAGAGGATGGACCAGCATTCAAGCCTCGCTGAAGGAAGCGCTCTCTACAGGTGCTCTGCATTCGAGTCATGTACATCAGGTACTTTGGCTGTTCTGCCATGCTCGACTGGCGGTGAAAAAAGTCACTGCAAAGGGTGGCGATGACGTCCTCTCGGCTGTGATGACTCGTTTCCTTGGCTTCGACGCAGACGCAGTCGACGCCGTCTCGGAGCTGTACGAGACGCTGAGGTGGAACGAAGTGCAACTGGAGATGGGCAAGCTCCGCCTGTCACGATCCAGCGACGAGAGCAAGTCTATCCCCCCATCGCCTGTCAACTCGATGTTTTCGGGTGGGAGGAATGGGGTCGGCGAGACTACCAAAGACACCTGCAGTGGTCCCATAGCCACGCTCCTCGGCATTCCCGTCCCGGATCAAATGGTGACTACCGACATCACTTTCAGCATGCTCATCAGGTATTATGCCGCCATTGAAGGCGACTACGACAAGGGCTTCGAGGTGTTAGAAGACTTCAAGCAGGCCGGGCAAGAAGTAGTGGAGCCATCTTCCGCGAATTCTTCCTCGACGTCAGCTCCTCGCCAGCTACCCATGGCCATCCTCGACTCCTTCTTCCGAGCTTTTGCAGTGCACGGCGTCGCCTCAGAGGAGAGCGAGGAGGGGCAGTGGGACATCGCTGACGCACCCTCACCAGCCGCCTCGACAGCTGTGCCCGTCTCGGGCTGGAGGCTGGAGAATCTTCTCCCGTTCCTCGACGCTCTGCTCCATCGCACCGCCCCGAAGCTGCAGGCCAGGCAGATAGAGCAAGAAAAGTACGAGCGCGTCTCCTCGATGCTTTCTCTTGGACCTACAGAGGAAGGAGAGGACGAGGCACTTCGTGACCTCCTCTTCCCCACTTCAATCTCGACATCAACCTCTGCCTCGTCCTCCAGCAATCGCACCGACGGGAGTGCAGCCACTTCATATAGTGCTCAGATCCAAACGCAAGCTCCCACCCCACGACAACTTTTCACGGTACTGACTGCACTGCGCCGTTGCACGGGGGATGCGCGTCCCGATGTCGTGCTGCGCTACTGGCGTGCACTACAGGCAAAGTATGGCTTTCCTCTTGAGCAAGGGGCGCAAACTCAGCCTCAGCCTCAGCCGCGGGTGCAGGTGCAGCAGGGTGATGTAGAGGTTGGAGTAGCAGGACGAGGGGGAGTAGTAAGAGAAGGAGGAGAGGCAGAAGTAGAGACAGGGGCAGGAGCAAGGAGGTTGGCGCAGGCGACGATCAGGGCAGCAGGCGAAGCAGGTCTTACGACAGAGCAGGTAGCAGCCAGGCAGCAGCAGCAGCAGCAGCAGGATGCGGAGCATGGAGCTCAACGTGAGCACGATCGTCAGCAAGATCGCACACAAGAGGGCCGGGACGAGGGCGAGGGCAAAGGCGAGGACCATCGCTTGCACAATCGAGGTGCGGAAGAGGATTCCGACCTCGGTGCTCACAGAGTGGAGCGGGTGAATGGGCAAGGTTGGACTGGCTGGAGGATGGACAACCGATTGAAGCGGTTGATTCCCTTTTTGGAGGGGCAGGAGATCAAGATGCGTCGTGAGAGGGGGGAAGAGGGTGAGGAGTGAGAGAGATAGGGCGAGGGCGAGGGCGAGGAGCGAGAGGAGGAGGAAAAGATGGTGCAGTACAGGCATTGCAGTGATCTTTCTCCCTTGAGCGCTCCAATGCACATAAGCTTCAATGTGTAGTCACGACGTCTGGGAGTCTGTCACTACCTAGACACGGCGATAACCAGCTGACTTGCATCCCCTCAGACACATCCGCACCCCCTTTTCTGTTCTGGACGCAGCTTCACCCTCCAGAGTCTGCTCCGACTTTGCATGTCGTTACTCCGTACGAGCTGATGGAAGAAATTGGGATGGTGCTACACATGACATTTCGCAAATGAGATGATGATGATGGGAACTAGACAAGTGACGAAGCCAGACCAGGACGGTACGATGAGCTTAGTCGCTGGCAGAGGCGACTCGGGCTGTGGCAAGAAGGTAAGGAAGAAGATGGGTCAGTTCATGCAGTTCTTGAAGTCATACTGCAGCAGTCATCTACTCCAGCTTGAGGCCCTATCCCCTCCCAAGGATCTTCGACCCTCGTCCACTGCCACGACCACCAGTCATCGCTGAAACTCACTGTACACCAATTGACCGTGGTGGTGGATGACCTTCTTGATCTGTCCCTCCCTAACCAGGTGCTGGATGGCAACACGAGCGAGGGATCCGTTGATCTTCATTCGGTCGATGAGGACCGACTGAGAGATCATCTTGTAGGTGGGCACCTCCTTGAGGATCCTGTCGTAAGTGGGCTTGTCCAGGACGACCATGTTTTGGGCCTGCAGACGAGATGATGGGTGGACATGGTGGGATGTGGTGAGTAAATGTTCACGTGCTATAGATAACCCCCGACAGCCATGCGCTAGCAGCACTGCGATGCCCAACGCTCTGCCCTGCTTGCTCGTCCCTCTCAACCCTGCCTACGATTCCCCGTGCTACGAAGGGTTTCCCCACCCTGATCTGCCCAGGCGAACTGCCGATGTGATGCTCACCTTGTCCTTAACCTTTCCCTTGGACCACTTCTTCTTCTTGGACGTCTTGGACGCACTTGCGAGGATGGCTGCCTTCTTCGGTGGCATCTTGACTGTAGAGTGGGTGAGGTGAAGATATGTGGTAAGTCAATTTGAACTCTGAAGTTCGTCGAGATAGCATCACCGTCGCCATCATCATCTTCGTCATCTTCATCGTGTACATGTCCCCTCGGAACGAGCATGTGCACTGCACTCGAGCCTGGTCATCCCCTCTGGTCTCTGTGACCGTCTCTTCTTCCCCATTGCCTCCTCGACCATCCCATTATCCTCCTCGGACTGGTTCTGCCTATTGCACCGTCGCATACCGTCCCTCGACCCCGTCCCTCGACCCCGTCCCTCCGTCCTCTCCCTCAATGACCAGGCTGCTCTGTGCCCATGCTCCTTCCTGTACGATGGCGACGACGATGACGACGATGATGATGATGAAGACCTCTGACCTGTACCACGACGGCGGTGCGCAGGGGCGGGCGATACTCACAGTCTTGGGTGATGTGGTGGAAGCAGAGGGGAAGTGTCGCAGTCAGCCCGCCAAAGGTTTTAGAGGACCACTCGCCTCCGCCTCTGCCCGCCTTCGGCCATGCGCCTCAACCCCTGCGCGCTTCTCACCGCAAGCGCGGTCCCTAAAGGCTTCCGTTCCGATCTAGTCAAGGGCAGAGACTCGGAAGCGGGAAGCCTCATTGTCGGAAGGAAGGAAGCGGCTGGCTGGGTGATTGATGCATATAGGGCTGTGATGGTCTGGATACAATGCGCAAGCACAGGCACGCCGTGACCGTGAGAGACACATGGACGAGCCGAATATGGCCTGCTGACGATCTCTTACAGTCTGGAGACCATCGCTGAACCGCTGCAGGCTTTCATAACGGAATGGCGATGTGGTTCATCGTTCATAGTGCGCTTGATGAAAGCCATGACCTTAGCCCGCACAGACTACTCTTGCCAAGTCTCGGTATGACTACATTTGAAGAAGCGTGAGACAAGCAAATGCAATTTCGCACCTCCTGAAGCTGCACCGAGAACATTGTATGCCCATCGCCGTATCACTGCAGCCATCCACGCCTTCTGCACATTGACGCTGAGTCCTTGTCATTGCATCGCAGGGGCTCAATGGAGCGTTATAAACGGCGTTTTGTCACAACTTACAATTGCCCTTCTGGCAGCTAGAGCAGCCCTATTGTCATACTGCAGCAGCAATTTGGCCAACCCGTCGAACATCAGGAAAACTCGCAAAGATCGAGCGTGACAAGAAAGGTGTGGTATGCACGAGTGACATTGACTGAACAGAGGAGGGGCTGGCATTATACAAAAGGGGAAAAGATGATCATGACTGAAGGGAGAGTGCTTGTAGGTGTTTCTCTGAGCCTCTTCTACTTGGCTCTTGATGCCGCTACATTCCTGTCCGGATCGCCTCCAGGCCCTCTAACGAGGTCACACTGTTCCCTCTCACAACCTGTAGAGAGCGGGGTGAGAGAGGTGATAAGGGTCAGACCGGATGTAACTCTTCGAAGATTGGCCAAAGCAAAGCGGGATCCATCACAGAGTCTCTTGATAGGTGATTGGCTGCATCTCCGGTCGTGCTCTAGCACGGCTAGCCCAATCGCTCTTTCAGACCTCTACCTGAGGCAGCTTCAGCTGCATCTCTCGACCTGCCCAACAGTCGTCCTCCCTCTTTTGACCTCCTGCCAGCGCAAATTTGCTATGGGTACTCACCACCATCCCACAACCTGCTCCATCGGTCCAAGCGTTCGTGTTGGCCTGTCCTCCCGGTCCCTCTGGGTGAATCTGCTCCACCGCCTCATCCACTACCAAGTTGAGGAAGATGTCGAATCCCCGCAAGGTGCCATTGATCTTCCTGCCTCCTTGGATGTTCACAGAGACTCGCTTATCGAGGAAGCGCTTTAGCTCTGGTTGGGAGACCTTTGCCATCTTGATTGAGGTGCTGGAGCCGGCAGCTAGGGTGCGAGTGAGGTGGGTTTCGGTGAGGCGAGCGCTCCACTAGAGATGCAGAGGAACGGGGAGCAGCTGGACCAGAGACCTCTCGATGTTTCTGAAAATGTCTATGACGGCCCTTGTTGCAGCAGACGTCGATCACAGAAGGCGAGGTGATGGTGAGATGACGCAGACGCAGACGGGGTACGACTGACAGACCTTCGCGACGGAAAGAGGTCCAGGGCGAATGTGGATGGATGCTCTCTCTCTGCCGTGTGTGCGTGCCTGCGTGTGTGGCTGGCTGCCACCCGCCTGTGCCCGCCTCGCCCCGCCTAACCGCGCGAAGGGCTGGCCTTGGCTGCCTGGCTGCTCCGAGGCCCGGCGATCGCATCGAACCTTCCCAGCACCATCGCCTCAGTCCTACTGTACACCTCCTCCGCCAACCACCACTCCATCCCGTTTGCGCTCCATCATGTCTGCCGTCAACTGGAACCAGATCTTCAGGTCGTAAGTATTCAGAAACACACGGGCTGTGACTGGGCGGATCGGTGCCCTTGAGGGGCTGGACAGAACAGCCAGGAGGCAGCCAGGAGAAGATGTCATTCTCTGGGTTTCAGCCTCGCCAGCTTGTCCGGGCGCTCGACAGCGGTCGGGTACGCAAGCCATCGGAAATGTCTAGCAGTAGCTCAGACAGCGAGCTGGCAAGGTTCCTCAGACGCAATGGAGAAATGGTGGCTCTGGACAGGCGAATGGGTAGCAAGATTCTAGTCTGGCCGGACGGCATGCACATTCATGCCCCTTTGCGTTCCACGACTTCAATACTGATTCCGTCCATCCGCTACATCACACCCTCTTTCCCACTTGTACAGACTGAACCTTGGCAAGAACACCTCTGCTTCCCTGCAGGCCTTCCGCAAGAGGTCCGAGGATGCTCGCCGAGCCCTAGCTGTGCTCAAGGAGCAGAAGACGGACGTGGACTTCCAACACTACCGCTCCGTTCTCAAGAATGACGAAGTTGTCTCCCAGGCCGAGAAGATCCTCAAGGACTTCAAGCCAGTGACGTACGACGTGTCTGCTCAGATCAAGGCCATCGACGCCTTTGGCAGCAAGGCTGTGAGTTGACGTGGCCTGCGACAGGAGTGGAGGGAGTGCAAGAGGGCGGCATGCAAGTGACATGCACAAGGTAGCTGCTCTTCTCAAGATGGTGTACTTTACTGACTCTTCCCTCGTGCGTCGCGGGTTTCTTTTCTGGCAGTCCGAGCAAGCCAAGGCTACTGAGGACAAGATTGCTTCCGAGCTCAAGGACCTCAAGTCTACCCTGGACAACATCAAGTCTGCCCGCCCCTTCGAGCAGCTGACCGTCGACGAGATCATTGCTGCCCGCCCAGAAATCAAGAAGACGGTGGAGGAGATGGTCAAGAAGGGAAAGTGGACTGTGCCAGGCTACGAGGAGAAGTTCGGAAGTGAGTAGTGCCTTGGCAGTCAAGGGAGGTGGTAGGTCGGAGTAGACTGCTGACATTTCTTGCTCTTCTCTCTCTGGGACTCTTTCCCAAAGACCTCTCCGTTCTCTAAGCGACTCGCTAATGTGTGTAGGAGTGAGGGGTCAGCCGTCGCTGTCACCCGTAGAGCTTGCGCATGAGGTGATCCACAATCAATACCAAATAATCTTTGAACACCTGTGATGAGCGGAGGACGTATTGAGTGCGAGCCAGTCCATTGCTGGAGGCCAATGGTGATTGAAGTGACCGTACAGAAGAGGCTGCTGGAGGTGCTTGACGCTGGTGTGTCGGTAGGCGCGGCTGGGCGGCGTCCTGACTGGCTGGATTTGCTTCCGATGGCCAATGCACGGCACGGCGGCACAGTCGGCACGGCCCAGACCAAGTCCTTGTCCTCGGTACCGCTTCTTACTCATTCTACGCCCAATCCTCTCCTCTGCATCGTCGCCTCGTTTTAACTTTCCACCATCATCATCAGCCTCATTGGTAGCAAGCAGCTGCTGATCATTTCTTGAGGCTCACCCAAATTTACCGCTCCAGCTCAAACACGCCCGACTGCCACATCCACCTCTACCACTTTGCCTTTCCGCTTCATCCACTGCACCGCACCGCACCTTGCGCTGCGCCTGCACAAGCGATGCCTTCGAAGACCAAGTCATCGAAGGCCAAGAAGAGCCAGGGAAGCCAGCCCCAGACGTCTGTATCTGGGATGACGCTGCAGTCCCTCCAGCAGAGATTCCAATCCAAGGGAACTTTGGGTGACACTCGTGAGGAGAGGAGAAGAGCATGGTGAGTGGGATCTCGAGCTAGCTTTGTCGAGCAACAGAGGAGGAGATCGCCTCGTCTCATTTAGCTCTTCTCGTTCGAACCTTTGTCAGGCTCTACCTCTTGGCAGTCGACTATCAACCTGCGGCAGTCTTCCCTGCAGACTCGAGCTCCTTTGAAGACATCGGCACCACCTCCTCTGCTCGAGGATCGGCAAGTAGCAGCAGCAGCCGCCATTCTTCACCTCCCCTCGGTTCGGATTCCAACGAAACCTCTCTCGAAGACCTCAACACTCCTTCAGGCAATGGGTCAATGAGTGGCAGCTTGCTGCAGAGCCAATCGCTCGGAAGCATTCCTTTAGACCGGGATGGGTGGCAGACTGGATTCGACTCGGCGCTCCTCCAGAGTGGTGAGAGCCAAAGCTGGACCGATGGAAAGCCTCCGGTAGACGAATGGCAAGTGGCAGAGAACAAGCGAACCAGACGAAGGAAGGCAGTCCAGGAGCAAGAGACTAGCACCGCGGCAGGGCAGCTCAGTCCGGACGATAGCGGCATCTTTGGCTCGGTCATCGATCTGGGCAAGGACACACCCGGCCGAGCTCGAAATGGTGGACCTCGTTCCGACGGTACCTCGTCGCGTGACTCGTCGGGGGCCTCGACGGCCGCCTCTCGATCGGCTTCGAGTGCTCCTACGACGCGTTCTGCTGCATCCTCCAGCATTGCGTTTGCACCTCTGTCAGTGGACGATGATCTCCCTGCAAAGGTTAAGAAGGCGGAGAAGCGGAAGCAGCAGAAGAAGCAGAAGAAGCAGAAGAAGCAGAAGAAGCAGGCATCAGCGACTGTAGATTCAATTAAGCACGGTGACAGTGCAAGTCAAGCAGCAGCCAGTCGAGAGAGCGGGGAGGCCACTGCACCCTACAAGCTCCCCGCTCGCTTTAGCGAAGAGCTCGCCGCGCATCGAGATGAGCGACAGGTAGAGTTGGACATCCTACGGAGCTTCGTCGGTCCGATTTCAGCACCTGGAGGTGCGCTGCAGAATTCCTCAACTCGCCAATGCAGGCGGGAACAGCTACAAGACCTGGTGGTGGGAGTGCTGAGGCGCCATCCCAGTCTCAATTACTACCAGGGCTACCACGATGTCATCTCTACCTTGCTCCTCGTCCTATCGCCTCGCCACCCAACGGCTACAAGCAGCGACAGTGGCGCCTGGGCATCAAAAGCAGACTTCCACCTTGTCCTCGAGGCAAGCGAGCGCTTCAGTGTGTTCTTCCTCCGAGACTTCATGACAAAGGGAATCGACCCCTGCATGGGTTGGCTTAAAGTCTTGCGCAATCTCCTCCGTCAGGCGGACCCAGCTTTCTCCAAGTCGGTCATTGAGCAAGCCTCACCATTGCCCTTCTTTGCCCTCTCCTGGCTTATCACGCTCCTCTCACACGACTTGGAGCTAGGGGCAACCGCCTCGAGCAAAGTCTTTGACTCTATCCTCCTCAGTGGTCCCGAGACGATCTTGTGGATCATTGCAGCTCTGCTGCTGGAAAGTCGAGAGGAGCTAATGAATGGTGACGCGATACAGGAAGAGGAGTACGGAGACCCGGCTCTGCTGCACCACACGCTGTCTAAGCTGCCCAAGCAGCTGACAGAGGGCAAGTCTAGCATTGACGCCATCATCGTCCGAGCGAAGAAGTTGCGCAAGAGCGTAGGCGGCACAAGTAGAGCGCGGCAGGGAGTCATGGGCTCGCACTCGGTCCTAAGCACCTGGTCACCGCTCTCCACCCCTCCTCAAGACTCGGCAAGTGCTGCTGCCACTGCCGCCGCCACTATCACAGCCACAACGGACTGGAGCTCTGCTTATACTCAAGCGGAAGAGTACCTCTCCTCCTCCTCAGACGCCCTGCAGCAGATCGTCATCGACCCCACTCCCTCTCCTCCCGCTGAAGATGAGGCCGACTTCGACTTCACATCCGAGAAGAAGAGTCGACGCCACCGCTCTCACTCCAGTGATGGCAAGAAGTCCAGCAGTAGTGCCAGCAGCAGTGCCGTCACCACAAGCGCCGCGGTCCTCGTAAGCGTCGTCGTCGTCGCTGGCGCGGCCCTCTTCTTGGGTTCCCACGCGGTGGATCGACAGCAGAAGAGTAAGCTGGCACACGATTTGAGCGATCTGGGAAAAGGATTGGTAGGGCTGGCCTTTTGTGCTGCTGGGGCTTGCCAGTGAGGAGCAAAGAGGCACAAGCACGGGCACTAGCAGGTATGAGCAGGAGAAGTCGGAGCGCAACCAGAGGCTGAAGCTGGCGATAGCTCTCTTCCGTCTTCTGGATGCTGTCTCGAGATGTCTCTTACGACCAGTGCATGCTAGCAGAACCCTCCCTTTGCCTCGCACGTTCCGTCAAATTTGTAGCCCTCCCCGCGTTCTCCCTCTCCCTTCTCTCTCCCTTTCCTCGTCTCGCTACATCCCCCTTAGCATGTCTTCTTTCCTTCCCATACCATGTCTTCTTCCTTCCCATACCATGTCTTCTTCCTTCCCATACCATGTCTTCTTTCTTCCCATGTACTACTGCTCATCTTTTCCTCGCGCAATCTATGATACCATGCACGTCCAGCCAGCCTGTAACCCCATTCGACGACGACACGTTTTCCAGTCTGATGAGAACTCCTTTTTGAAAGTGAAGGAAAGGAAAGGAAAGGAAAGGAAAGGAAAGGAAAGGAAAGGAAAGGAAAGGAAAGGAAAGGAAGGAATGTGCATTGGTTCTCTTGTTGATGTTATTTGATGAGATGAGTGTCAGGTGACCGTACATGCTTCTCTCGTCGTCGTCGTCAGTGACAAGGCAGGGCTATCTAGGAGCTACCTCGCCTGCTCTCACTTTGCCTGTTTCTTTCTTCTTCAATCACATCACGCCTGAGTAATCTCGGGGGATCTGATCGCTTCAGCCCTTTGTGCTGCCTCCACTGGTAGAGCCACTGGCCCCACCACCACTTCCACTCCTCACCGTCGCTGTTGCTGTTGCTGTTGCTCCTCCTCCTCCACTTCCACTACTACCCTGAGCAAGCAACTGCTCATACTTCTCCGTAAGTCTCAAGCGTCTCTTTCCCAATTCTCCATCCGCACGCGTCTCCCTCTCACAGTGGATAAAGCCATACTGCTCTGCTTGGCGGGTATAATCGCCCAGAGCCGTTGCGCCACGATCTCGGAAAAAGGCAGTGAGGTCCAGCGTCGTCGTCTTGCCCGCCGTGGTAGTGGTGAGGAGACTCAAGCCGGCACCGTTGGCGGTGCTGCTGCTGCTGCTCGGGTTGTGCAGGGGATTGACGGGAATGCCATGGCGCTTGGCGAGGAGATCGTTCACGTAGGATCTGCGAGGCGCTACGATGGGTGGATTCTCTTTGCGAAGGGCGAGCATGATGTCCATCAGGGGCTTGAAGCGGATCCGATCTTGTACAGTGGGAGTCAGAGTCGCCTTGCCTGTTGCGGCGGGCTTGTTGGTCGCAGCTCCTGTGGTGGAGCTGGTGGTCTTCGGCTCAGCCTTGCTAGACCCATCGACTGGGCCGGCTGACTCCGATACTGACGCCGAAGGGTCGTTGCCCGCAGGAGGCAAATTTGAGGAAAGAGACGCAGCAGAAGTGTCCTGCTCCTGAGAAGCCTTGCTCCCAGCGGCTGTAGCAGCTTCTCCGCTGGCTGTTGCTCTCTTGGGTAGAGGAGTGGAATGGTTCGGCTCGTAGTCGTCATCCCAAGGATCGTCACCTGCTGGAGGCAAAGTCTCCCTCTTGTTGGAGGCATTCGCAGGGTCGTGCTCCTTGGGGTCGCATAGTTGGGGAGTCAGTCTCACGTGTCTCATACCGGCCTTGAAGCCATCCTCCAGGGTGCAGATGCCTGCTTCCTGCGCAGCATCGAGGTAGCGAGAAAAGACTTTTGAATCTTTCAGACGATCTCCCATGCCCTTATGCTTGGACACAATGACATGCAGTGCCTCGTCAGTCATGTAAAACTGACCACGCTCTCGCTGATACAAGAGAGCGTTCGCAAGAGGAAAGTATACAGCAGCAATCTTTGTGCCAGAGGGTTGATGGGGCAGAATCAGTCCGGGTACATCCCAGACTGATTTCTTGCCGTTGGGCGTGGACTGATCGGAACCAGTGTCACTTTTGCTTCGGAATAGACTTGGGAAAAAGCTTCCCTTCTTGAAAGTGGGAGACGAGGGACACTTGATGGGAGACGTCGGTCTGATAGGAGTAGACCTAGCAGGCTGATATGCGGGTGCTGGTGTTGAGGCAGGCGCTGCAGTCGCTGGAGTACTCTGTGGTGAGGTTGTCCGGTTCCGCCTCAGCTTCGCCATATACGACTGATAGACGGGCATGACCTCCAAAGCTGCCACGCCTTGCTTCTCCGTAGGCACTAATTTGGCGACACGGGACTTGAAGGCAGCGTTGATGTACCCGCCAAAAGTCCTGGTACCAGCCATTGCGAAAGGATCTGATTGACCAGCGGGAGTCGCCCTGATCATGCTGTCTAGCTGCTGCCCTACTGCACTTGCATAGGGAGGCGATCGCTGTGACGCAGACTCGGCTGCCAGTATGGCATGAAGGAGCGGCTCGAAGGCTGGCGAAGGTGCATAATTGTCAGGGCCCTCAGACCCATCCTCCTCCTGAAGGCTTTCGACAAGCACGGCTTTGGCCTGCGACACAGAAGACGAAACCGGGGTCGAAGGAGCAGCAGAAGTCGCACTAGGCTTGCCAGGTGTAGCTGGGGCGGCGAAGCTGGCAGGGTCCAGAGAACGCAGAGAGATCCATTCGGTACCCGGGTTGCCATTGCTGCCCAACATAACGATGCCAGCTGCAATCGCTACAGCCGCGTAGTCTCGGAAAGAGCTAGCACCAGCCTTCTCATACACGTCCTTATCGATTGAAGTTAGGCGCAGAGCAACTCTGCTGCGAAGAGGGCGTGGCTGACCCTCCTTCTTGAACTCTTCCAAGGCTTGCACTAGTGGCGCAAAGACACCTGGCACAGGTCCGGCACCCGGACCAGACAATGCTGCTGTCTGAGCTTGTACGGCTGGCTGCGACGGGGTCGGCTGGGGCGTGGGCGTGGTAGGACGAGAGGGTGTAGTCGTCGAAGCGTTGGAGGATGCAGCAGTCGTGCTGCTGGTGGACGACTTTGCTGGGGTAGCTCGCCCATGACGACTGGGACTCGAGCTCCTGGGAAGTGGCTTACTTGGGGTAGAGGAGGCATAGAGCCTGCCAAAGCCGTCCCTCTCCATTCCCAGCACATCTTGCCTCCATCTAGCTACGTAGTTGGCCGAAGCTTCCAGGATTGGCACAGCGCCTACCGGAGGCGTGAAGAGCACAATCTGATAACCTCGACCACGAATGAGAGACAGTGGGTAGGCGAAATCTCGGTCCCCGGAAATAAGTACAATCCTGGCGGGAGGCGGTACATCTAGAGCAAACGCCATCAGATCGGCGATGATCATCTTGTCTGCTACATCTTTTCGTCCGCTTTTGGGGGCTGCGAGGAGAGTTTAGGGGCAAGTCTTAGAGACGAGATACCTCATGAAATTCCCACTCGAGTGCTTCCTGTCACTCACTGTCAATCAGGCTGACTCCGCTACCCTGCAACTCGCTTCGCAAAGTGACCTGAGCAGGGCTGACGCCTTCCGCTGAGCTCAATTCGAGGTACGCCTTGAAGCTGAGGATAGGTCCAGAGGGGCCTAGGGCCTCCTTTTCCGGGCCCGTACCCGTCTCAATGCTGGTGATGTGCTTGCGGATAGAATGCGCAAGGTGGCGCCCCGATGATCCAGTTGGTGGAGAGCAATTCTAGTTGACGCCAAACAGAGTAGGAGAGGGTCAGCATGGATGGACCTGCGCGTACCTTCTGCTGCCTGCTTGCCCCTGGTCACTTACATCGACATCCCAGAAGACGGCGACTGGGATGGGCCTGTTCAGCAAACCTCCAGCCTTATCCATGAGCTCAAACCGGACTCTCTTCGACTCTCCTTCCGTATCCGACTCTGTAGATGATTCGCGACCATCACTAGAAGCAAGCGCTTTGCGCTGTCTTTGTGGCGCCGAGCTAGGAGACGAAGAGGTGGTAGCCGTAGTAGCAGGCGGGTCCGATGGCGGGGGAGGGTCAATCTTTGGCGGCCCCCTGAAGGCGTAGAAAGTGATGCCACCTGCAAGTGCTGCTGTGGCTACTGATCTGGCAAAGGCGGCACTCGGCGAAGGGGAGACGATGTAGGACCACACATCTTGTAGTGTGCTTGACCCTGAGCTGGCCATTGACGAGGGCGCGACAGAAGGGCAGGATCAAGTCTTGCAATGCTCCGCGACCCTGTTGATATCCAAGCTAGCCGAGGTACCGAACCAGATTTTGTGATGTGTGTATTGTTCAGATGTATGATGAGGAGGAGGAGGATATGGCAATGACGAGGTGGAGTGACCAGAGCCAATGTCACTTCTTCCTTTGTGCTGTTGGATGACGAGAGCAACGCACCGCGACGGAAAGCGCACCTTGAATTCCGCGGCCCTCGGCAAAGGGGGAGACCAACACCACCACCACCAGATGCACACAGGAGAGGATGTTGACAATGACATTGAGCATGACACCGAGCAAAGATTCATTCCCATACAAAGCATTCGATTCTAAGTGACGATCCATGACTTGACCCTCTCGCTCGTCTCCTTGCTCGCCTGCGCGAGCTCGCCTTGCCGCTTTCGCAGCGCTCTTATGTAGCGAGATGCTTCCGATCAGTGCTGGCCCTCAGCAAGGGTCATGGAGGCAGGGACTCCTTTCCCCGGGCCTCTTAGATTTGCAAGAATGCTCTGCAAGTAGTGCCCCTGTAGTAGGGCGTCCAGTGGCTGGAGCTTGCCCTCCACACTGCGGTCCATGATCAGCCTACGCCCAGCATACTCCCCGGACTGGGTGAAATCGATGATGGCGTAATCATCGTCCACGTCAACGGTGATGTTGTGAAGCTCCCAGTGTACCGCTTCAGTCCATTGCATCAAGAGACCGTTCTGTACCGAGTCGATCCTTGCCTCTCCCTGACCAGGCCCGTCATCTTCAACCAAATCGCCCGCTCCTTCTGCCTTCCACTGTCAGGGAGAAAGAAGAATCGACCAACCTGCATTCAGATCAACCGACACTACGACTGGCGACGACAGTGCAACTCACCATGGCGATGTATTCTGGTGGGAAGATGTGGACCGCTGCGAATGTCATCCAATCATCACCGCACGCTGCTTTGGTACGTCCAGTGATGCAGCAGGCTGTGTCCCTTTGTCTCACCCTCCGTGCAAAGTTGGTCTAGGAGGGAGATTCGCATGGAGCTGTGATCAGCAGGTTGCGATGCCAGACTCGAAGCCAAAGTCTTCTTTGAACACCTACATCTAGCTCAGCGGACATCGCACCCAGTGTTCGCAGTATGCCTGACCGGTCAAAGTACTGATGTGTGGTCTGAGCAGCCATCAGTGGACTTAGATCTGCAGGTGGAAGCACCAGAGGCATGCATCCTCAATGACATCAGCTATGCTGTCAGCAGCTCACAGAAGCGACGTTCGAGACACTCACCTGATCTCCGGAGTACGAGGAAGTTGCCCTTTGGCATTGGCGCCCCTGGATCAGATGCCAGCAAAGTAGCCTGCAGCGGCTCCTCAGACAACAGACCTTCCTCGCCTGCTGCGAAAAGCCCCCACTCTGCGGTGTCCAACGGCAAAAGCTCGCCATCGGACGACAAGATGCCATCGTGTACTACGATACAAAGACCCAGCCAGGCAAGGAACTTTGCGATGGTAATGGTACCATGCTGCCAGAAGCCTGCCAGGTGCTCAAGCCGATACGAATACCGCCGGCAAGGTTGAGTGAGCTGACATCTGCACAGACCACCATGGCCTTTAGCCCAATTCCCTCACTCACCAGCCACTTCCTGCCTTTGAGATCCGTCAGAGGAAACGGTCCATATACGGACGTTGCGTATCCTGCCCATCGGATAGCCACGAAGTCTTTGTTGGTAGCCCCTGACGTCGCGTGCGGACCGGGAAGAAGGGGAAGGAGACTAGAATAGCGTCTGAGCCTATCTACCCGAGGTGGAGGGAAGATCAACTCGCGCCTCGACACTTTCGGAGATGGTTATTTTCCTGACCTCACCTTCGGAACCAAGCAGGCTACGAAGTGACGGGCCAGCATGGCGCCTGTGACTCCATAGTGTGTTACAAGAGAGTTGTACTCATCAAGTGGCGCCTCTGCTCCTGCGCAGTGAGGGCTTAGGCAACGATGTTCCAACGGTCTCTGGCGAGGAGCTCCCGCAGCCTTCTCATTGACGTGCACTCCCACTACACGCCTCCCAGACTTGCCGCAAACGTCTCGGCTGCAGGTCCATCAGGCTCTGCTCCATCCAAAGGCCAAGATGACACCATTGCTTCGCCCTCGCGAGCCACTAAGCTCGCCTTCATGGACAGGCACGGCATCTCCCAATCAGTTATCAGCATTCCTCCTCTCACCTCCCTCACTTCCACACCCGAAGAGGCTCTCAAAGTGGTTCTGGACGCCAATACGGATTTGGAAAGGTACTGTACACCGCAGGAGGGCGAGTCACAGGATGGACCCTCGTCCATCTTCTCGCCTGGTAGCGCAAAACAGCAGAACGCCTCGAGCCTGGGCATCCCACCCAAGGATCGAATCCACGCATTCGCCGTGTTGCCCCCTCCGGTGAAAGGGAAGCTGTCGCAGCATAGTGTACTGGACGTACTGGAGAGTGCGAGGTCTTCAGAGTCAATGGTCGGAGTGACTTTGTCCACTGATGGTCTCGGCAAAGGATTGGGCGACCTTGAGCTGGAGTCAGTCTGGAGCAAAGCAGGCGAGCTAGGCTTGACCATCTTCGTGCACCCTCCCAACATGGAGCTGAAGCTGGGTCTGGAGACAAGCTCAGCATCTGCTGTGTTCGATGCGCCGCATCGGGTAGCCCTGGTCAGTCACAGGTCTTCACGACTTCTTGTCTCCTCCATCTTCGCTGACTGTCATTCTGCCGCACATCCAACTCCACAGGCAGCCTCCCACCTAATCCTCTCTGGTGTCCTAGATCGGCACCCTACCCTGAAGGTTCTCCTCTCCTACTCCTCGGGCAGTCTCCCCTTCCTCTCCTCGCGCCTGTCCACCCTATATCGCTCCGATCCTCACTTCACCCCTTCGCGCCAGCACGCTCGTCTGGCGAATCCAGATCCCCGCTTCTACCTAAGCAGGCTACACTACGATTCCCTCGGCGCGTACGGACCCGAAGAACTTCAGTCCCTCGCCCGCCTCATCGGTCGTTCAGAGCGCTTCAAGCTCGGGAAAGGTGGAACATACAACACGCCAGCGTTGGGGTCAGAAGAGGAGGCGGAAGAGGTGAAAAGGGGTGGAGAGAGAATCCTGTTTGGGAGTGATCACCCCGTCTTTCCTCCCCTGCAGGAGGATGTACCCGAGCAAGGGTACGACACGCCTCAGTGGGGAAGCGTTGTGGACGGTTTGACTGCCATTCGGCTCACGAGGGGATGGGATGAAGAGACGCGGAGGGCAGTGGTGGGTGGGAATGCGCAGAGATTATTGGGTCTCTGATGGGTCACGATGAGGACAGCACTTCGCTGTACATGACTTGGAAACTGACCAACAAGCCAGGTCTATCTGAAAAGGATCGCATTAGTGCTGGGTATGAAGGAGCGGAAATGTTGAATGTATCACAGGCGATTGAATGGTAGACTACTGCACGAGGACCCCCTTTCTGATCTGATCCGGATCTGTAACTCCCTCTCTCATAAACCTCAATAGCCGCTGGAGCTCTCCACGTACCTCTTCCACCTTGCGATCCTGTCCTTCCCTCTCCTCTTCGTGGGCAGCCAGTCTGCTCACCAAGCCATCTACCACTCCCGCGACTTGCACTCGGGCCTTCTCCCTCTCGGCCTTAAGACCCTCCAACACTGCCTCAAGTCCCTTCTTCTCGCCCTCTCTGCCCTTCCACTCTTCCTCTGCCGCCTCAAACTTGTCCAAGGCACTCTGCGCCTGCGCCTTATGCTCCTTGACCACGTCTTGCAACTGTCCTCGAAGCCCCTTTACCTCTTCCTCCCAATGAGCCCGAGTCTTCTTCCAGGCAGAGGTAATGGCTTCGTATCCAGCTACGGCATGAGCCTGAGCTCTCCTCACGTCCCCCAACTCGCTCTCTACCTGACGCACACGGGTGCCGAGCTCTCGTGAGGATCTTCCCAGCTCCTTGGCTTCGTCCTCAGCTTTGCGTGCCCGCTCTTGTGCTTCTAGAGTCTGGCGCTCCTTTCGAGCCAGTGCTGTCGCATGCCTCTCGACTTCCACTCGGGCTTTGTGCAGCGCCTCTTTCGTCGAGTCGTACGACTTTTGCAACGTGGTCAAGTTGCGTTGCGAGATGGAGAATTGAGTCTTGTTGGATTCCAGCTGGCTTCTCACGTGTTGCAACTCGTTGTTCAGCTGAAGAATGAGCTTGTTGGCATGTAAATTCGCCTTGTCCGACTCGGAGCTTGAAGATGTAGCCGCATCGCCGCTGACAGCTCTACGAGCAATGACATTGACTTGGTCATTCAGACTTGCAAGACGCCGTCTCTCGCTCGCCACAGTAGGCGCGAGGAATCTAGCCGAAGAGGGGCCAGTACTGACATCTGTTCCTGCAGTACTACTGGCCCGACTGGACGGCCGAATGTTCTCTGCTGACGCCGCTACTTCGACAGTAGCATCCGCCCTACGACGCGATGCCACAGATTCCGCAGAGGAAGGTGTCGGCCGACTTGAAACCGGAGCAGATGGAATCGAGGTTCCGCTCGTCGTCCTCGTCCTCACAGGTCTGGTAGGAGGTGGGAGCCCTCCTGTGTACGGCTTGTCTGAATAAGCCCTCGGAGGCATAGAGACTCTGACGCTTGCCCTTGGCTTGCTCACTCCAGCAGCCAGACTACTGTCGCCATTTGACTGGGTACTTCCTGTCTCCAAGGCTGCCACATGGGCATTCTTCTGTCGCAACAGGTGCTTCAGCTCTTGTACTTGCGCTCGTAAAGATGTCACCTCATGCGCCTCGATCGACACAGCGGACCTTTTCCGATCGCTGTCCTCAGCATCTGTCGACGAAGCATTGGCATTGCTTGAATTGATCGAAGTGTCCGTGGTCACTCCGTTTGCAGCAGGTAGGGCCTGTGGGAGGCCTTCCGGCGCAGCTTTGATGCTTGATGGGGTCGGACTTTCGAGAATATTACTAAGTCGGGAGGGTCCCGGATGAGGCGATCGAGGATACTTCCGGGGAGCCAAGTCAATCTCGTCATGAGCAGATGCAGGCTTCTTCTGAGGGGTCTCTACTTCTGTCGCCTCCTCACGCGACTTCGGCGCAGCTGAGTCTGCTGCTGAATGGTTTGCAACATCCGCAGGCTTAGAGGCTGACCTGTCGGTCTCAGGGACAGCTCCAGATGCCCTCATTTCGTCGAGCAGCTCCAAGATGCAGATGTTGTCCTCCCAGCCAGTCTGTGAGCTCTCTGGGAGCAGCCTTTCTCTGCATCTAGCACATTCGTCTGCGATCCATCGCAAACTGGTCTTGTCCTTCTTGGTCTCCTTCATTAGGATTCCCAGCCAGGTCTTCTTCGACTTTGCAATCTCTGTCAGGCGCCTTGCTTCGTCAGCAGAGATCCCGAGAGGCTTGACAAGTAGTACGGCCTTCCCGGCACGTAGTGCAAGTTCCGCGTTGTTGTACTGCTCTGTCTGAGGCGAGTCGATGATCACCGCGTCTACGTTTGGGGAGGCGAGCAACACGGACGTGGTTGCTGCATGCGCAGGCGATGGATCAGAAGAGGATGCAATGGATGGAAAATGACACTCAAGGAACTCCTTTGCAGAAGGTTGGGCTGCTGAAATCATAATAGCGGTAATGCGATGCTGTATGGGTAGAACAGACCCCTTGCCTTGGGCTGCCGCTGCTGCTTTGACATCTTGAATGAACCTGGTCGCTGCAGGGCCATTGCCGATAACGCCCCATTGGCATATGAGAGGCTGCACGTTCATTTTTTGGGGGGACTGAAGCAGCCTCAGTGCTACACTGTTTACCGAGACCTCGGACCGAGCTGCTGAGCCCCTGAGGGCGTTGTGCGACCGAGGGGGGATCGCAGCAGCCCGATTATGCGGCGCTGGTCACGAGAAAAGTATTCCTAAGCTCCAAGACCGCTATGATCCGAGCCGTGAGGTGTTATACTCTAGACTCGGCTAAGCTCTTCATGCTAGGCTCCGAGGGGTGAGCATTGTCGGACGGAATGAAGGGTGAGGGATGGTGTTGGTGTCTAAAGTGTTGATTGACTGTTGGACGCTCCTCTAGTGCCAATCTCGCTCAAACTCCGACGCGGGCGGCAGGAACGGAAAGGGAGGCCAGCAGCGCGGGCGTCGGTGCTCCTCCCAGAGCCGAGGTCCGATCGACCACTGCCTTCTTCGTATCGCCCCAATCATACCCCTTCGCCTTGCTACATTACATCCTTCCGAATACCCTAGACAGACAGAGCGACAGACAGTGGCAAGAAATCAGCCACGCACATCTCATCACTAGCCCAGTCGATTGCATCACTTTCATACGATGTCATTCTACGCCTCGGGACCGTCCGCCAATGGCCCGCTATCCCCTTCCTTCTCCCCCTGGGGCTCCACAACAGACGACGTCGACGACCCATGGCGGGTCCAATCTACTTCTTCCACATCAGCAGCCGGCGGAGATTCTCTGACGGCATCGACCAGCTCGTCGTCTGCTGCAGCCCCAGATCCTGATGATACGGATGAGCGGGCAGCGTTCGGCGGAAAGCCACACTCGCCGCCCGCACCACCTATCACCGCGCCAACAACAACGAGCTCCTTTGGCAACAATGCTCACGGAGGATCAGGAGGTGGAGCCAGTGGTGGCTTTGGCAGCGCTGGCGCTATCTCTGGATCAGATCTGGTCGGCGTGGGTAGGACGCCCGCTACCTCGCTAGGCCGCACTTCCTCTAGCGGAGGCTGGGGGCCTTCTCCTGGTCTAGAGGAGGAGCAGAGAAGGTCCTACCTCTTCTCACAGCCTGGAGAGAGGGATACGTCCAACAGCATTAGGCAAGACGAGGAAGTCTACAACTACCGGCCTCCGACCTTTGGCAACAACAGTCGTATTGACAGGGACGAGTCTGGCGGGTCGTCAGGCCCGACACCGCCCTACAGCAGAGGAGGCAATGAGTCAGGGGCCTTTATGGGAGGCCCAGCAGCAGCGGGAGGATTTGCACCTCGAGCATTCAACTCTCATACTCCGTCATCTATGCTACCAAATCGATCGCACGATGGCTCCTCCAACCCTGCAGCTCAGGGACAGTCTCGGGTCGTAGAACAACAGAGACAAATTGTCCCTGGCTACCCCATGCCGCAAGGCCTCGCAGGAGGCAACACAGGATACTCGCCATTTGCTAGAGTGGATAGTCTGGGCACAAGACGTGAGGCGCCGGAGGATATGTATGGAGTGCCGGAGAACTTCTTGGAGGTGGAAGTAAGGAATCCGATGACGCACGGTGAGCAGCGGAGCGATTGTGCTAGATGAGATAACGCGCCGACCATGAAAGGCAAAAGCTGACCACCTCATCGTCTTGTCCCTCTGATCAGGCTACGGAAGGAAGATGTACACAGACTATGAGATCGTAACAAGGGTGAGGCACACATGGATGGCAACTGATATTGCAAGCGACCTCTCCGCTGACAGCCGCCCTTCTCCTGCTTTCGCTTTAGACAAACATTCCGGCTTTCCGCTTCCGTTACTCGACAGTACGTCGGCGCTACTCAGACTTCGAGTACTTCAGAGACATCCTGGAGCGTGAGACCACTAGAGTAAACATTCCGCCTTTGCCTGGAAAGGTCTTCACAAATCGATTCACGGACGAGGTCATTGAGAGCAGGAGAGAGGGTTTGGAAAGATTCATTACGGGTGTCGCCAGCCATCCTTTGCTACAGGTGAGTGAGGAGCTGAGACCAGTAGGGATTGCGAAGAGACGGAGAGACACGGTGCTGACATTGACCATCTAACATTCATCCTCCTTTAGACTGGCTCCAAAGTCCTGTGCGCATTCCTGCAAGACCCGGCCTTCATGAAGGAGCAGTGGTCGTAATACCAGCACATGCAGTACTTGTCGATGTTTCGGCTCGAAGGGGACGAGCTGAAGCGCAGATGCGCTTCACTGGAATGTACTACCTCAGGGGTCCCGCTCCGCCGGGTCAGCAGCTGGGTCTACTTCACCTGCGCGAGCTACCACCCCACCTCATGTAGCGACCTTCTGTCCCCCCTGTTTATCTGTTCCAAATTCTCAGCGCAATGTTACCTCTTCTCCCGACTTTCTCGCTTCTCCCTCGTATCTAGAGTCATCGGGGATCGTTGTGCAGTCGGATCGGAGTCAGTGTGCAACGGACTGAGACATGGCTTACGTGAGGAGCGTGGAGCACTCCCGCCTCCCACCGGGAAGGGTACAGCAACGTCATTCCGTCAGGTAAGCAGTGCGAGTGCCCATCGAAGCGCCTATAGGCTCAACATCTACCTCTTTGACCTCCCTGTACCTCTTATATATGCTCCGAAGTGCTTCCATACGTGCACTTAGACCGCTAAAGCCTCGAATTGTCCTGACCATCCTCCAGCCCCTTCACACGAGCTCTTACCGCTACACCTCCACATCCCCTCGCTTCAGCAGCAACAGCAACATGCCTCCAAAGAAGGACGCTCACGATCTCAAGGAAGGAGATGAAGTCTCCTGGAAGTGGGGTTCCAACCATCCCTCTGGTACCGTAAAGGAAGTCGTGGATGGAGATGCTGAGGTGACTACTAAGCGGGGGAGCAAAGTGAGCAAAGAGGGGGATGAGAGCAACCCGGCGGTCAAGCTTGACACCGGCAAGAGTGATGCTGTGAAGAGTGTGAGTATCTCAAGTAGACGTCTGTATCTGCATACTTAGTAGCTAGACAGCTGATCGTATATGTCTCGCTGCTCCCTACAGGCTAAGGAAATTGATGGTGTCAAGCCTGCTTGATCTGCCTGATTTGGGCCCTGCCTGGAAGAACCTGTATCATAGGCACTGTTTCTGAACACAATCGCAAAGCTGGAACACACCTGCTCAGGAGCGAATCATAAGTCTGCAAACGGCATGAGGAGAGCAGATGATGATGAGAGAACACAGAGATTTGACATGAATTACATGGACGCATATCGCAAAGGCGAAGGCGAGGCGTGCGGTAGCAGTGACAACAGGAGATGAGACAGGCAGAGTGGGAACCATTGCGGGGAAAAAGACTTTGTTCGATTACTCGGCCTTGGGAGCGCCGCGTCCGGTGATGGTGCGGAAGAGAGAGCCTCCCTTCTCTCCACTGCCGGTACGGGTGCGGTGCAGCATGAGCTCCTCGTGTCGGCTCTCGGCTGCGAGCTGGTTCTTCCGGTCCTGCTCGAGGTGGTGGCTGAGAGAGACATTGGCAGAAGGGCGACGGCTGTCGGAGAGGAAGAAGGTGTACACTGTAGTGGGGGAGAGAAAGGGGAGAATACAGTCAGTGGACGGGTCTCACGAGGCTTGCTCAATCTGCGTTACTCACGTCCAGCGGCAAAGATCGTCACAGGAATGTTGGTAAGAGCAGCAAGTGCGGTGTACTTGGAGGGCTGGAAGCACTCTCGACCGAAGACGGAGGCACAGGCGAACCTAGCGCCAACGTCACGAGCGGTGTTGAGAGCAATGGCTCCTGGTGCCTGCGAGCTGACAACGACGAAATAGGCGAGTCCGATGGCCCAAGGGGCGTTGACAGGGGAAGTGAAGATGTTCTGAGAGTCAAGGTTGGCCCAAATGACCAGTCCGATGACGAAGGCTCCGATGATCTCGTTGGTGACCATGTCGCCGTAGGTCCTGCCAGCTGCTGGGAACAGGGCGATGATACCGGCAGGTCCCGATGAAGTGAAGATGGCGGCCGACTCTCCGGCTGCTCGAAGTCCAGCCTCATAGGCGAAGATGGGAGTACGGTTGATGGCAATGGTGCAAAGAGCACCGATGTAGCCACCGAAGATCTGAGCAACGATGTAAAGAGGGGCTCGGCTGATGGGGAAACCCTTGAAGATGACTTGACAGATAGTGACGGCAGGGTGAAGATGAGCTCCGGAGTTGAGACCAGCCATGTAGATTCCGAAGACGATACCGAATGCGTAGGCGAGAGCGATGTTCAGGAAGCTGCCGTACTCTGTTCCTGCAACGGCGCTGAGAACGAAGAGTGCAGTGGCGGCAGTGCCCATGAAGGTGAAGAAGAAGACACCCAGGGCTTCACCGATGACAGCCGACAGCCAATCGGGTCTGATCGTCTGCCACTTGGAGCGGAATCGGGAGTGGTCCAGACCAGCAGAGGCGACCACGCTGCGTTGAACGTCTGTCCTGCCTTCGGCGACTTCAGTCAATCCCAACTCTATGACAGACAAAGACGAGGAGAGAAGACTCTGGTCAGTCGATGGTGGCGATGGCGTGTGCTGCACAAAGGCCTAGCACATTTGCTGGTGCTGGGCGATGAAGTCACTCACCAAGTTGTCCAGGCTCTCGGTGGCTTCGCTGGAAGTGGTGCTCCTGTTGAGCATTGATCTTGTGATCAGACTCGGTCGAGTCTGCTCGCGGGTCTGAAGCATACTGGTAGCCTGTCTGTTGGTGACTCATGTTGGAAAAGAGGATGAAGGAGGAGGATGAAAGTGAGGTTTGTCGAGGTCACTACTGGGACAAGGCCTGGATGTGAAGGTGAAGTTGATTGCAAAGGGGGGCGACAAGGGGCGGGGACGACGCATGGACGACCTTTTGAAGCATGCACCGCTCCTGGTTGTAAGCCCTTACGGTATGCATCGTGGCATTGGGTTTCAGAGTACTTCCTCTGCCATACTGCCTTGCTGCTCCTCGTGTGCAATCTACCCCACACATGTATGTCTACCCCACGGGGAGGAAGTAGGCGAAAGCGCTCGAGGTGCGGCGTAGCGTGGCAGAGGAGGCGCAAGGGCTGGAGCCAGTGCAGACAACCCCGCATCGGCTTCCGTGGCCCCGGAATGCCAAGTGTACGGCGCTTCTGCCGGAAGAGGATGCCGTCTTAACCGTCAATTGGACAACGCAGTAAGCTCCGACAGTCTCGCCTTACGCCAAGGGGCGTCACCACAGTCAGCACCAACGAGGGGCAGAGCTGTTCAGAGGCCTCGCTTAGCTCGGTAACGGAGTCCGACGTTGCTCACGGAGTCCGGAGTGCGCGGATGGGTTTCTCCGTGTCGAGCAGTGAGATGCACCGACAGTGTCAGTGGAGAGCAGCAGCAGCCTCGCCGGTTTGAGCGGTTTCGAGAGGCTTGATGTCTCTGCTGTGGTATGCGCGTAATCGAGGGGCTGGAGGACTCTGCTGTAATATTATCATGCCGCTCTGTTGCCGGGACACGAGTCTACATGCACTCCTCCTCTTGAGTAAGGGTCAGCAGACCTTGTAAGGGGAGGCAAGCAGCAGGAAAGCCCGCCACCAACCTGTCCAAATGTCAGGCACCAGCTCCCATCTGCTCACAGTCCAGCTGCACCAGCACCATCCCAGGGGCAGGCAGACGCAATTTGTACCACATTCCTGCGGGTCATTGCGGGGCCCCGTTCTATAGCCCCTCGCCTCGGCTCAGGTTCCGCCGGTCCAATGTCAGCATTCAGGCACCGGCCATCGCGACAGCAGCACCGCCCAGGTGCTTTCATCTTGCTTCAACTCTCACTCTGGTTACGTCCGAGAGTGTTTCGTACTTGCCGACGGAGCAATGTAGCTTCCGCCCGTGCCGCATGAAATGAAGTCGCCCCTGTAAAGGAGGGTACTTCCTCCCCGACGACTGAGACCAAGCTATATCACTTCATCCCAAAGAGAGCGGAAATTGTATTGCAAAACAAGGCCAGACAGAGCACGAGCCAAAATTCCGACGAGCGCATAGCGATCAGTGGTGACGAGCTTACTTGGGCGAAATGATACTGTCAGGTGTGAAGTAGAAGAGCATCGCCTTCGTGTCAGAACAGGACGCAGTACGGTATCTGCTGCACGCGATTCTCTACTCACACTTGGAAATCCTTGTCCTTGGCACCCTCGCTCACCTCGACCGTCACAATGTGCTTGTTCTCGTCGACCGAGGTCGACACCTCACTGGCGCCCTCTCCCTCCACAGATACAGTGACTCCGCTGTTGTACAGTCTCTGTCCATCGTAGGCAATTTCAATCTTGTCGGCTCCAACGCCGCGGTAGGATCCAGTCCACTTCTTCTGGCCCTTGGCATCCTCAAACACCTGAGTCACTCCAACGCTCTTGGCATCTTGGGACCCCCCATTGGAGGTGTTGAGCTCGTAAGGGTGGTAGCCGAAGGAGTAGTAGACGTCTCGCACCCGGCCGACACACATGGGTGTCTCTGCAGCAATGGTAGAGACGACGGCAGTGGGGATGGCACCATTCAGGTGGACCTTGACGATGTATGTCAACTCCACGTCCTCTCCCTTCTTTTCGATTCTCCATCCGCTGATGTCTACGGTAGCTCTAGTACGACTTTTCTGGTATGAGCCAGCCTCGGGAAGATTCTCTTCATCAGTGACTGTAGTCTGGATGATATCAATCTGGTCTCCTCCCTTTGAGTAAAAATTCTCCTGAATGCCCACGATGTCCCTGGCCCAGACAAAGTAGGACGGGGACTTCATCAACGAGTAGAACTCGTACGTATGGGGGCCGTAGCGAGCGATGGCGTGGCCCTGATCGAAGCGAGGATCCCACTTGACTCGGATGCCCGGCAGTTGAATCGCTGCAAGGACCTGAGCCGGTGTGGCTGACTCAACGGTGGTGATACCTCGCGTGAGAGGCAGAGCACCGGCTTCCTCGGATGTGTTCTTGCGTGCGAGCTTGACGTCCTCCTTCTCCGGAAGAACCTCCCATGAACCATCGTCGTTGATGTGAGAGTCAAAGAGGGCACGAGCTTTCTCCAGTGCGGCGGTGTATTCTGCGGGCCTTTCGTGGTAGCCGGTGGGAGCGGGATTGGAAGGAATGTTGAGCGACATGCTGAAGTATAGGATGAGAGAGATAAAGTATGGATAGGAGAGAGGAATTCAGCAGCGAGAAGCAGGCTCAGTAAGAGATGTTGAGCGGCAATGGGGGTGACGAGGCGAAGGGATGTGGGGGTGGACCGGGGAACGAGATACAGCACCCCTCATGCGTGAAAGCAGCGGTGCAGCTCCGCCGGAATCTGCGAACGCGGTCAGCGCCTCTTTCCGCTGCTGCGAACCTCACCTTGCCCCAGCAATCTTGCTCGGGGATATGGCAGGCAGCGACATGGAGAAGCTCAGTAAGGAGATGCTAGCTTCGAGAATGACATGGTCTATATTCTATCGTTCAGTAATCGATTGTGCCTACGCAGTCTCCATCGGCCACGCCCCTTTTGAAATTCGGTGAAGCTGGTCAGGCGGAGCCGTCGTCGAAGCTTGATTGCCGCTCCACCTCCACGCGGGGGCGACGGTTCCACTGATGGCAGACGACACCAAAGCCCGTTTACCTTTATATTACTGGCTTATATCCGACAATTGACACTGCTCAAATCATCTATTCTCTCATTTTCAACACACACACCTTGCACATATCAGCCCAACATGCCTGCTTCAGCCGGTGCGTATCGAGCAAGTCTGGCGAGGACTTCTTCGCTGCTGCGAGGAGGCGGAGCGAGGACAGCCTTGGCCACCACCCCAGCCCTCGTACCATGTCTCGCACGAAGCTCACGAACCTCTGCTCCTCCTTCCTCCTCTTATGGATGCTCTCACATTCGTTCCTTCTCTTCACGGACCATGCCGTTGCGCTTTCCCACTACTGCAGAGACCAAGGACTACAAGTTCAACCACACGATGCTTCGTGTGAAGGACCCCAAGGCCAGTCTGCACTTCTACACCGAGAGTGAGTATATACAAGCAGGTGCGCCAGAGTGATCTTCGCTTCCATTTCTGACAAGTCATCCCCTCTGCCGTTCTCCTCACCTTTAGTCCTGGGTATGGACCTCATCGACGAGCATGACGGAGGAGACTTCAAGCTTTTCTTCCTCGCCTACGCCAACTCTCCCAGCGCAAACCCCGTGCGCTCTCAGAGGGAGGCTATCCTTGAGCTCACCTGGAACAAGGGCACAGAGAACGACTCCAATTTCAAATACCACAACGGCAACGACGAGCCTCAGGGATTCGGTCACACATGTATCTCAGTCCCTGACCTCGAGGAGGCATGTGCGCGTTTCGAGAAGCTGGGAGTTGAGTTCAAGAAGAGGCCTCAGGATGGAAAGATGAAGACGATTGCCTTCATCTACGACCCCGACAAGTACTGGGTTGAGATCATCCCTCAAAAGAAGTGACTCAACAAAGAATTAAAGGAAAGCAGAATGTGAGGTGGCCTGACCTTGAGAGGGAGCACCCTTTCCAACTTCAATGTTATCGGCCCTTGTCGCGCATGACCCACTCGTATCTACTGTCTGAGCTGTGCATTTGACTGCTCTTCATGTAGCGCTGTGTATGTCGCTGATCCCTACGACTGTAGAGGCATGAGCTGCTCTGTCAAGAAGAAGGGACAGGGTCCGCTGACTAAGCCAGTGTGGCCTCGCACGCGTGACTCAGCTGGCGCCGCATGACGTCGAAGGAAACCCGCAGAGTCTCGCTTCCTACAGTGGACCCTCATGATACGGCACAATGACAGTGTCCACAGACGGGACTGGCACCTCAGAACCTCCCATGCTGACGCCCGAAGCTGTCAAGTGAGCTCAGAGTCCCCAGGTGTGCTCGAGAATAGCAGAGACTGGCGGACAGGAAGAGTGGAGGGCCGTCTGATCGTCGTGGCTATCTCATTTCTTCGAATCTTCGCATACAGACTCGGAAGAACTTGTTTCTATACTTCTCGCTCTGTACATCACATACCGTTATCTGTCAATACTTAACATGTCGAACCCATCTCAAGGTGAGCTTTAAGCTGGATCTCCTCCTGACTGCGACAGCAACGTAGTACTAACCGTCCCTGCATCTCTTTCTATCCTTGCAACGTCTTCTGTTCAGGCTACAAGCTCCCAGAGTCCGTCCCAGGCGCCGGCGAGTCCGGTATCTCTGGCCAAAATACCAACCAGGAGGCTCTGGCCAACGGCGGACGTCAGCCACAGACCCTCAATGAGGAGGTCGGACAGACCCTGCCCTCCAACTTTACACTCGCCAACACCAAGGCTGAGACCAAGGGAGAGGACCACCTGTGAGTATCGAGAGCGAGGGCACAGGAAGTCTTTCAGCATCTGAGGGTGGCCCATAGCCGCGAAGAGTAGTCCGAAGGCACGTAGTCTTGTCTCTGCCCGATGCAGGTCTGACGCCGGTTGGCTCGGCTGCTACGGCCTTGACACCGATGCCGGGGTGATATTTGGAATTGCGATTGATCACTTACTCAGAGCTGATGCCCATCCTTGTTCAATCCTCCCTTCCTCTCCCCGTTCAGCATTACCAACCCTCAGACCGGCGACCCGCGAGACAAGGTTCGCGCCCCTGTCAACTCGCACGACATCGACATGCCGGAACACGCCCCTTCCCAGGCAATGCAGAGCAACGAGTCGTCCAAGGTTCCCCACAGTGCCGACACTGGCAAGCCCCAGGTATAAGATGCCAGTTCGGAAGCAAAAGAATTAGGGTGTTAGAAGGAGCAGGACAGGGGAGCTGAATGTAAAGCGATTACGAGCGTGCATCAATCCATGTCTGTCTTTTGAGCCCCTGCCTCTGCTAGAGGCGCCTGTTTGCCAGCGTGAGCACTGAATTAGGAGGCTCGCTGCCGACTAGACTCGGTGTAGCATTGACATATGAACTGGTAACCAACTTTGCGTTGACGTTGGGTGGGCGAAGGTTGGAAGGTGTGCGGCGTGCCCGCTCATAAGACATTCTGGGTGCGCGCGGCCGGGGCAGCGCTAGTGTTGATCTCGTGTGTTACTTGCATCATACCCACTTTTGCCCTCCTTCCATCACCCTCCGCGATCACTTCCGTCAGAACTCTGTAAAGACATGTTCAACTCGTCTCGCTCAGGGAGCGCTGCTGCTACGAGGCGGCTGACGCTAGAGTACAAGCAGTGAGTAAGGCTTTGGCTGTGGAGCTCTGGCACAGCTTCCCGGGCCCAGTGGGGCAACGATACTAACCCCGCGAATCTCTCCTGGCCCTCGTTTCAGACTCGCTGCCGAAGACTCTCTCTTCCCGGCTTGCGGGCCCATCGATGAGAAGGATCTGCTACACTGGGAGGCCCTGGTACCTGGTCCCGATGATAGCCGTAAGTAGTCAGGCCATGTTGGGCGGAACGAAGCCAGCGTGAAGGGCGAGGGAGAGAAGCGCCGGCGAGACTCGAGATGGAGTCCAAGATGCTGAGAAGCCCTTACGTTCCCTCTTCCATCGATCACTAGCATTTGAGGGAGGTGTCTTCAGCGCCAAATTGACTTTCCGTGAGTGAGGTGATGAAAGCCGACGACCTCGATGTGCCGTAGTTGCCTGACTGCATCACTACGAACACCTCGCATCTACAGCTCCGAGCTACCCACTGGAACCACCGACAATGAAGTTTGACCCGCCCATCTTCCATCCCAATGGTGAGTGCAGAACGAGGGGATAGAGCCTTAGCGAAGCGCTGACGTGGTAACTGCTGCCGTCTTCTCGCCTGCTCAGTGTATCCGGATGGTACTGTGAGTGTACGGCTAGTGCTGCACGGCCAAGATGATCACGAGGCTCATCCTTCTCTGCCTTTCACTACGCCACAGGTCTGCATCAGCATCTTACATGCTCCTGGGGATGACCCAAATAGTGAGTGGGACCATTACAGCCATAGCAGGACTCGCTCGCCGGGACGATCTGACTCATTCGCATCTTCATCACCTTGCATAGTGTACGAGTCCTCCTCGGAACGATGGTCACCCGTCCAAAGCATTGAAAAGAGTGCGTCACAAAGAATAGAGCATAGAATGATCAATTCCACCTCAAATTGCTGACTGCATCCGCCCCTCCCAATTCAACAGTTCTACTTAGCGTCCTCAGCATGCTCGCCGAGCCAAACGTGGAAAGTGGTGCAAATATAGATGCCTGCGTGAGTGTCTGCTGGGGTGCAAGCATATGCTACTCAAACGCAGACCCCAAGACTGACTCTCAATGTGACATTCCTACACCCACTTTTCTTCTCCTTCTGCAGAAGATGTGGAGAGACGATCGCAAAGGCTATGAGGAGGTCGTCAGGAGGTCGGTCAGAGAGCAATTGGGACTGTAGCATCCAGGTTCGTATGGCCAAGCTTCCCGCTACCTCCGCGATCGCACCCAGCCAGCAGCGGCCTCTTCGTGGCCTGGTGGTCCACGATAGCCACGATCCATCTTATCTTCCGCAGCCCCGATAGTCCCATCCAGGTCCCATGTCACACTATGAAATGCGCCTCCTCTGATGGAGCATTGCCGCCCCTCCTTCCGTTCCTGCGAACGTTGCAGAGGCTGTTGTTACATTGAGTAGCTTGATGTCTAAGAAATGAACTTCATGATTCTATGCCTCTACACCTTGCTCGCTGTTCTCGCCCTCCCCTTTCTCTTCGCCATTGAATGATGTCTCTTCCTCCTTGTCGCTGCCATCTGTCGAGTCTCCATCTCCTTCTTCGTCCCCCGACTCCTGGCCCTCCAGTGGGCCAAGCTCAGCACCCGGGAAGAGCCAGATATGACTGCACCGATTTGAAGAAAGTGCAAAGGTTATCGCATTGTGACCTCGCTCGGCCTGACTCGGTCAAAAACTCACGTATCTCTGAATCTCTTTGGTTCCCAGTCCGGCTCGCTACTTTCCACCTCGCTCTCATCACCCTCGCTTTTGCCAACGGCTTCAGCGACTGAATCTTCTCCCACGACAGCCTTGTCGGGTTGGGGCGTGGGTAGCTTCCATCCCAGCTTCCTACAAAGCCACTCGACAATGCCATCTGCATCTCCAAGCAGCATGATATCGACTCCTACATGGAGTACTGGCGTCTTGTTGATGAGTATCACCGGTACACTGTGAGGCAGATGACCCACCACCGAAGATACGGGTGCTACTTTGAGCGAAGTACCAATGATGACCAGGAGAGAAGCCTGACCACGGTCAGAGAGGAGGCAATGCTCGAATGTCGAGGAGAGCTTCTCTCCGAAGAAGGTAATGTCGGGCTTCATGATCGAGGTGTGCTTGCCATCATCGTTCTCGTCATCGTCTGCATCAGAATCTCCAGCGCCAAAGTCAGATCGCCGTTGGGAAGCCTTACCTCCTTCGAGCTTTCTTCGCTTCTTGCTCTTTCCCTTTGACTCTTGCCGCCTTTGCAGACAGGCCGGACAGTTCGGCACTCTTTGCGCAAAGATGTCGTCCTTGATTGTAGCTCCAGGTGCTTGGAACGAGCATGTCACACAACTGGCGGTGGCGAAGCTGCCGTGACAGTTGAGCACCTTGCGAATGCCTGCGGCCTGCTCGAGGGTGTCTATGTTCTGCGTGTAATTTCTCAGCAATTGACCTCTGTCCTCCAAGAGGCGAATGAAGCGATGCGAGGATGAAGGTCTGAAATTCGACGGGTAGATATCCTTGGCGAACGAGTAGAAGACGTGCGGGCGGTAGAGGAAGACGTCCTTGTCGAACATGTCCTGCGGGTCATCTAGCTGGTACTCTCCCGCGCGTTGCAGACGGGCGTAGATACCATCTTGAGAGCGAAAGTCGGGAATCCCACAGGACGTCGAAATGCCTGCTCCTGAAAGCACGATTGTACTGCGAGAGTCCCTCAGCAAGCTTAGTGCGTCTTCTAGGGTATTGTACTGGGGAAGCTTCTCCCGCCGCTGCAGCAGCCGATGTAGGGCAATCTTCAGCAGGGAAAGAAGTACATCTCGATCTACTCCAGGATCTCGCAAAGACTTCGGCAGAAGTACGCCGAGCGTCACCAGGAAGTGGAGAATTGGTGTTGTGTCTGAGATGTTCTGCCGCAGAAAGGCGACCAGACCGCCTTGCTTGAGCTCACGAACAAGAGCTTTCACTCGTGCGGGTGGGTATGAGATCTCGGCCTCCCTCACAAGCCGGTCTAGATCTTCTTCGTCTTCGCTCTCTAGGTCTGCTTCGTCCTCCAGAGCCTCCAGAACTTCCGAGTCGCAGTCCTGATACGCGGCAGCTGCAGCCTCCTCCTCCTCCTCCTCTTCTTGCAGCCCCGAGTCTGGAGCTGTTTCCTGTCCCGCGTATAGCGGAACGATGCTCCTCTCCCCTTTCACGTGCCCGGGGTCGTGCTGGTTTGAGACAGTTGGGGCAACATGCAAGGAACCCGCAGGAGATTGGTTGGCGGCATTGACCTCCTGGGCCTTTGCATCAATCATTCCCTTGAAGTGCTAATTGACAGGCTTGTTGCAGCGTCTAAGAGGGGTAGTGGTAGCACAGAGCTGTCAGTGGACGCTTTCGCGGAGCCGAGATCTCGCGCCCAATAGGCGATAGGCGGCTACTTTTTGCCCGCTGGAAATTCAGTGGCTGCGTCCGGTTTCCCGGGTGTGGGGACCGGCGGGTCGTCTGCCGGGCCGGCAGCCTCTCACGTCCGCGCCACCTGTCTGTCCAGTGCGGCCCCCACGTCCAGAATTGCTTATGGTACGGTGCCTTGGGACCGTCGGGGGACAGCGAGATACTGTGGTACGATCTCTTATTAGTTGAAGCTTTCCCAAGATGTAAAGCTACTTTCAGATTGCGCTCAATCTCAGCCAGCCTTTACCATGGAGCTTGGAGTCCCCAGTGGGCATGGTGTGGCGGTGACCCCGCGAAATAGATCCAACTCCGCTTCTTCCGGACGTGCTGCACTTCTCCCTTCTTATTTGCAATTGCACTTAGCCCAGGCAGATGAGACGCTGCTTGGACCAGAGCCCTCAGCGCCACACGTAGCTGAGTGCGACAGAGGGGAGCCTAAGTGAAGGGAGAGCGACAGATGGACACAGCGTTGGTGGGAGAATGTTGCCGAGGCAAATTGCCCTTCTTCGGTTGTACCACTGATCCTCGGCTGAGTCGGTCCTTCTTGTCTCACTTTCCTCGTCCTCCCCCCTCCCCCCGGAGCAAACTCGCCGCGCCTGCCCCCTTCCCCCGCCTCGCCCACTCTCCCTTCCTGCTACGGACCCCGAGTTCCTCCTTGGCGCAAAGATCCTTCCATTGTTGCTGGCTGAACAACGCCTTTGCGCCCGCATCTTACTGTTACCATTCCCCCCTCGAGATCTGCATGGGAAACAGCGCCCTTGACGCCGTTGCTGTTGCTCTCGTATCGCTCTACGCCCAGTACGGAGATTTGCTCCTTTGCCCTCGGACTTGCCCTTTTCCGCCCGCTCCCTCTCCTCATCCGGGGTCGCGCTAGCATTACCAATCGCTCCAAGATACAATCAGCCAAGGCAATCTATATCCTCCCTCGCCGCCCTCGTCTCCGTCCTCCGCCCAATTTCCCCTTCTCTTCTTCCCTCTCCCTCTCAGGCGAACAAGCAACGGCAGGACCGGGCCAAGCACTCGCCGGACGAACCGATCGGCCTCTCTCTCCCTCACTCCGGTCCCTGCTCCTACTCATCCGACCTTGAGGCGACGACCAGCCAACGCCAGATCCGGTGTTTGCTCTGCCTCTTGCGTCCGAGAACGCGTAGCATACCCACACTGGACCCACACAGTCGCCCTTCGTTGCCCGAGCAATCGCTAGCCTACAAGAGATGGAAAAGTAAAGACGCAGAAGCTCCTTTCGCCTCAGGTCACTCTTCCCCTTCCCTACTCCTGATCCTTGCACTCCTTCCGGGTTCCTGCTATACCTACTTCACTCTCGCAGGGCACTATATACTTCTATCGCCATTTCATTTGGCATACACTACCTGGAGATCCACGTCATATACCATCAAGGCGAAACATCGGGCATCTCATCGGATTCTACCTTTGACGCAATCTAACTCGTGCGTGCAGTCACGTTCGACAACATGGTAGCAGGAGGTCAAGCCGGAGATCCCTCCAGGTCCGATAGTCAGGCCCACTATGGCTCATACGACAGCACCTCTCGGAATGCGGCTGCCTCTTCTTCCTCTTCAAACTACTCTCATCTTTCTTCATCTTCGACTTCGCCGCCGACGCAGCGCAATTACCCCAACTCTTATGCCCCAGCGCACACAGAAGGTCAGCGCACAGTGGTCTCATCAACATCGGACCCGCTGTCTCTAGACGCTGGGCAGGGCTCCTCCCTGCTTCGAGGTAGCGAAGCAGACAAGAGGAGACAGCGCATTCAACAAGCCTGTAAGAGCTGTGGTGCAAAGAGAGTCAAGGTGAGTACAGGTTCTTGGCAACGGCTTGCAATGTGATTCCCCTCTGACCTTGGAACACGGACCTGCATGCTACAGTGTGACGGCGCTCTGCCCTGCAATACCTGTCTTAGGACGGGCGAGCAGTGCGAGTATGGAAGGCCCAAGAAGCGAGGACCGCCCAAAGGCTCAACGAGGGCTCCACCCAAGCGCCTTGCACAGCAGCAGCCCTTGCAGACGCATCAGAGTGTGCAGCAGAGCGGGACCTACTCGACTGCCACCTCACATGGCAGCAGTGGCACTAGCAGCGGAAGTCTGGCGTCTCATCGCGGTCCTCCTCCGGTGTCAACGTCTCTCCCTCCCCCATACCGGTCCTTTGAATACGGGCTCTCCTCTAGCCACTCCCAGCCCTCTCTCAGTGCGTTGCCAAGCGACCCACGACTCGTCTCAGGTCAAGTAGGTGTGCAACGACAGCCCAGGCGGCCATCCCCTCCATCTTCGTCAGCTTCGTCATTAGGCATTCATCGGCCGTTCTCTGGGGGCGGGACCCCTCCCGTTCTGCCTCGATTATCTACATCTTCCTTTGACCGTCAGCGAGGCCCTTTGCCGGCACCCTCTGTGCCGTCACCTTCAGCCTCTTGGCATTCCAAATTCCGAGGTGGGTCTTCTGGTCTCGTGAACCTGCCTCGGCTCGTACGTACCGAGACAGTAGGCTCCTCCGGATCACGCTACTGGCCGGACAATGAGAGTCATCTTCAACGTGCACCTCGACGAAGCTCTCCTGCCTCATTCGCACTGGAGCCGATGGCTTCGACTAGCCGGGAGCCTCCGGCCTCCCCTTCTGCCATGGGACCTCTGAGCCCTGCAGCCGCGCCTCCCCAGCACCAGCACACCGCCTCGATAGCTCAATCAAGTGATGAAGAGGTCGTGCCTCGGCAACCTCCTGCGTCACTCACGGCATCTCAGGACCTCGCATCTGAAGGTGTGTTCCTCGACTCGGCTTCAAGTCTCGATAGCGTGCGCTCGAGGATGCAGCTTCATGAGCCACGCTTTCCTCAAGAAGTGGAAGACACAATCTATAGAAATTACTGGAACATCATCTTCGGGCACTGGCCCATGCTCGTGAAGCGCATGCTGCCCACGATCAATGGCATTTCACGTGTCGAAGAGCAGACAGAACCTCTGCTACACAACGCGATATTGTCCTTGGCCGCGTGCATCTGGAGCTTCTCGAGGGACGGGCCGTTACCTGCGGTCAAATTCGGCGAAGAAGAGGAACCTCGAGTGCCTAGCGTCGAAGAGCTGTCCGAGATCTACTTCACGCGTGCTCGTTACTGGCTGGCTCGTACCGACAACGACTCAAGCATTGAAACTGCGCAGGCGCTGCTCTGTATGAGTCTGAGAGAAGGTGGCTGTGGGCGATCGACGCAAGGTGCTCATTATGCGATGTCAGCATGTAGAGTCGCGCTTGATCTTGGCCTTCATCGGCACATGCCGACGACTGACGCATCCCCAGACGAGCTTCAGACGCGTCTCCGTCTGTGGTGGTCGATCTACACCTTAGACAAACTCAACGCCGCTCAACTAGGTCGACCTTGCGTGTTGCGCTTTGTCGAGACAGATACCCCATTGCCCGACACCGATCATCCAGACGAGCTGGAAGTCTTGAGCCCCCTTGGCGGGGCAGCTACTGCTGAGCCCACTGAGCAACCCGTGCAAGCTCTCTCCGGACTCGTTGCCGGCTCCGAACTGGCGGTCATCTTGGAAGAGGTTTTACAACAGTACAATGTCGCACAACGTAGGATTCCTCTCCCCACAGAGCGCAAGTTTGGTAGTAGACGTCTTTCGTCATCCCCAATTGAGGCTTGGGACGTCGCCGTGAGCAGACTCCACTCTCAATTGGACGAATGGTACGACCATCTTCCGTCTCATCTCAGGCTACAAGAAGAAGGGTCAACGTTACCGCATGTCCTGTTTCAGCACATGTGGGCCTGTGCTACTCGTATCATACTTCATCGACCCCACATTCTTCGAGAGACAGTCAACGCAACGAGCCTGCCAGACTCCCACCTGATATGTACAGAAAGTGCGCTTGAGCTTTGTCGCCTTGTCGCAGTATATCGGAGAGATCATGGCATCCGGAAACTTTCTGGTACCATCTCCTACTGTGTCTTCACAGCCGCATCGATTCTACTCGCAAACAGTACGAGTCCGGACGCCAAGATTGCGGCAGAGGCCAAAGTGCGCTTGAAGGAGTGCTGCGAAAGTCTTGGAGCCATCGGTGGCACCTGGGGCAACGCTAGTGTTCACCTCTCTATTCTGAGAAGATTGGGCGAAAGCATAGAGGCCGATCTCGATGGAACTGGGCTGCAGCCAGAAGATCCGAGCCTGACCAGCACAAAGACTGCGATTGCTCACCTGCTTCACCCTGAAGGCGTGACAAGCTCGTCGCGTAGTTCCACACGCGCTCCGGTCTTGTCCCGTGCCTCCAGTCAGCATCGTGGCAGAGACACACCTGGAGTGTCAGCTCTCAATTCGGAGCTAAACAGTGCCTTGAATTCCTCGGTCGGCCTCGAGTCACGCTCGCCGGATAAGCTGCCCGAGGATATCATGCTTGCTCTCCGTGACGAACAGTACTGGTCACGAATGCCTCTGTCCTCCGAGAATGTTGAGGCGTGGAATCTCTTCACCAAGAGCTATCTGGAAGGGCGTCAAGCTCCTGACTACTAGCCTATCCTATTGGACTGCATGCAAATTGGTCCCAAAAAGGTCAAGAGACGGTGTCTGGCCGCGCCGAAGAGCGTCCACCGATGACCAACGAGATCTGGTTGATATTTTGCGAGGCTCGGGACTGCAGATCTCAATCGCCGGTCGCCACTCTCTTCTGTCCGTTGCTCGTTTCGGTTACTTCACTATTGATGTCCCTCCATCTATGTACTCACCTTGTACCCTAGTACTAGTCCCGGTAATTCCATTGCACGCAGTTTCTCTCAGGATAAGCTGTATATGTGCGTGCATGTTCAATGGCTAGCTTGGAAACCTCCTACATGACTCGCCAGAATGCTGCAAAGGACCATGAGCAGCAGTAGTGAGCAATGGGGTTCCGCCGGACCTCTGGGCTGAGGTGGCGGTACGATAATCGCAGATTAGCCCTGACTGGCAGGGTGCTCTCTCTCTCCCCTCTGTGCCTGGGCCTGCCTGCGCCTTGGTTGGGTGCCGGCAGGGCCTGGTCAGCGCGCGCGGACGCTGGGCCAGATGCAGGACGCCGCCACCGATCAGGGCGGGCACTTGAACATGGCCAGGAACTGCTCTCATGCACCCTTGGATCGGCATACTACTCGTCGGGACCTTCTCTCCTACTTGCTAGAATCCTTGGCGATAAGTCTTTGTACCTTGCTCCTTCTTCGACCTGTCTCACTTCTTGGCAGAATCCATCCCGCATCACATAAGTAGTCGCGCTACTGCAAGGTACCGACGATTTGGCATACACTTCACCCTGGCAGCCATTGCTCATTCACACCACGCCAGTTTCAATCGCCGGCAGAGCACGCAGGGACGCTCCACGGCCCTCGGTCTTGCGTAGCAGCTTTGCCCACTAGCTCAATTAGGCCTATCCTTCACAACCATCGTCCAGCGACTCGCTTGCGCAGAAAGCATCAGTGTCAACCATAATCTCTCTACGGCCGCTTTCGTCAGTGGCGCAGCCCTTCGCGGTTCCCTCCGCATTATTCTCTAGCTCAACAGCCTCAACGACCTCTCCAATCTTTCGGCGCTTCAGCACCAGGATGGCGAGTGCCAGCACAAGTACATCCTCGGCTCCAGCTGTGTCCGGTCGGGTGGCGGATGGGCCCTCTCTTCGACTCAACTTGCGCAAGAGGCAGGCTCAACCTCTGTCAGCTGGACAGTCATCGATGTCATCATTTTCGTCTTCGTCTGCAAAGCCTACAACAGCTATCGACCCTCATGGTGTGGAGAGCTCGGGGACCAAGAACGTCGTTGTACTCGGAGGAAGCTATGGAGGCATGCACGCCGCCTCTGTTCTAGCTCAGAAACTCCCTCCCTCGCATCGTGTCATCCTGATTGAGAGGAACAGCCACTTCAACCACCTTTACGTCTTTCCTCGCTTCTCTGTCTTGCCTGGACATGAGCACAAAGCATTCATTCCCTATACTTCAATCTTCGGTACCGCTCCCAAGAGGCGCAGCACTGCAAAGGTAGCAACCCAGCAAAAACAGCAGCGAGGTCGAAAGGACCGGGATCTGGAGAAATCGGTGGGATCTTCCTCGCAAGGCATCTTGGAGATGGGCGGAGATGCCAGACCGTCTCCCACGCAAGCTCAAGAGTTGGTCAGCGATGCAAATGGCGAAGCTGCCTCTCCTTCCGACGAGGAGGGGTCATGGGCCAGTGACTCCAGTGGCAGGAAGGGTGCTGGTAGTACGAGAGACTCCCTCTTCAGCGCGCGCAGCAGCAGTACCACCTCGACCAGCCCAACCGCCTTTACCGATGAGGCGTCTGCGGACAATGACCCAGGCAACAAAGCAATGGAAGGTGCACTTCTCGCTGATGGAGAGAAGCATGCTCGGGCAGAGGAGCATCTTGGACGCCCTCCTCTTGAAGTTACCGAGCTGGGAGACGCTATGGACAAGGGTCTGGATTTAACTGGCGAGCAGAATGATGCGCTAGAAGACGCTGGACTCCCTTCGTCTCCCAGCGAGAATGCTTCGGATGAGGAGGCGGATCAAGGCTTCGAAGACTCGGCACCACATGTAGTTCTCCAAGCCAGTGTCACCAACATCACCGACTCCCACGTTGTGGTCACACCTGCTGCAGACGAGAGCTCTGGAAAGGCAGCATCCTCAAAGCTGTGGTCCATCGACTCGCTTTCCATCCCTTATACGCATCTCATATATGCACTCGGCTCCCATCTGCCGGATCCATTACGAACGGTAGCTCGAACCAAACCGCAGGGCATGCACTGGATGTCTGATGTGCAGAATCAGATCAAGAACTCTGAGCGTATTGTCCTCGTTGGAGGAGGCGCTTTGGGCGTGGAGTTTGCCACTGATATCAAGAGTGTTTATCCCGACAAGGATGTGACCCTGATACACTCTAGGCAGAGGCTGCTGCCCAACTTTGATGAGAGGATTCACGAGATTGCCAAGGCTCGGATGGAAGAGCTGGGAGTGAAGCTGGTGTTGGGTGAGCGCTTGGCGCTGACGGAAGGATGCCCACAGGGCAGCACTACTGCACTGGATCCAGACCCAGAACACGAAGCTAGCCAAGATGCTTCGCGGCCAAAGCCAATTAGACGCCCCAGCGATGCGCTACATTCTGGCCTCAAGCGGGTGCGGACAACGGGTGGCAAAGAGTTCATCTGTGACCTTCTCATGCTCTGTACAGGCCAACAGCCCAACTCGGGTCTGATGGCCTCCCTCTCTCCCTCCTCTGTGGATAGTCACACGCGCCTCGTCAGGGTGCAGCCGACCCTGCAGGTCGCCTTGCCGCCACCTGAGGAGGCTGTCCCGGGCCCGTTCGATGCTCGTCCACCTTGTGGAGACTGCGATTGTTTCCTCGACAAGAAGGCGGCTGGCTCGCAGCTGGACGAGCGGCAGGAGCGGCACTTGGATGATCATGGCAGGGACTCTGAGGAGGCTGCTTCCAGGCAAGGGCGCATCCCGAATGTGTACGCCATCGGCGATGTGGCAGACGCTTTCGGGTCGCTTAATGCCGGTTACCAGGCTTGGAACATGGCAGACGTGGCCGCCGAGAACATCGTCCGCGATATCGGCATTGCCTCGACCGACAACTCAGCCGCGACAGTCGACGATAAGAGGAGCCCTTCTCCTTCGACCAAAGTACAGCCGGTAGAGATGTTGACGTTTACACCTGCGCCAAATATGCTCAAGCTCAGCTTGGGACTGGGTAAGATGGTCTCACAGGGTGGCCCGGTCACAGACAAGGATGAGAATGGCAACGAGCGGACGCGGCCCGAGATCAGTGTCAAGGAGGATCCGCATGACCTGGGTGTTGTGGGCGTGTGGCAGTTCATGGCGGGAGCCCCAACAGAAGACTTGTACAAGTGAAGAGCCAGCTGAGAGACCGCCTCTCGTACTGCAGGCAGTGTTTCACTGCTGCCAATGTCAACATCACGAAAGCACCTACCTCGCCTTGCATTTGCCCTTGTTCTCCTTCCTTGTGCCTGACATTGATGCTTTGGTCGATCGGCATGCCGAGGACCCGGCCGGCGGGTAGCGAGGGAAATCGCGGGGCGCGGGCATGTGGGGCCGTCAGAAATCACGTTTCGCAGGACAAGATCCGACGTCGCAGCTCACGGAGATAACCTGACTTATGCTCAACTCTCTCCCCCTGTCGCCTCCCTCCCGGCACCTTGAATGCATTGTGATACCTCTGGTTCCTTTTCCTCTCTCTCTTTCTCGTTCTATACCTTCCATCCAACTCTGACCTTGGAAGTTCACCTAGACCACCGGCCGGATCTGCCACTGAGTTGACTGCCGGTCTTTCAAATTCGACTGCATCCCGCGGAAAGCAAGTCCTGGATATTACGGAGCCCGTGACCTCGCTATAGAACACCTTCTTTCGATACTCGTACATCTCTCCCGAGGCAAAGTAGGCTCTGTAGTGGTTTATGGTCACCTCCTCTTACCATGAAGGCGATGGAGAGGCGGTGCATGCCCCTCATGCAGCGCCGGCGCTCGGGGCTTACAACAGGCGCTCATCCGATTCTTACAGCTCGCGGACAAGGCCTCTCTCCTCTTCCGGTGTACTGCAAAGCGGCAGCAACTCCAAGCAGGCGGTGAGAGGAGAGGAATCTCAAGATACAGAAAAGGCAAACGAGACGGCATCCTCCGATTCTCAACCATCAGAAGAGCAGTCACCCCCTTCCGCCACAGGGGAGAAAGGCGGAGCAGGCCCCGCCGCGGCCGATCCCAATCTCGTGACCTGGGATGGGCCGGATGATCCTGCGAATCCACAGAATTGGTCGACTTTCAAGAAGTGGCAGGTGATCCTCGTTGCCTCTTCTTGTTCGCTATGCGTGACGAACAATTCGAGTATCGTGGCGAGCAATTACGAGCCGATAGAGGCCGATTTCGGCATTAGTAGGACAGTTGCGATTCTGGGTTTGAGCTTATTCGTTACTGGACTGGGTCTAGGACCGGTGAGTAGGCGTCGAGACCTCGGAAGAGCGAGCAAGAGGGCTGGTCCCCTGACTCCTGACTCAATCTCTACTATCCTTGCAGCTCTTCCTTGGTCCTTTCTCTGAAGCATACGGCAGGCGGCCGATCTACTTGATCAGCTTTGCTCTATTTACCCTCTTTCAATTACCCGTTGCATTCGCCAATCAGTGAGTAGATACAATCTCTTAGATCTGGACTACCCTGAAAGAGCTCTGACTGACGCTCTCCATCCTGGTCCTCCATAGTGCCGCGATCTTCCTCGTCTTCCGATTCCTCGTCGGCATGGCAGGCTCCGCCTTTCTATCAGTGGCGGGAGGCACTGTCGTTGACATGTTCAATCCATACTATCTCTTTCCGCCTATGGTAAGTGGCATGAGAGCTGTAGATACCCTCAGACATCTCCCTGGCTTTGCGCTGACCTTCCTTTCCTCTCCTTCTGCCCAGTGTGTATACACTGCCTCTCCCTTCGGAGGTCCAGCTCTCGGACCACTGATTGGTGACTTCATTGTGGCCTACAAGTCATGGCATTGGGTCTGGTACGTGACCATGATGTGGTCTGGCTTCCAGTACCTCCTGATCGTCTTTTTCGCACCAGAGACATATGGTCCTAAGCTCCTCACACAGCGTGCGCGGAAGCTGCGAAAGGAGACTGGGAATGAGAAGCTGTACAGCGCTCATGAGGAGACCAGGAGGAATCAAGAGTGGTGGCCAACCATGAAGAGCACACTGAGCACGGTTCCGATGCTACTCATCAGAGAGCCCATGTTGCTCGCTCTCTGCCTCTGGTCGGCTCTGTTGCTGGGTATCCTCTACGCCTTCTTCCAGGCGTACCCAATCGTCTTTACGGAACAGCACGGATTTTCCAGTACGCAGACCGGTTTGGCCTTCTTGGGACAGACTACCGGTATTGCCTTGGCGCTCTGCACTGTGCCCTTCTGGTCGAAACTGTACCAGAAGGCCGCTCACAAGCATGGAGGGGTTGCGCCTCCCGAGGGTGAGTATTGGCGCATTTGAGGTGATAGTGTGTCACTCAACGCTGATCACCTTCTTTTCCCTCTACGCTCAGAACGACTGCCAATGTGCATGGTGGGCGCCTTCCTGACCGTCATCGGCCTTTTCATTTTCGCCTTCACCAGCTACCCCAGCGTACACTGGTCGGGCCCAGTGGTCGGCTCCGTCTTCTTCGGGTCAGGTGTCCTATTCATCTACGCAGGCGTCTTCACCTACACTTCCAATTGTTGGAAACCCGTCGCCGCCTCGGCCATGGCGGCCAATAGTCTGGTTCGATCGAGCTTCGCAGCTGCTCTGCCCCTCTTCACCACGCCCATGTATGAGGCCATGGGCACAGACGGAGCTACAGCCTTCTTGGCAGGTCTCAATGTCCTGATGATCCCCATTCCATTTGTACTGTATAAGTATGGAGCGCGCATCCGAGCTAGGAGTTCTTATACTATGCAACCTTGAGCAAGTACCACAGGACCCCTACTCTATCATTATCTCATCCTTCCTTGCTCTTGCATCTCACTGCTCTCGCTTTTGCACATATCTTGCTATCTCATTTCATCTCTGTCACCAGCCCTTCCAGGGCACCCAAATATCAACTACCCTTGGCTCAAATGGTTTCGCTTGGGTGGTTCCCGGTTGCTCATCGACGATGAAGTAGAAAGGATGTGCTGCTAGGGTCATGCATGCACTTGGAGAAGATGTCCAGGAAGGAGGAAGGAGGCTTGTGTGAGCGCATGACGAAGGGGGACAGAGGCGCCGCGCTTCACTCACTGTTGTGGTACGATCATCACTCGCTCTCCCACATCTGGCATGCGAGGCATCTCCCTTGCTTTGGCCGCCCCACCCAGCGTCCACTGTTCTTCCCACTGCGCTGGCCCGCCTTCTCTGAGCGTCAGAATCCCGTGCTCCTGCGATGGTCTGCCCAATTGCCATCCTCTTAGCTCTGTCGGGTACACAACATGTCCAAAGCCGCCCCACGGCCCTCGATCCTTGGAGAAGGCGATGCCCCCTGCATCAATCAGAGCTTCTCCCAGCGGAGGCGCTTCTGTTGAGCCAGCCTCGGTGCCTCTACCAGGGTATGTGGAGATGACGGAGCACAGCACCGACACGGTTACATCGCCCATTTGGCTGGGCTGTGAGGCACCAGTGATATTGGGCATAGCTCTTGTTGCTAGTTGCTGCAAGTCCAGAAAGGGATAGTTACCCGCGTGCAGTTCCAGCTCGCAATGCGCTGGAAGCTCCTGCTGGACTCGTGCTAGCGTGGCAGATGAGGGAGCACGGGAAGCAGCATGAGCGGTTGGAGTAGAGCCTACGCTTAGAACAAGATGAGAGGAGGAGGCAGAAGGGAATATGCTTTGGGCGATGGAAGCGGCTTGGATCACAGCTTGCACCTCAGAGGTGAGAAAGGCGTCTGCTTCTGACGGTTGGCGCGAGTCGTAGGAGTGCCCTGCGTGGGCGTAGAAGCCGTAGAGGGAGACTTGCGAGGACGTCTTTGCGATCAGTCTGAGGAGATTTGAGAATGCTGGGGAGTCCGCCGGGAGACCGGCACGACTATTGAGTGCGTGGGGGCGGAGCAGGACCGCAATACAAGACAAGTCAGCTCTCGTCTCTCACCTTTCCGCCCGGCATACCTAATACCCACCCTCCGCCGTTGTCCAGCTTGACCATGATCGACCAAGCCTGACCTTTGTCATGAGCTGCAAGTGCTTCAATTTGTGATTCATTGTCTATGAGCAGCCTGACTTGTGCTTTCTGATTGTCCTTCTGCACCTGGGAGCGAAGCTCAGCGAGTTGAGGAATGCGAGCTGCTGACACCGGCAGGCCATAAATGATCTACAGACGGAACGTAAGTACGAGGTCAGTGGCTTACTCCTCCGAGAAGAAGCAGAGACATCGCTACTGTCAACGTACATCTTCCACTACGCCCTCCTTGACCAGTCCCGCATCCAGCAAACCCCATGCCTCGGCAAGTGTGCTGACTACAACTCTTCCCGACTTGCCAGTGGGCTGTATCATCTCTCTGGTCCCCTCTGCCGTCTTGTGCGTCTTGATGTGCACTCGAAGGGGTACATCCCATGATGCTGCGATTTCGGCCATGCGAGTAGCATTGCGCCGGATGATGCTTCGGTCCAGGAGGAGAGCTGGGGTGGGAAGGGCGGAGAGGGGAAGACCGTTGTACGCCTCCAGGAGGGCTTCTTTGGAGGGAAGAGGGATCAACGCCGAGGGGCGAGAGGTAGAGGCTGACATGACTGCCGTATGTGATGGCCAGGAAGACAGGTGTGGTATATCTACCGCAATGCTACTCAAGGCGAATCCGAGTCATTGCGAAGAAGCTCGCCGTCCATGTGCGGAAGGGAGGCTGCGTGGAGGGTGGTCCATGCGCAGAGCGGAGTCCAAACCCCTGTGGCCCTCCGTATAGCCTGGGCTTCCACTGTGCGTGAATTGCTGCTTATCCTTGTCTTACATTTACTTCATTGACGGTTCACCTGGACTACCCTCGACCCTGCTCTGATCTACCCCCTTTGCCGCAGTCGCATGTCCCCTTCATCCTCGGCGGACGCATCTGCCGTACTGCCAGAGCACTGCTTCTATTGTTTCCAAGTCATCGATGCAGCACTCAAGCGTACTACAAGCCGCAAAGGTGCTGCGAACGGGGATGGTGGCAGTACAGAGACAGAGGTGACTTTTCCCAATGAGGAAGACAAGTAGTGAGTTGTGAAAGCCGAGACGAGTCGAGCTAAGGCTGCTCACCATGGCCTTTTCAATGTTGCCCATCCCCACTTCTCAGCCCTCTATTCATCACTTGGAACATTTACTCGTCCCCCGCGGCTGTGACCCGCGCCTCTCAAGCTCTCATCAACGGCACCAAAGATAGACAGAACGGTTCATCCGCTAGACTCAGGGGATGCATTGGAACATTTGAACCGAAGCCACTCAAGGAAGGTTTGGGCGAGTACGCTCATATCGCGTGAGTAGATTTCGGAAGCACATACATCACAAAGGATCAGGGTAAAGCTGATGCTGCCCGGCGTTCCCTCATGTTCTCAGCGCCTTCCAGGATCATAGATTCTCTCCAATCTCTCTAGCAGAGCTGCCGCGGCTAGAGTGTGGGTGAGTTGGAGGAGACGCCTGTTCGGCTAGACGATATGTACTCCTCTCCTGACTTCACACCATGACTGGGCCTTTTCTTGCAGCGTCTCCCTTCTGACCTCCTTCGAGGACTGTGAAGACTACCTCGACTGGGATCTCGGCACTCACGGCATCTACATCCACCTCACACCACACGAGAGCGGTGCAAATGGCTCCTCCCGTCGTTCTCGCACCCTCACCGCAACCTACCTACCAGATGTAGCCCCGGCACAAGGCTGGTCAAAGGAGGAAGCCATCGAGAGCGCCATCCGGAAGTCTGGCTTCGAAGGCAGAATCACCCAGGAGCTCAAGGAGACGGGACTCAAAGTCAGGAGATACCGTAGTGAGAAGCTTTCGAGGAACTATGAGGATTGGAAACATTGGAGGGAAGAGCAAGGAAGAGGACAGTGAAAAGTGACGATAGTACATAGATTGTGTATGGAAGTGACAACATAATTGGATAGAGACATCGAGTAACAAAAGGAGACGAAGAAGCGGGTGACTGGGTATATCTGAGTGGGAAAGGAGAAGAGGGGTCTTCTGTGCGGTACGAAGGTGTGAAAGGCTCTGTTGGCCATTTAGTGCTCTGGAGGAGTAGCTCTCCTGGTGTCATTTTCCCACTCCATGCCGTGAGGAGGCTGCGGACTCTGCCCCTGGCCCCTCTCGTACATGGCGCCCATAGGCAGGAAACCAAGTGCGTCTTCTCCGCCAGGAAGCTGCAGATCTTCCAGCTCCCGCATCGCTCTCGAGAAGCTCTTCCCAAAGGGGTTCTTGGTGTGATTCCTCGGAATGGGAGAAGAAGGAATGGTAGAGAGATCGTGTGGGGTCTGTGGTCCGCCGCTGCCCATGCGGTAGTGGGTGTATGGGTGGAGTGCAGAGGGTGAGCCTCCGAGAACGTGAGCCTCTGAGCGACTCAGAGCGCTTGTAGATCGAGACAGAGCAGAGGAGGCCGGTGAAGCGAGCGAATCCACCAGGGAGGTCCTGCGAGAGCCGCTAGAGGACACAGAAGGTGTAGGCGACTGTCTGCCCGCGGCGAACTCCTGCGCTAGCAAACTAGCAGATAGTCGTCGCATCGCTGGATCTACACTCGGAGAAGCAAGAACCTTCTTGAGCTCCTTCAGCCGAGCTTTTGTGGGTGTCAGGTCCGGATCGAAGAGCGAGGCTCCCAGCACGTCTGGCGTGGGGTTCAGGGCAGAGCGAAGATCCGTAGGCGTCCTTGGTAAAGCCATCTGTCCTTCATCCTGCGCATCGAAGGGGACAGTCTGCTTCGAAGAGACATCAAATGTGTAGAGGTGGAGAGATGGTGGCCTCCGGTGCTCGAGCGCGAGCCGTGAGACACCTTGATGCAGAAGCTCGGCGGCTGCCTCACCATCCTCTTGCGTTGTCCGATCCTCAAATTCGTCGCTTAGAGTAGCCACTCTGGCAAGCTCAGAAGAGGCATTCAATGCCGATCCAGACATTCGTGAGCCTGATCGAGATGCCTGCATTGCAATGCCATTACCGCTGCCCACGCTGGAGGTGAGCGAGGCTCTCCTGCCTTCTGTTCCTGCAGGAGCAGGGAAGCGATATGGTGCCGGCCTACTAGATGACGTGGTGGAGGAAGAGGAGGCCAGGTGTAGCTGACCGTAGTGTTCTCTCTCCCTCTCTCTCCTGTTCCTAGACACCAGCGGAATAGGCCGTCTTGGTGCAGGCGCTACGAGCAGAGGAGAGAAGCTGTGGTTCATGTGTGGCGCTGAAGAGGTAGAGGATGGCCCGTTGCCGTAGCTCGACGGCGTGGAGGCCGGCATCGTAAGGGTCTGAAACATCACTGGGGATGAAATGACAGTGATTGGAGATCGGACGCTTGACGTTGAGCAGTCAGGGACTGCTCGCTTTCGTTGCTTGCTGCCGAACAATGGAGACGGGGCAAATAGGGGCGCAGTGGCCGGATGCGTCACAGAGGTTTTGCCAAATCCTCTGCTACTAAGAACGTGAGGTCGAGATCGTGAAGAGGGCGACGGGTGGCAGGAGAACAGGATTGAGAGTAGTAGTCTGTAGGTGGAGATGGTACAGGATGAGTTCGAGGTCGTGAGCAACAAGAGGGTCACTGGACAGACTAGGAGGAATTCGGAGAAGCCGCCGGGGGAATTCCGCAATCGAAGCCTCACCTCGGCAATTGCATTTGCCATGGCTGGGCCCCAAAAGCCACGCGGCATGTCATGGCCACGCGAGCCTGGCTTGCTTGATGGGCCGCCAGGCTGGGCGGGCGTCTCCCTTTCCGCAAGTCTACACCATTGACATTCCTCCAGATGGCCGCTCTCCTTCGATCGTACCAGCCGCCCTCGGACCCGTAGCGGTCTCAGACGGCCCCGCCATGGGCGACTCATCCTCTCCTCCCGTGGTCTGCAAGTACTGTGGATCTCGGGAGGAGCCTCTAACGGTGCATGGCTCCTTCATCTGCTCATGCGGCGCGGTATTGGACGAAGTCTTTGCCGATGCCTCTGATTTCACCGGCTGGGGGACGAGCAGTGGTCGCAACAGCGGCACCGATGGACAGATCAACACTTGGCTCACAGTGGCCAAGAGGGGTGGAAGGGGAGCTGAGGTAGCGGCTGCAAGGAAAGTCATGGCCCGGAAAGCCAGAGAGGTGAGTATTGCGAGTGCTCAGCGCCCAACCAAGCGTACGCTGGCTGACAAGCATACTCCTACCCCATGTGCATCATAGAGCCAGCATAAAGCCTTCGTACGCGCCCTGTTGGGCACGTTGACAGGGCAAGCAGCCACTGGCCATCCGTTCGTGCAGCGCGTCCTCGATGCTCATCATCAGGTGAAATTGGTCGCCTCGCAGCAAGACTTCCAGCCGCCACGTATCCCCGATATCCGATGTCAAGCGCTTGACGGCCCCGGACAGAGTCGCGCAGCTCTCGCAGCATGCGCATACCTGATCTTCCGTGAGGCAGATCAACAGAGAGATATTACCAGAAGAGCCTGCTACAGCATGCAGCTTATAGCGGTGAGTCTTTGAGGCGTCGCAGGGCTGCTTCTCGAACCCATCAGCTGACGTCTGAGGATCTCTTCTCTCCTTTCAGTCATGCGCAGGTGTACCCTCGCACCGTATCCTCAGTTGCTTCAAAGGTATCTCGCATGTGCTGCCTGATCGAGTGGGAGACATCAAAGGGGATGAGCCACTCCTTCATATAGACCAAGTCGTATCCTTCTTTCAGCGGCAAGTCTCCCTCGACCCGAGAGCAGCTTCTTCGTCCAAGCATAAGCTCCTCACCGAATCAGCTCCGCCGCTGCTGCTGACTCCTCAACACTTGAAGGTCCTCTCCCCCCTCAAGGACTTCGACGAGCTCAGGAGACTTGCACGGTCTCTCACCGATCAGCTCATAGCAACAGAGCCTCTCTATACTGCTGTCTACGGCAGCCAAAAGACGCGAGTGAGCCCTGGCGAATGGGCTTACTTCATGGTCTTATGGGCGATTGGGGGCTTGCTCAAGAAGAGGCTGCCAGGGAGCGAATGGATCAAGCGAGACCTCATCGAGGCTAGTTTGGGCGGGATGGTCACGCCTGTGAAGAAAGAGTGCGAGATCCCTGGCAGCGATGATGAGGCGGGAGGAAATACCTCGGAAGAAGACGGCCTTTCGAACCTGCAAGACGTTTCTCCCTCGCACATCACCCAGTACACAGAGATTGGGCAAGTGATAGCCCACCGGGCTATGGAGCTGCCCTGGGTGACGACGCTGCAACAGGGTGGAAATCGAAGGAAGAAAAATAGTGGGTCAGGAGGAGGACGAGCAGCGAGGATCAAGGAAGGGACCGAAGTCCAGTACATCACAGAACTGGCAGATTTTGGCATTAGCCTATCCCATAGTCACTTCAGTGAGGATCGAAAGGACTTGTCTAGGAAGGCGAAGAGGCCGCTAGGTGGGGTAGGCCCTCCTCTTGATCCCTCACCGAGCGCAGTGGGGATCACTGCATCGACTCCAGCGCTGTTAGCCCATCCACACACAAACGACAGTCTGGGAGCAGCCGCGGGATATCTTGCATCTCTTGCTAGCGATGACTCGGCTCTGAGAAATGGCAACGCCTCGTACACATCCCTTCACCACCCTGCTCTCGTCGGTGAAGGCACTCTCATCGATACAATGTCCGACGAGACGGCCGATGCACTCCTCTTTGGGCCGGGAGAAATGGCAAGCTATCTACGATCGCAAGGGGAGATCGCGGCGCTGTCAAAGATCAAGGTCGACAGCGGTGACTGGAAAGAAGAACCGACGAGTAGTGACAATGCGGATGCTTTGCCGGTAAAGAGGCACAAAGCAGCTGGCCGAGGACCACGATGTGATGTGGGCCGAGGCCGCGAGTCTTCTATCACCCCGTCGGTCCCCGCTTTGGTCTCACATTCGCCGCACGGCCCGACTGCGAGGCGAACGAAGGCGGATGACAGGCTACTGGCTGCTGCGAGAGGTGATTTGGCGGGGTTCATTGATAGACCAGCCGGGCCGCCAAGCCGCAAAGACGACGCTAGGGCATCTCAGGACAGCAGAGGAGACTGAGGTTGTTCGGCGAATGGATTGCAGGCCAGTGTCTTAAGATATTTGTTCTGTCGGAGCAGTCGATTGAGCTCAAAATATACCCACGAACCATGATTTAGAGCTCTACAAGCGTTATATCGTTCCCCTTCCGGCGGCGTGGTGCGCGACAGGGCGTGGCTTGGTGGCTTGTCCGGGGGCCTTGTTGACGTCAAGGCGCGTCTGCCCGGGGCAAGAACTGCCCGTGCGCCTGCAGTGAGCGGGGCGCGGAGCGGAAAAAGCTTTAAGCGACGTGAGCCTTGTGTAATCCGCAAAGAGGCATCAAGTAAGGAAGAGGCAGGCGGGACCTTCAGTCAAGGAGAAGATCTCAGGCACAGGCAGCATAGGACAGGGGGTCAAAGAGTAGTAGAAGATGAGGTAGGAAAGCCTGGAAGTACTCGCCACCCATCCTTCCCCACCACATCTCCTCATACCTATCCCTACCGTATTCACCATGTCTCCTGCCAATGGCCACGTCAATGGCGGCAGCGGAAGCGGTAGTGTCAGCGCCTCATCTTCCGTCTCTTCATCGCAGCCCCTCAATGGCAAAGCTTCCCCTTCGTCCAAGGCTCCGGGTGGGAAGGCACGTAAGCGTGTTCTCGTCGTAGGTGCAGGGTCTGCCGGTATGTCGGCAGCCTACTCCCTCTCCTTATCTCCAGGCGAGTTCGAAGTGGTGGTGTACGACAAGGCTCCCACCGCAGGAGGTTCCGCCACCTCCTATCAGCTCCCTGACCCCAAGTACTATGGCGCAGACTATATCAATGACGGTGTGCAGGGCGCTAGCCCGGTCTTCTACAACACCTTCAAGATGTTTGAGGATGTCCTGGGCTTCAAGTCTACCGAAGTTGGTTTGCAGATCAGTTTCGGCAAAGGCAAAGAGACATTCTGGAGCAACGTCTTCCCTTCGGAGCTAGTGGACAAGTTTTCAGATGACATCAAGAAGTTCGGCAAGACGCTGCATACCATCAAGCGCTTCGAGCCCATCTTCGCCATGATCCCCGTGGATCGCATGCTCAAAATGTTCCGCTTCTCGCCAGACTTTGGTGAGCGCATGCTCTTGCCCCTAGTGGCTCTCTTCTTTGGTACTGGAAATGAGACCAAGCACGTTTCTTCGGCCATTGTGGAGAGGGTGTTCCTTGACCCCTCGATGCGATTGTTTGAATTCAGCGAGGAGAGTCTCCTGGCCAGTGTGCCAAAGATGATGTCCTTCCCGGAGCTCAGCAGACTGTACGGCGCTTGGAGGAGAAAGGTAGAGGAGAATGGCAATGTGAGGGTGGAGACTTCGCGAGAGGTGTTTGAGATCTACAGAGGCACCAACGAAGCAAAGCAAAAGGGTGGCAACATCCTCGCCAAGTCTCGCATCGTGGATAAGGAGCAGAAGCCTGTGGATGCCTCGAAGGCCGACGTCAGGGAGGAGGTGTTTGATGAGCTGATCATGGCTTGTGATGCCGACAGTGCCCTCAAGATCCTGCAGGCCGGCTCAGGCCCAAGCTGGAAGGAGAAGAAGGTTCTCGGCAACGTCAAGTACAAGTGGGACATCACTGTTACCCACAACGACATGGACTACATGAAGAAGCACTATCAGATGACCTATGACTCCAAGTACAATGCAGAGAGGGATGATGAGGAAAGCAAGAAGGCCTTCAAGTATGCCGAGGAGAACTGGCGGCCTCTGTACTTGATCAAGATGTATGAGAAAGATCCTTCATTCATCGAGATGAGCTTCGATCTGACACATTACCAGGGACAGTTCAAGGGCAACTCGCCAGTTGGGCCAGGTGCGCGCATCAAAGAGGAGGACGCTCCGCCTTCAGAGAGGAAGGCTTCGAACAATAATCCCACCACGGATGCACACAAGGACCCCAATCATGAAGAGCCTCCGTACGACCAGCACGTGTTCCAGACCATCTACTTGAACAACGATATGAATGATTGGTGGACAAAGGAGGAAGTGGCAAAGGACAAGATCATCTGCGAGACGTGGTGGAAGCAGCAGTCGCATGCCGCCAGCCATTTCCGTGGGACCGTGCCCTTTATGTGGGCCATCAATGGTCCCAATCACACTCAGTACGCCGGAGCGTGGACTCTGATCAACATGCACGAGATCGGAATCTGCTCGGCCTTCAGTGCAGCTTATGCAATTGGAGGCAAGTACCCTTTCAAGGACGATGAGAATTGCGCTAGGCTCTTCAAGCTCTATCACGGACTTAGTCGGTTGAGCAGGGTGAGAGCGGAGGACCGCAAGGGCTTCTTTGCATGAAGCGAATGTGTAAGCGAGGGTTGAGGGTGGGGAGAAGAGGCAAGGGGTTGCATCTCCAACTTCTTGCAGAAGCGATGCGCGGGCAGTTCGTGACCCATCTGTTCATCTTGTATTTCCAATGCCCGCGCCGTGTGTTCCATCTTTAGCAATCCGTCGAATGCAAGCACATATCCATTTTGTCTCAACAGCAGTCTGTGCCGGCCCCTGCATTCACAGCTGCCTCGCACTGCAATCTCCACCCTCGGCTAAGGTCATGCAAGGATCAAATTGCATGGCCCCAGCTCAGGGTCCCTGCCAAAAAGTCGACACTTTGAAGAGCGCAACTTGCTTTCTTCCCACGATGAAATTGCTTTACTCTCCTCGACTTGCCCCGCAACTCGATGTCATCGCCCAGCCCTTGGCCCCTTCTCTCGCTTGCTCTACCTTTACGCCACGCCCTACAGAGGGGGGGACTTGATGTGTGTGGGAATTTCGGACTCAAATCTGCATCGCCCGAGCCCCTTGTAATAATTTCAACCCCTGCTCGATCTTCGGGTCACGTATGCTGAGAAAGGTAAAGTGGGTAGCCAAGAATACACATGCTCGATCTAGCTATGAGCAAGCTGAGCACACCGGCGCCTCCAAAAGGGGCAAAGATGAGCAAGATGAGGGTAGCGGAGAGTGGCGCCAGGCACATAGGGTTTGGCGGATCGCCAATGCCAACTCCGGTCAGGGGTGAGAAGACTGGGACGCGTCACGCAACTGCCGACACGGCGACCACATTAAGACTGATCAGCAAAGCAACGCACAAACAGGGGCTCTTGCCCTGACCATCGAGGTGATGGTACGACGTAAGCTGCGATTGGTTTCGACGTAAGCACCCAATCGATTAGGAAAGGCATCTTGAGATGGGTGAACGAGGAGCAAAAACAGAGGTGAACCACCGCCGGGACTCGAACCCGGAGCCTTTGCCTTAGGCGGATCCACGAAGCAACTTCGTAGGAAAGCAACGCGATGCCATTTCGCCACGGCGGCGAAATTGAGCTGTTGACTCATTTCTGCCAAGATTTGGACCACAACAGATTATATTCCATAACATCGAGATGCGCGGAACATCGCTGTCTCGCAGGCACTTCCTACAGTGAACCGCTACGTAGCCAAGTGCTGTTCCATGCACACGCTCGGCAGGACTACGCTTCACCAGATATGCGTTGTCTGACACACTGCGTAGGTCAAAGTAGATGGTAGTCAAATTGAAATGTCGTTAAGGAGAAAGACTTCCAAGAGGAAGGAGGACCGACGTTTGGATGTGCTAGTCCGAGGTGCGAGAAGGCAAAGATTGCGTCGTTAAACTAGAAATACATATAAGGTAAAAGGATAAGGATATACGACAACGAAGTCCGCAGGAAGGTCCAAAAGAATATCGACAGAATGTGACAGATCAGGACAAGAGAAGAGAAGGACGCGTGCTGATCCAGAACAATTTTGAAGAGACGTCGTGATAATGTACTGTAATAAGTTGGGTGTGTTTGCGATTGCGATTGCGTGAGTATGAGTGTACGAGTGCATTGGCGAGTATGCGTGCGTGCGTGCGTGCGTGCGTGTGTGTCTGTGTGTGTGCGATTGCGATTGCCGATCTGGCGATTGCATCTTGCCTCCTTCAGAAGATCTGAGGAGCCGAGGGCCTGCGCAGACCCTTTCGCTCCCAAGCCCTCCTAACCCAAGGGTGGTCCCGCACTTGGGCAATCGTTGCCCTCCTCTCGGGGTCGACCTGTACGCATCCGCAGAGCAGGTTGTAAGCTTCGGAGCTCCAGCTGTTCTTGACACGACTGGAGATTCGGCCCTTTACGGCCGCAGCTGGCTCGGAAAAGGGGCATTCGCCGCTTAGCAGAATGGAAAGGAGCACGCCCAGACTCCAGACCTCGGCGTGAGGAGCGCGGTATTGGCGACCCTGTAGGATCTCTGAGCTGGCAAATGTCATTGTGCCGAAGAATCGATCAAAGTAAGGAGCAGGCTTGCGAGGGTCGCTGATAACAGCCGAGCCAAAGTCGATGATCTTGACATTCCAGTCCGAGTCGATGACGCAGTTCTCGTCCTTGATGTCACGGTGGCAAATGCCCAGCTGACCCAAGTAGTACACAGCCTCGACGATCTGGGCAAAGATCCACGATGCCACATCTTCCGAGAAGCGCGTGTGTTGCTCGATGCATTCAAAGAGGTCGCGAGAAGTACGGCGCTCCATTGGGGCAGGTCGCTGAGGGGGTGCCAGAGACGCCTTCTGGGGAGCTGCTTCGATGAGCTGCTGCTGGGGTTCAGGGCTCATGCTGACAGACATGGAAGCCTCAGATGGCTCGAGACTGCCAGGAGCAAAGACGGCAATGCCGGGACTCTTGGGTGGCAGCACAGCCGATGTCGACTCTGGCGAAGACACGACGGGCTTGCTCTCCTCTTCCGCTTCGGGAGTCTTCCAGGGTGTGCCGTGCATCTCCATGACCAAGTAGAAAAACTCGTCATCGTCGAACAGGTCGATGAACTTGACAACGCAAGGGTGATCGACCACCCGCAATACAAAGGCTTCCAAGGGAATGACACCCATGGTAGGGTCACGCACCCAGCCGTGGCTGGGCACCTTGTTCTTCCAAATGAACTTGACAGCTACCGGACGACCGTCAAAGTTGCGGTGTGCGCCAACGACGAAGCCAAAACCACCGCTGCCAAGCTCGTCACCGAGGGTGTAGGATGCAGCAAAGACCGGGTGCAAGGTACGCGTGGACAGAGTCTTGCCAGAGACGGTCTTCGGCTCGGGTGCACTTGGCTGAGGTGCCGAAATACTCTTCTCCATGGTCTGACTCTGCAGACTTGAGTCGACGGGGGACAGGCGAAGGGAGTTGATCACATTCTTTGCATCCTTCAGCTTTCGAGGAGAAGACGACGACGCGGATGAGGCACCGTCAGCCGAGGTGGACTCTCGGCTTGGATAAGGCGCGACACGGTTGGTGGACTTGCTCTTTGTGAGTTTGGTGGGTCGTGAGCTGCCCAGACGCGAAGGGCTGTGAGGCACGGCTGCTGGCACTTCGACGGGCTTGCTGCTGGCCTCAGATACTACCGGTGACATAGGCGGTGTCAGGTTCGTCAGCGAGGTGGAAGCACTGTTTTGTGAGCTGCTACCAGAGTATGCGGAATTCGCAGAAGAGTCGCTGTGAACGCTGACCGCGGCAAAGTCTCGCGACAAGGGCGACATGGGACCGAGTGAGCCTTGACGGAGCAGTGGGGAAGAAGAGTAGCCAGTGTGAACGTCAGACAAGCTACCAGGCTTCCTGTAGCTGATGCCGACGCCTCGAGCCGGCGTCGACATCAGATTCGACGATCGCTCGCCACAGGCAACGACGAAGGGCGTCGGCGGCATGAATGGGCTGACCGGTGAGTCATTTCCCGTTGCAGCACCGTCGCGAGCACCAGCGAAGACGGAGCCTCCTGGAGTGTGAGGCATAGAGCGCTTAAGATCACGGGAAGACGTTGCATCGGTGCCACCGATGGCGAGCGAAGGAAGCTTTCGTCGAGCTGCTAGGTTCGAGGGACCGCTCACGCTGAGCCTGGCAGTAGAGTTGCCCACAAGACTGCTGCGATTGCTAGAGGAACTAGCCGAACTTCTTCGATCGTCGTCGTCAAGGTGAGGCAGGTTGACTTTGCCAGACAGAGGCGACGCCGTGATGGGAGCGTTGTGGCCCGACTTGAGCTTGCATGGGCCAACGGTGCTGGCAGTAGCTGGTGATGAAGAAGAGTTCGTCTGCGGCAGCTCGCGGAAGAGGAGCGCTGAAGACAGCGCAGTGCCAGATCTCGGGGACGAGTTGAGACCACTGCCTCGTCGAGCGTTGTCGAGTTCGTGCTCGGCAGAGATCTGGTAGGTGCTGTCCGAGTCGAAGTGGGGCAGGCGGCCAGGATATGTACCTCGAGCAGGCGTGGCAGGGAAGCAGTTGCCAGCCGATTCGAGCGACCTTGAAAGTTCCGACTCGTCGTCACACGAAGACTCAGAAGCGGCCGAGGATGCAACAGAATGTCCGGAGTGCGACGCGGTGAGACCCATCCTAGCAGTTGCTTGCGTCCTCGCCTTTGCCTGCTCGCACGCGTCTGCAAGCGAGTGATAGCTGTCGTACGAAGCGTCGTTGATGCCACGGTTCATGTAGTCACTGTTTTCATTGCCAACGTCGCAGTCCATGCTCATAGCATTCCAGCGAGCTTGTTGCGAGCTGCCATCGTCGGAAGAGCCGTTGTTGTCGCGATAGGAAGTGTAGGTGCTAGAGTTGGCCATGCCAGGGGCGTTCTGAAGCGGCAGTCTCTCCGTCTTCGATTGTGACACAGTCTGCTGATGCCTCTGCTGCTTTGTGAGGGACAGATTGGATCTGGGAGACGCGGCCACCTTCTTGGGTCGGAGCACGTCGAACATAAGAGCGTCTTGGGAGCTCATCGCGGGGAGAGGATTAGAGGTGCTGATCTCGAATGCTTATAGGTTGGCCTTGTGAAGAAGAGTCAATCTTCGACAGCAGGCAAGCAGCAGCTCCGTCGTGGGAATGTGCAAGCGAGTAGAGCGAGATGGCGGTGGGTAGTGAGGTAGCAAGCAACGGCTGACTGAGATGAAGATCGACGTGAGATGAGATGATAATGACGCTGATTGCGCGTTGATAGTGAAGAGCGAGTGAGCTCGATGTGTTGCTGGTGAGACTTGTCACGGTAGCTAGCGTAGGCTCCTAGGATGGGGTCGAGATTAAGGAAGTACCTTGGTGCGAGAAGTGCGAGCAGATCGGACAGGAAGAGCGGGGCCAGTGCACTTTTAAGGGAGCAGAGGGCAGGGTTTGATAGAGATAGGCGCGCAGAGGTGAAAAGTGGAGAATGAGGGGAGGACAAAGGGAAGCGTATGATACCGAGGGCGGAGGTAGGTAGTGGGGATCTTGTCAAGGTGAAGTAAGTGCGGGCGAGAGGAGATGGGACTACGGAGGCGTGGGTGGGGGTGTAACTGTAATAGGCACTTGCCCTTGAATTCGCCGCACGGGAGCGGCTGCAGGCGAGGTGTCGGGTACTTGATCGTCCTTGTCCCCTTCCCGCTTGAACCCACGATTTCCCCCCCTTTGGCCTGCCCCGAGTGTGTTGCTCAGACCATTGCATTCCCGGCCCAAGTCTAAGGCGAGGCGGAGCCCACTAAGCAGCCGGTACCTCCGTTCGTGCCAATGGCCCTCAAGCTCGACTCGCCAGGAAGAACTTCGAGAATCAAAGGGGTGAGGTTTGCCTTCGCTTTGTCCGGGCGGCCCCCTCCTCTGATCGCGAGCATGCGTCCGGGCGGAGTCAGAACTCAATTTAACTCCGGCCCCCTGGCTCCGACGTGCGGGTGTCAGCAGAGAACGTAAAGGTGTGGGAAATCGAAGCGGCGGAATGTTGCGCCTGGCGAGAAGGCGAAGCTCAGGCAGCAAATTCGGGGTGAGGGAGCGGAGGTGGCTGAGCTTGCTTCAGGGGGTGGGTGAGTGGGGGAGGCAAGAGTCGGAGCATGAGCAAGACCACTGAAAGCGCACACCGCCATGCAATCAATCAGTGGACACAGCGCCTTCCCTTACGGTGGGTCCCCGTCCTTGCATCCTCCGCCGCACGCTAGCAGCACTGGTCGGATCGCGATTCACAGGAGGGGGGACGCTTCCTGAGTAAAGCACCATGATGAGACGGAGACAACCTCAATGAAGTAAGAGATAGTAACGTGTGTCAAAGGCGCAATCGAGTCTTGTTGGGCCTGATTCACCCCGCTCTACTCGCGATAGACTCAAGATCAGCGCGGTCTACCTCGCGATCTTCTGGCCTTCATGCAGACCGACGGGTACAACGTCACACGGGCAAACGTAATCTGATCAAGACTCAAGAGATTACAGCTCATGGCTGGGCAAGCCATTCAGCCGTGCAGACGCCGTAGACTCGGCAACGCTAACGCATGACATCTCAGATTCGGTCCTTACTGGAGCTTAAATGCTTCCCCGAAGCTGTCCATATCCCGTCTCCGGGCCAACAAGCTCGCAGAATGGCCCAGCCGAGGCCATTGTCCTCTGAACTTTCCTTGGAGCTCCACATGTAGCACAGCACCGCACCGCCGCTCGCCGAGCCTGTAGGCCGTGAGACTTTGGCTTAATCTCCTATTCACGTCATGTCATTTCCTCGGCTTTGCCGACCCTTTAGCTTGCTCACCACCTGGTGTGACGTCTTTGAGAAGTGGTGTGGGAACGTCACGAACACAGGAATGGACAAAGTTCTTGTTTTCCTCTTGGCAGCGATGAGCGTGTCGAGAACTGACCAAGCACAAGGACTGGATTCTCGCACGCAGGCTTTGTCATGGTCCTCCTGGGTACTCGTGCACCGTCTTGTCTAAGCTCAGCAGGATAGGAACATATGGATTGCAATCTAGAGCTTCGTGGCTCCCTGGAGAGCACGACTCCTCTGCCGACAGTTCCAGCTCCGCTGCCTTTGTGACCACGCGTCGCAGACGCGTCTTCAGGTCAATTGCCGGGGCGTGGCCGAGCGGAGCTGGTGCCCACCCAAGAGGGGAGGGCTGTGAGGCCGCTCGCCGACCCAGTTTGGGTTTGTGGGAGCTGGTGCGGGGAAGCCATGCACCCCTTTGACATGAGATCGCCGCGACCATAAGCAAGGGATGAGACGAAGCGAAAAAAGCCACTGGCTCATTTCTTCATTGCCTCTCGTGCGGGAGTGTCTGCCACCCTCACCGGCTCGATCTTTGGTCGAGGATCGAGCCGCTGAGAGTAGCACCGTACCACCGAGGTTTAGGCCGTGGTACGACCCACATCCCCGAGCTATTATATCCCGCCCGGAGTATTTCTGGGGCCCTCTGGTGTCCGTCTTTGCCTGGCCCTTTTCTTCGCTCCTTTGTCCCGCGCGTACATACTTTGTCCCGCGCCTCTGGCCTCCGAGGCGACGTGGGCCATTGCCAAGACTGACTAGAGTGTGCTCTCGGGATGTCCACCTGGGCGCCGAAAGACGTTTGGCATTTGCCGAAACCATGGCGTACGGCGGGGCCCGTGGAACAAATGGACCTGCAGCGCGAACTGATCAGCGGCAGAGATGGGTTTCGCCGTATGCAGTATGTCAGCGGCTCTGATAACAGAATTGCATAGACCGCCCTGAAATCGGTGCCTGGACCCGGTTGCCTGCGGAATGCACGGTGCCTGGTGCCTGACACTTGCTGCTGTCTTGGGGAAGTCCCGAGCCCAAGTAGTCAAAGGCTGCAAGACAGGCCTGCGACGGCGTGGGAAGTGTACATTACTCAAAAGCATGGGTCAACGGCATGCAAGTGAAACCAGATAGCGCCTCTGCACAGCTCGCAAAAGGATACGGCAATGTCTGGTCTTGCTCCGCCAGCAACGCCGAATCAGACCTCTCCAATGGAAAGCAAGGCAGTGAGGAGGATGCTGGGGATTACCGAGAGACTGAGGGCTTACGCGAGGCATGTATGAATCTCCGTTGCCGGCCCCTTAATTAACCACGCGTGGCAGTCCGTGTTCCTGCATTCTGCTCCGAAGCGATGCTGCTACTCCTTGCTGAAAGCCGAAGGTCATCGCTTGCTCCTTCCTACTAAGTGAGGGTCATCGCAAGGGATGGCAGTAGCATCACATCGCTTGTGGAAGGGTCCACATGTGGGCGAACACTTTGTCGAGCTCGCCTACCAACGTAAAGCCACCACTTGCGGCTGCATCTTGCTCCGCTGCAACGAACGCCTTCGGTAGTGGTCGAACTCGTCCAGATGAATCTCACATGCTCTCCCAATTGCTTCGCATAGAGATTCAAGGAGCAAAGGCATGCTCGCTTAGCTCCAGGGTCTTCATGCAGATGCACACAATTCGCCATACTAGTACAGGTACTGCCCTCTCTGCCGATGTCTTCGCGTTTCGCCATACTGGTACAGACACTGCCTTCTCTGCCGATGCCTTCGCCTTCCCTTCTGGTTCGGAGGTTCTGAAGTTGCGCTCACTCAACACCCGTCGACGGGACAGAGAGGAATGTATTCACAAGGCGACCAGACCAGCTGGCGCAAAGACTGATCGACAGAAAGGTAAAGAGTCGAGGCGATGAGAAGTGGCCGAAGGCACTGCCATGCTGCTGTGGCGGAATCTTGCACTTCGAGGGAGCAAAGAAGTCGAGAGTCATTGACAGGACTGAGGAGCTGACTGCTGGGACAAGGAGAATAATCTAACTGGATCTGAATAAAAGGAGGCGAGTGAAACACGATGCTTGTGATTGAGAGTTTTGAGTGAGTGAGGTTCTGATGCTGAATGGTGGTATGCAGAGCATGATGTAAACAGGCGTTCGTGTCGTTTGGTTGTAGTCGTAAAAAATCGTCGAATGGCCAAGGTATAGGAAAGCGGCGTTGAGGCCTCTGCTTTGCGTTTGCGTGGATCGTTGTGGGGTCTCGCTGTGATCAGCAGCATGACCAATCATTGGCGCCCTGGCGCCCTTTGCTGCCCGCGCCTTCGCTACTCTGATCGGCGTGCAAGAAGATGCTGTCACGCTCTCGAGCCAAGCGCCGCTGTTCAATCTCTTCTCGACGAAGAACCAGCTTCTGTGTGATAGCCAGGAATACTAGAGCGGCAGGGGCACGCGTTGTCAGTTGGAGGGTCCGCAGATACATCTGCGTCTTCCAGTCAAAGACTCACCCTCTTCAATTCCGCGATCGTCCTTTGAGCTCACTTCGCTCACTTCGATGTTTGCGTTGTCATCCCCTGGCAGGGGTACGATCGCTGTATCGCCAATGCCATCGCTACAAGCTCCGCTTCCCGATCCGCTCGAGCTATCAGAGACCTTCGTGACGGACCCTCCGCTGCGGCCCGTTGTAGGGAAAGCAGTAGCAAACCTTGATGCTGACTCCATCGCTAAGCTGCCAAGCGAGCTCAGCCTCGATGTGCTTTTGCTCATTGGAACGCTAGATAGAGCTGAAATCTGGGAAGCTTGACTGGCAGCAAGGGCAGCTGCTCGCTCTGGGTGTAGCCATTGCAAGACCTGCTCCCTTGCCTCGTGAGGGTCAATTTGTCTCGACCGTGCAAGATCTAGCTTGGCTCCTACCACGTGGATGATGAGATCGTCGCCCATGTTCTTCTTCAGCTCGTCAATCCAATACTTGAGGTCATCAAAGCTGCTCCGCGATGTGATGTCATAGACGAGTAGAGCAGCGTGGCTACCCCTGTAATACATTGGAGCGATGGCTCGCCACTTCTCTTGGCCGGAGGTATCCCACAGCTGCAGGCGACAATTCACATTGTCTACGACAAGCTTCTTCGTGAGGAAAGCAGCGCCGATGGTCGACGGCACAGCAGAAGGGTTGAATTGGCCAGACGCATAGCGATATGCTAGTGAAGTCTTTCCGACGCCTTGTGAGCCAAGGACAACAAGCTTCGCCTCCAAGCCTCCCCGCATCGCAGCCGAGCGGGGCACCATCCCTTCTTCGGACTGCGGATCCTGTACAGGCTCGGCCTGTGTGAGCGCGATGACCGGCGTCTGGGCGACAAAAGATGGTCGACGTGAGGGCGTCACACTTGGCGGCAGAGATTGCGCATCCCTCTGCGCAGCCTCGGCAGCTACATCTTCCAGGGTGATGTACTGATTTCTCGTCAAGCTTTCACTAGCACTCTCACGTCTCTTCAAGTGCCCGTTCGGCGAACGTAGCGACTGTGTCCGATTTCTCGAATAGTTTGGCGAAGACGCCGCCGAGGTCATTCGAGGGCGAACGGGAGAGACGAGGGTGGTGCTTCGACCCAGCGATTTGGTGGGAGGAGAAGATCGTGGAGGTGAATATGCTTGGCTTCCCGGGACAGAAGAGCCGGAAGCAGCCTGGAGCATGGATACAGCAGCAGACGAATTGCCACTGATGCTGTGCCTCTTCAGTGACGTGCGAGTCGTAGCCGTCGTCGGAGTTGTAGCAGGAGCTTGGTCCTGCCTCGGGCTCAACAGAGGAGTGACTTGGCTGAGGCTCATAAGTCTGGGTCTGATTCCATCTCTGGCTATGTGCGCAGGCGTTGAAGCAGCAGTCAGCGATAGAGTAGAGTGCCTTGTATGCTGCGAGTCGTTACGTTCCACATTTGAGCGCGATGGCGACCGCTCGGCTCGTTGAGACTTGGGTACCCCTGAGCTTTTGCTCGCCTCGGATGGAGGGAAGGCTGAAAATGAGGGAGGTTTGGATGCCCTAGGGGGGCTGATCCTCTCAGCTGTCTTGTAGATCTGTACACGATTGCGTATGCTCTGGTCGAATCCAGTCTCGCTACTACTATTGGTATCCAAGACGGGGGGTGGCGACCCTGAGTACGTCGCAGCTCTGCCCAAGGACCAAGTGAACCCATCTACGAGGGAGGATGTGCCTTCCCTGTGCAAGGCAAAGGTCCCTGGCGCAGCCTCGACGTGACCGGCCATTCCACCTACCCAGGCAGTGCCGTGAGAGGGGAGAGACGGAGGAATGGGACGGACACGAAGAGGCAAGGCGACACCGATGGCAAGAGAGTCAAGGGGGGAAAGTGTTGCTCAGCCTCTCCCCACACTTGGGCAGGTGCCAATTTTCAGCCCCGCCCGGGCGGAAGTCGAATGCAAGCCGAGAACAACACCTCCGTTGGATGTGCCAGATTAGCAGCGAGACAAAAGAAAAGGCGCTCTCACAGCAGCTTGTGCAGGAGGTGGAGGTCCGAGACTATAAGGGTAGTAGGAAGGGGAGTGAAAGGTGGTGGTGAGGATAAGAGTGACTGCCCTGCGGCTCGTGGCAGTCGATGAGGGGTTGAGGTGATCGGTCAGGAGACACCTGCGGGTGGCTGCAGGAGGACTGAGCGGAGAGCAAGTTGCACGCTTCTGGGTGTGTGTGTCCTGCTCAGGCGTGATGGAAGGTGATGCACGCTACCGGACCGCAAAGATATCAAGGAACGAAAGTCGTCGAGTACGCGAGTCGTCAAGTACCCGGCTCTGCTCAGAGGGCGGTGTGGCACTGAGCATTGTACGTCATCGACATCACAGCACCGTGTCTTCCCGGAGGGAGCTTTCCGTCAGCTCCAGGTGATGCCGACTTGTAATGTATTGCCGTCATGATGCCAAATACCCCAGAGGTACTACTATGAGGCATTTACTCGCTCGCTCTTCAAAGACATCAACCAGCGGACGTGAGCGCAAAGAGGGGCAGATGTCGGCAATGTTGATCGGGTATTTCATTGCTCAGGTTCAGCTTTGCCCTGGCAATCGAGCCCACAAAGGTTGTGACTCTCAAGTAGCGGCTCCTCCTCGTTGTGGACTCGGTCTGGTGACCTCATCACTGACTATGTTGCTGCGTATGACCTTGACTTGTCCCCTGACACTCAATCATCAGCCGGCGGTGCCTCCTCCTCCATGAATTTCACCAGCCTGACCCTCAGTTCGGTCTGTTCGTCCCCTCTCAGTACGTCTGAAACAAAGTAGGCCGTTGTCTGCAATTGCACCTGTCAGTGGGCAGCGGGCAGAAACAGAGGGGCAAAGACGACTGTCATCAGCAACGTTGGACTGCCCGAGCTCATCAGCTCAACTCACCATCTCCAGAGCGCCGCGAATCACGCCGGCCAAGACGTTGCTCCACCACAATCCTCCCTCCCGTGCGTCCGGGGGCATCTCTACAAACTCTGATAGCGGATTTTCCTCCAATATCAGAGAGAACTCTTGCTGTGGTTGCTGATTCTGCGAAGCGGCGGTGGGATTCGACCCCGAGGCGTCTGCTGGCATCGAGCTCCGATTGTGGTGGATGACAGTAGGGGTAGTGTTGAGGAACATCTTGAAGCCGACTTTGCTGATGACCTCACCCGTGTCGCGGAAATCTGTACACCTCGGCATATTCGTTCGAGCGAGGAAGTCCTCGATCAGCCTCGTCCCAATGTTGTAACCCCTGGATAAAGCGCGAGCAGACAGTGAGCGGGTGAGATGGTGGCTGCGGGGGCATCAGTCGGCGAGCTCCACCTCAACTCACATCTTGTCCAACTGCTTGTTGACTTCACTGTAGTCTTGATAGTCTTTGATGAGCTGGATGACTAGCGCGCCATAAGTCATCGTGAAGAGCTCACTCGACTAGCAGTTACCGGAACGGTGACATCTACATCAGTCTCCCTTGCTAGGCGACGTGGAGCTCAAGAACTTCGCTGCTACTCACCACCTTGTCTGTCCTGTTCCTCCATACTTCATCTCCTGCAGTCTTGTATTGCTTGGTTGACATCACGAAAGTATCAGGCTCTGAGAAGGCGAAAGGGTAGTCTGGACGGGGCAGGCATCGGGGAAAGGAAGGAGAGCAATGCTCGCTCATGCGTCTGTGCGGAGACGAAGCCAGATTTGATCGCGATCCTGCTTCCGGCGGAGAGGCGTGCAGGCAGAACTTCTCACCCTACTCTCACCCCACTTCTCTCTCTCCCTGGACCTGAAACAGACATCCTACGAGCTGCGCTGACGCTTGCGACGATGCCACGAAAGACGGACAGGCTCTTCGTGACTCAAGCCGAGCATTCTGGCGTTTTTGGTCAGCATACAGCTGGCTCAGGCGGTCACATTGCTCGCGCGACGCAGGCGCAATACCAGCCGCTTCCCTTTACCAGCTGCGCCATCTCGCTACAGTCCTGGTCGAGTCCAGTCTGCGACAAAGAGGAGGGGACGATATACGAGCTTACAAACATCTTGCCCTGGATCAAGAAGCACGGTCACTCGCCAGCTACAGGCAAACCTATCAAAGCCACAGATCTCGTCACGCTGCATTTCCACAAGAACGAGGCTACAGGATCTTGGCAAGATCCCGTATCCTTCAAACCATTCAATGATTCCACTCACCTCGTCGCAATTGCTACGTCGGGAAATGTCTTTGCCTTCGACACCGTTCAGCAGCTCAACATCAAGGCCAGATTTTGGTCAGATTTGCTGACTGGGGAAAGCTTCACGCGGAAAGATCTCATCACGCTCCAAGATCCCAACAATGTCTCTGGCAAGAGCATCGCGAACCTGTTCCATCTCAAGGAAGGCTTACATCTCACAGCTGCAGACAAAGGAGAGGAAGAGGACAAGGAAGAAGTCAATGTCTCAGCTACGGGCAGCGCCAGCGTCCTCCTCAAGAAGATCAGAGAACAGACAGAGGGGGCCAAGAAAGCAAAGACGCAGGCGGGAGAGGCGGCACTGGAGAAGATGAAGCAGGCGGCAGCGGAGAAATCAAGCTTGTCAGCAGCGCAGAATGCGATGACCTCCCCCTCCTCCGCTGCCGCCGCCTCCTCCTCAGCGCCGCGGCACGTAGGGACGGGTACCACTGGCAAGACATCTGCCAGCTTCACCTCGACAGGGCTAACGCCAAGTACAAAGATGGAGAGGGAGGTGATCAACGAGGAGGACATGATGTACGAGGACATCAAAAGGGGACAAAAGGGCAAGGGACCTTACAAGGGATATGTCAGGATGGTGACGAACTTTGGTCAGTACGGCTGAGGGTAGGCTATTCAAATCTTTCGCTGCTGAACAGGCTCACCCTCTGTAAATCGCAGGCCCTCTCAACATCGAACTCCACTGTGACAAGGCGCCGAAGACATGCCACAACTTTCTCACATTATGTTCGCGTGGAGCTTACACTTCGACTACCTTCCACCGCAACATCCCTGGCTTCATGGTCCAAGGAGGAGATCCCACAGGCACTGGTCGAGGGGGAGATTCGATGTGGGGCAAGCCTTTCGCAGATGAGCTCACTACGCCAGGTGCATATCGCCATACTGCTAGAGGCGTAGTCTCGATGGCAAACAGGGGCCCAGACACCAACACTTCCCAATTCTTCATCCTATACGGGCCAAAGCCACATCTGGATAAGAAGCACACAGGTAAGTGATTCAGGAGACCAACGGTGTTCTGAGGTTGTTCGGTTGACCGATCTGCCCCCTTTCTACCTTGCTGCCAGTGTTCGGCCAACTCGTTGACTCTCCGTCAGCAACTTTGGACGCCCTTGAACTTGTCCCGACTGAGCAGGGGACGGACAAACCAATGCGTGCCATTCGTATCATGGACGTCCATGTCTTCACCGATCCCTTCGCAGACTATCAGGAGAAGCTGGATCGGAAGCTGCACCGACAGGACGAATCTGAAATTGCAAAAAGAGAAGCAAAGAGGAGAAAGAGAGAGGAAGACCGAACGACTTGGTGAGTAAATCCTTCTGCACAGGGGCGGCACGACTTGGGCTGACTGTCTCGACTCTTCTTTGCGAAGGCTGGGAACCACTCTGGGAGCTAAAGACGGAGTTGCCGAGGCGAAGGGAGTTGAGGCCGTTGCGAGCCTGACTTCTTCTTCCAAAGGTGTAGGAAAGTACTTGGGTCAGCAACGGACGGCATCGTCATCGACCGGTACTGAGAGCGCAAACGGTCTAGCTGGTGAGATGATTGGCAAGAAGCGGAAAGAAGGTGGTGGTTTCGGAGACTTCTCTGGGTGGTGAGTCCCGCCTCCAGACCCATAGCGGCTGGGGAAGCTTGCCCGGCACGGCGCCCAGCGGGGCGTCACGAGTGAATGGCTGTGTGGCGGCCAACAAAAGGCGACATTCTGGAATGTTCGCCGCAAATATGATACCCTATGTACCATCTATCTACCTGGTCTGCACGACGATCGCGTCGCCACAGCAATTGCGCTTGCATCTGCGCACTTTGACACCGCAAAGACTTTGCTGTGCAAGCACCGACGGCAAAGGCTCTAGCAGCTTCCGTTCTTTCGAAAGAATTCCCAGTAAAGCAAAGTCGGACATAAGCGGCCGTGACCTAGTCATGGCTATTGCTGTCTTCTCCTGCAGATTCTCGGCCAACGACCGACGTTGACAGTTGCTATCTGAGAAGTTCCTTGAGGCGTCGAGGCACTCGATCCACGCAAAGGCTAGAATCTACACACCCTGTCCTTTGGCTTGGCCTAAGAGCAATGCCTGCAGAGCGGGAAACGTTCCCTCTATCGCCGGCAGCAAGGAAGGCATACCCGCTCCAGTGCGAACGTGATGGTGCGCTGCAGCAGATCGGAGAAGTGACAAGCAGGTGCTCAACTCTTGACGTAGCCCTCACCGTCTCCGTTGTTGCAGGCAGGCGCTGTAGCAAATGCCGTCAGTATACATAAGACGCAGGAGAGGTAGGAAGCTTTTGCTTCCCTTCCTTCCCTCCTTTTCCCTAGCAGAGCTCATTTCGTGTATAAACCCCATCTTTCTCTCAACCTCTCTCTGACAACTGAAGCTGGTCTTCAGTCGGCCAAGACAAGCCGCATCTCAGTCCTCAACAGCAACCATCAGCTTCACTTCTACGCCCATCAGCAATCTTCTCTGAGTCCCCCGCACATTCTGTGAGGAAACCGCCACCGATTCACTGACTTTGTATCACCATCATGCAAGCCAGACTCAGCCTTCTGCTTCTGGTCCTCACAATCGGCAATGCGCTGGCCGCTCCTGCCGCTGTTCCTCGACCTTATGGGCAAGAGCAAACCGGCGATCTCAGGTCACCCCGCGCCGAACTTGCGGCGTCGATTGCGGCTCTTCAAAGTGCCCCGCAAACAGGTGATTCCATGCTCGGCATGGCGCATGCACTGGCCAAGCGAGTCATAGGAGCAACGCAGGGAACTTATCTCAACCCAGTTGAGGATTTGCCCTCTAGAGAAGACGACGTCCCTAAGCATCTAAGTGCCGGGTATGTCAAGAGGGGTGAATGGAGGCAGGGCAGTAGCACAGACTCTCACACGGTGCAGAGTCCGGACGATTCTGCATCCGAGGATGATGCTCTATTGCTTGGACGTACGCCACGCAAATTTGGCAAGCGGCTGGGTATAGCCCTTGGAGGTGGAGCTTTTGGGGCTATGATGGCTCAACTGGGCCAAGCTCTGATCATCGGTGTGGACCCACAGCCTTTGAAGGGAAAACGTAGTCTGCACGACGTTCGAGGTTGGGACGATAAGGAAAACGATTTGGTACAGGAGAAGCGGGCACCGCCGCCGACGGCCTTCTTTGACGCGCTAGCGAGGAAACTAATCGAGAAGTTCTTCACGTCTGGTGGAGGAGGCGTGATCTACCAGCCGCTGCGATACAAGTTCCGACAGATCTTTGGGAAATCCCAGCATGGACACACTTGAGCTTCTCGAGAGCGTCCCTGAGCTGGTATCGTTCTGGACTTTGCCTGAGACTTAGTGTGAGCTGGCCAGACGGACTCATTGGCTCCGCCCTGCCTGGTCGTGATCCGGAAGGAGATGTAGAATGATACGATGGAACTGAAAGGTCGCCGAAGCGTTCGCCGAGCTTGCTTGTTCTGGGTGGCATGTCACTCGATGAATCCATCAAGCACTGGAAGCTCGAAGGGGTCATTCAGCGGCGACTGTCACCCGCGACCGTCCCTTCCGCCAGGTCTTTTCAGCCTCAGGCCATCCTGTCCAGAGATCCTCATGGTGCCTCAGAGCAATATCGGTCCACAAAAGTACCCAAAGGGATTGGCTCCTATAAAGCACTCAGTTCATACAGAAAATTTCAGTCATACCAAAGCGAGAAGACCTGATCGATCCCTATCAGCAAAAGCATCAATCATGGCAATCACGTCAGCGAAAGAGAAGACCGCACAGGGCTAGCTCCCAACAGCTAGGGCTATGTTCTCAAAAACATTGCCGAGGACCTGCCGGTGATTGTGCCATCCGCGCTGCAGACGGCAAATAGGGTCTACGACTTCTTACGCAACCACAGTTGAGCCATGAGTGAGAGAATGGTAGGAAGTTTCGACCCTGGCCGGCTCCAAATGACAAACGGACGCAAAGGGAATCGTCTCAAGATCTTCGCTGGCGTCAACTGCCGAGGTGCAAACTTCGTCTACGACGTCATCGTGTATAGACAGGTTCGAGAAAACCGCTGGGGCCTTGCTGAGTTCTCGCGATCCCTGATGGCCTCATCGCCCGTATACCCTCCGGTCAGAATCCGATGGCAGCCTCAAGTGCCATGCGGCAGGCACAGCTTCACCTTGGCCCTCCCAGTTCCGCTTGGTTCACCTGGACAAGTCTCTCCCTCCCGTTCATCTGCCTCCTCACGTCTCGGACACGCACGCCTTCTCTCGTCTGGCCAATGCATGAGCCAAAAGAAGCAGAATGCGTTGACACGTCTGCGAATTTTCTCTAGTCCATCTGAATAGCAATACAATGATCCATCGCAGTCGCACTTACTTTGTCTGCTGCTTGTCATACTGTCGGTCTTAGATGCGAGCCAGACGATGGTCACCTCTACGACGGCTCTACCCGCCCGAGCGCCTCCCGCGTGTGATTCCGAGGCTGAGCTGCAGTGCGCGCCTCCAACTCCACAACATTGCATTTGTCCGCTCGCCCGCCCCCAGACAGGCGACCGGTATCTCCTCGCTCTCCAACACCGTCACCGCCGACTCCCATCCACGAACAGCTTGCCTTCCCTGCCTACCGTCTCTCCTTGTCAGAGCATCTCGACACTCGGGATCACTCTGTGCGTGTGTATCCGCGCTTGTTGCTCGACCGAGGTGAGTAGCTTCAGACTGGCAGGAGCTAATAGGAGAGCAAGGATCTCGGAGGCAATCTTGGGCGGTAGCTAGCTCAGTCACGGCAGGCATGCCATCGCAGAGCAGCGAGCAAGGAGCAGCACCAGACACGACCCTTGCTCAGCTGGAGAGGCCTTTCATTCAGGCAGCGAGAAAGGTCCCACTTAGCTCCCGAAGGTTGCAGTTGGGACAAGCTTTAGCAGGCAGCTTGCGCTGAAGCGGATGGCATTCGCCAGCCTGCAAGCGCTACGGAAGCAATGAGAGCGATTGAGCTGACTCTTATCTTTCGGAATCGAACTTCCCGTCACAGATCTATTAAAGCTATCACTCCTTGTCAGTGGCGCGACCGGCAGTCCTCGATCTTCACCATCCTTGCCTGTCCGCCACTACTTGAACACAGGGCCAGCTGCGCCCGCCCTTCTCAGACCTAGTGGACATATCCCTTCCTTTCCGCCCCTCATCATCTTCCTTTCCCAATGTCGTGGACATCTTGGCTAGTGGGGAAGCGGGAGAATACGCATGCGGCCAGGGACGCCATCGTCGGCCTACGATCACAGTTGCTGATGCTGGAGAAGAAGGAGGAGCACCTGAACAAGAAGATTGCGGATGAGATGAAGAAGGCCAAGGCCAACGTGACTACAAACAAGCGAGGTGAGTAAGCTCTTGGTAGGGATGCGAGCAGGACTGATGGTAGGGTCACTGCTAGTCACTGCTGCCGTCATGAGGAGGGCTGACCTATCTGTTGCTTTGTCTGTGGTTGCCTCAGTCGCACAAGCTGCGCTACGGCAGAAGAAGGCGTACGAGAACGAGCTCGACAGGATTGCAGGCACAAGAATGACATTGGAGACCCAAGTCAATGCCATTGAATCAGCAAATATGAACTTGGAGACGATGACCGCGATGAGGAAGGGAGCGGACGCTCTGAGGAATATTCATGGCTCACTGTGGGTATTGGAAGTGGCCTCGCGAGGCTTCGCTTGCGACGAGTGGCTACTAGCAGGAGGCTGACTTCCTGATCTTCTGTCTTTTGTCCTACCAGCAACATCGACAAGGTCGACTCTACCATGGACTCCATTCGGGAGCAGATGGACCTCACAAACGAGATCTCAGACGCAATTTCGAATCCGGTGGGCATGGGTCACGATCTAGACGAGGTAAGTAGAATGACGCCTCTCTGTGGACTTGTCTCTATGTAGTGTCATAGTACTGATATCGTACCCTTCCATTCCGGACCCAGGACGAGCTCAAGAACGAATTGGAGGAGCTAGAGCAGGAAGAGTTGAACGAGAGATTGGTCGGCGCAGAGTCTGTGCCGTCACATGTCCCCGCCGTTGCTGGCCCCAGCCGTGTGTCGCAGACCTCGAGACCACAGCAGGCGCAGGAGGAAGACGACGACGATGCAGAGCTCAGGGCTTTGCAGGCAGAGTTGGCCATGTGAGAGCTTGACGAGGTAGAATCGCATCGTCGCCAGAGTCAGAGGGCGGCACTTCGTACACGTGGCTTTTGTTCCTGCTCCAGTCATTCCCTGTCTCACCTACCATGTTCGCGTTCCCAGGAGTTGGGTCCCTTGTAATTCACATATGATCAAAACATGACGGATACGGATACATTGTTTGCATCACTTCGAGCAAAGTCATGCGAGCTTGGAATGAGATCTCCGAGTTGGTGATGGCAACGTGGAGTGTGCAATGCCTGCGTGCATAGAGTGCCCAGGAAACGTGACGCAGTACAATGGTGAGAGCAATCAGGCACAAAAGTGACACCACTCTGCGGTTTGCGCAACCTCAACATGTCACATTGAGCTCGTCTTTGCCTCCCACCCCTTCTCTCTCTCAATGTAAAGACCGAGAACGTCCTCCTGCCTCTCTTCTCAGGCTGTCCCTGCTCCCCCTTCTCATGCTCGTACCGCTGTCGACGCGTCCATACAGGCTGGCAAAAGGACTTCAAGCGAGTCAGTGCGTCCGTGAACTAGGACTCGTTGCATCAACAAGAGCCTCGGTGGCATGATCTGTTGCAAGTCGGACTGCTACAAGCTTGTTCAGTATTCTACGTGCCATGGAGTGCAAGCTTACGTTGCGATGCAGCCTGCTTTGATTCCTACCTAGACCAGTGAGTGCATGACCAGTCTGCCTCGGAGATGATGAGAATTGCGAACCAGTGAAGGCACTGCCAATGAGCAATTCCAGGGGCCTTTACGATTTGATCCTGTCTTCCGACGCTCCGCATGTCGTAAAGAATGTAAAGGAAAGGAGGATGCTGACGTGCCGCTTGCTCGTACACTTCTACCATGCCCTCACCGGAAGACAGAAGCGCGACGGGCGACAGGGCGCGCATGGACGGCAGCTGACCCTGTCGTGCCGTGGCGATATGTTGCAATCTCTGCGTCATTGCACTTGCTGAGGTGAGTAGCATTCTCAAACGCGCTGCCTCAGGAGGACTACGATGAGAAATGATCCATAAGAGCTGCGCTGTGACTGGCATCAAGTTCCGAACGCTGTTTTCTTCTGAGTCTGCCTAGCCAATCTACGAGCCTTGTAGCGAGACTCGACGTGCTGACCTGCTACACCCTGTTGGACTTCCCTCAGCACTACATGAGAATGGAGGAGCCGGAGTGCGGATAGACAGTAGCTTGTTCCGCTCTGCCGTTGCGATGGGACACTGCGGAATGTCGAGCCGCTGCTTTCCTTTTTGCTTAGGTGAGTGAGATTATGCCCTGCGAGCTCAAAATTTGGGATGGACATGATGAGACGATATTCAGTGAAGGCTATGCCATGAACACCAGCAAGAAAGCAGTCACATTGGTTTTGATCCACAGGCATTCCCCTTTGGAATTGACGGGACGATAAACGACACTGACGAGCCGCACTCTCGTCTCCCGTCTCACAGCCTTGCTTGGACCTTGCGCGAGCAACTAGACGCGACGAAGGACGGAGGAAGGCGTGTAGACAGAAATCTGCTTTCCTTGCCGGCACCGGGCGGAATCTGACCGGTCTTCGGTTGCAAAGAGGCTGTCGGCCCACAGCTCCTTCGTCTTGTCTAATCTTCTGGGTGACATCGGCAAACATCATTCGTTAGCTGCGAGTAGCACCCCGATAGTACCAGCGGCCCGTTCGCCGACAGGAGTAAGCGCATTTACCCCTGTCACGGGTCGCCGATGCGATGAGGCGCCTCTCGACAGGTGAAAGGGGAGCGCCCCTTATTGCGTGCCACTAGCCGCTCAGGAGACTTCTCAGCCGTGCCAGCTTTATCACACTTGCTAGCCATAGTTCGCGCCTATTGATGTGATGAGATCAAGGGGGCCTCGCCGCCCCCTGCTTTCAAACCTCCTTGTTGCGTAGGCAGCACGGCAAGATCACAAATGTAGCAGGGGGTCGAAGAAGGAAGTCACTGGTGCACTCCTCGCTCGTGAAGATTCGCTACGACGAGGTATAAGAGGGAAGCCTTTCTGCAAGCTTTCTCGTCTCCTCTCACCCAAACTCGTCCACTTGACAACTCCACACCAGTCTAATTACACCCCAGTCGGCTCATCCCCCTTTGCACTCTCCAAGTCTAGCCTCTAGTCGCAATCATGCTCATCCGCACTACCTTCCTCGCTCTCGCTCTGGCTCTTGCAGCCATGGCTTCACCTGCCGTGCACGACGGCAAGCCAATTGGTGGCTACAAGGTCCCTGCCCCTGCTCCTACCCCTACCGGGGGCGCTCCTGCTGACCATGCCCCACTGCACCCCGATCCTGTTCGACGATCTCGCGAGCCGGCTCCTACTGGGGAAGTCCCTCCTCCCGCTCCCGTTCAACGTGCTGCCGAGCATCGCAACATGCATGCCCGAGATGGGAAGGACGACAAGACGCAGACGGAACAGCGTCGAGCTGCCCCTACTCCTACCAATGAGACTCCCAATATGCATGCGCGAGACGGGAAGGACGACAAGACGCAGACGAGGGTACCTCCTCGCCCTACCCCTAAGAACGCGGCGCCCAACATGCATGCCCGAGATGCAAAGGACGACGAGACGAAGACGGAAAGGCGACGAGCTGCGCCTACCCCTGTCGCCGATGCTCCCGTAATGGAGCGCCGTGAAGACGACAAGACGTCGAACAAGAGGCGTGCTGCTGCGCCCACCCCCATCGTCAACAATCCTGCGGTAGAGCGCCGTGAGGATGATAAGACGTCGAACAAGAGGCGTGCTGCCGAGCCTACTCCTGTCGCCAACGCTCCCGTTGTGGAGCGCCGCGACGACGACAAGACGTCAAACAAGAGGCGTGCTGCCGCGCCCACCCCTGTCGCCAATGCCCCCGTTGTGGAGCGCCGTGACGAGGACAAGACGAAGGACAAGAGGCATGCTGCTGCTCCGACCCCTGCTCTTTAGTCAGCCACTCCCAACTTCTTGAATGAGGCCGCCGAGGCCGCTATGTATGCGATCTAATGTTAATCCTGTCTCTTGCCGAAACCTTGCCCGGTGCTTCATCTATCAATTAATCAATACTCCTTCACTCTATGTCTTGACAATTTGTTGTGACTGATGATCCTGTTTTGCGGCACCAGGGACCCTTGCCGAGGTAGTCTGAACCCTTTTCGGCAATTTCGGATGGCCGAAGCGCGATGCAGGGTGCAGATGCACCGTGACGTGAATGAGGCTGGCTGGCTGGGCTGGGCTGCGTCTGGCCTGTGTGGGGCCTCGCACCTCCACGCCTCCTCGACGAGGGACACCGCCTGCGATCTTCGAGGTGGAGACGCCAAGGAGCAGGACTCGGCAGCAGTGAGCCATAGCAGCGCGAGCACTTGACGCCAGCGATCCAAAGCAGAAGGAAAGAGGCAAAGGTGCACCTTCATCGCCCGGCACACAGCACCCCGTCGTAATCTTCCCCCCACCTAAGAGTCCACAGCCCCGCAATCTCTCGTGTGAACTTCCCTTTTCTCCTTTCTACCCTAACAATACTATATCCTGTGTCCCATCTCAGGCCAGTGCATCGTACTCATTGCCCAGGATGGCTACCTATAGTGGGTCTCACAAGATCCCAACTGTCCAAGAGTTCCGCGAGACCGAGCGTCAGAGGGAGCAAGCCGCGGCTTCCAATGGCACCGAAGTCGCCAGCGATGAAGCAGCCGAAGCCCCTCCTCAACGATCTGCCTCCGGAGCTCATCCTCCTCTCAGTCAATACCGGACCTCCATCAGCTCGGGAGCTGCCACTGCGCCTGCCTCTGAAGGAGCTGGCGGAGAGCTGAGGCAGCGCAAGCCCGCCGCGACTGATAGTGGTGCCGCTCCTCCTCCGCCGCCCAAGGATGGCGACGACGTAGAAGGTGACGACGAGTACACATCGCAGAGCGGAGCTGCTGAAAAGGAACGCTTGAAGAAGCAGTCGCAGCCGAAGGGGAAGCCAACTGACAGCTTCAAGGCCAAAGGAGAGCGGTAAGTCATCACTCACGCCGTGGTTGCATGACTTCGCCTTCACTTCATTTGCTGATCAATTCACCCTTTGCTGCGTCTCTTGCGCTGACAGGAAGGTCGATGATCCTACCACTGGAGGCAAGGTCATTGTGGCAGATGGCCACGACAGCGGAAAGGTGAGTTGCGTGGGCTTTCCGCCTCAACCTACCAATCGCAATACTCATACTGGAATTCTGTATGCTAAATGCTCTTCACGTTCTCTATGATAGGTCTCTCCCGACAAGCTCGAAGCTAGGTACTTCGACGGAGACAGCAAGAAGGGATTTTCAACCAATTGGCCCAACGACAGGAGCAAGCATGACCCTGTTCACGTATCTCCTGCCCCTGCTGAGCCTTCGAATATCCTCATCCATCCTTTCCCAGAGCCTCTGGATGTCGGGTCCATGACCAGACTGACTGGTGCTTTCCACAAGCTCGAGATTGGTCTTCTGGTCGGCTCAGCCGTCATTTGGCTCTTCACTGCCTTCGGTAGCGGATACTGGAAGTTCTTCCTCCGATCCACCATTGTCTTTGGTGGTGCCTTTGGTGCAATTACTGCCGTCCACCTTGCGCTTCGCCAAGTCGAGAAGGACATGGAGGGCGTCCGAACGCACATGCATACTCAACGTGGACAGGACTATGCACCTCCCATCCCGGAGAGTGTCGAATGGCTCAATGCAATGATTGCTATTGTCTGGAGGCAAATTGACCCCGCTACATTCATTCCGATGGCAGACCAGATCGAGGACGTCATGCAACAGTCCGTACCTGGCTTCATCCAAGCCGTCAAGATTTCAGATCTTTCGCAGGGAACCAACCCCTTCCGCATGGTCTGTCTCCGAGCTTTGGCAGACGTCATGGGAGAGAAGGGCTACCCTCGAGCAGAATGGATGAAAGAGGGTCAGCCCGAACCCAAGGCTCAGACAGACAAGAAGGCCGAGATCGCTGCCAAGAAGGACGATGCAGATGGCGACGGTATCAGCGACGATGACGAGGCAGGAGACTTCTACAATGTCGAATGCTCCTTCTCCTATTCTGCTAGGCCTGGAACTACCAATAAGGACCGTGCTGAGAATATTCACTTGCTGATCGAGTTCTTCCTCGGCGCATACGATCTTTTCCAGGTGCCTCTGCCAGTCTGGGTTCAGATCGAGCACATCAGTGGTACCATCCGTCTCAGGTGCCAATTCGTCTCTTCTCCACCTTACATTCGCAACGTTACCTTCTCCTTGATGGGTGTGCCTCGCGTTGAGGTATCCGTCCAACCCATGGCGAAGGCTATTCCGAACTTGCTCGACATGCCATTGATCAGCGGTTTCGTCCAGTCGGCCATTGCTGCTGCTGCCAACGAGTACGTCGCACCAAAGTCTATGACGATGAACCTCGAAGAGATGCTCTCTGGAGGTGCTGCAAACGACACGAACACGGTCGGTGTGCTTTGGGTCAAGCTGGGACATGGAGAAGGTCTGTCTGCACAGGACTCAAACGGAAAGTCTGACCCATACGTCAACATTGCCTTCAGCAAGTTCGGACGACCTCTCTACAGTTCTCGAATCATTTTCGAAGATCTCAATCCCAACTTCAACGAATACGTGCCCCTCCTTGTTTCCAAGGACGATGTTCGCGGTGGTGAAGAGCTCTCCATTCAATTGTGGGACTCGGACGAAAGGACTGCTGATGACATCGTTGGACGTATCCATGCCATCCCTCTCGGTGAGCTGATGAAGCACCCGAACAAGATGCATGATCGAACAGACCACCTCGCAGGATTCGAAGACGCAGACGAGATGATTGGAACCTTCACCTGGAGTGTGGGCTTCTTTGAGAAGCACAAGCTCAACAAGGACTTGCAGAAGCAAGTCGAAGCTCGCAAAGAGAAGGAGAAGGAGGCAGAGGCCAAGGAGGCGGGCGAGAAGTACAAGAAGCCTCCCCCTCCCACGAAGGAACAGGAAGACGCTCCTCCCGATGCAACCATCTGCCCACCAGACACCAGGTACAAGACCGCCATCTTGGGCATTACCGTCGCCAGCATCAGTGCTCTCGCTACGCGAGAGGTCGAAGAAGGTCTCAAGGGCAAGGAACGAGAAGGCTCCATGGGTCAAGATGTCGATGCCACACAGGAGGGCAAGAACCTCCCCAGCGCTTACTGTGAGATTGTCCTCAATGATGACATCTTGTACAAGACTCGTGTCAAGCCGTACTCGAACGCTCCCGTCTTCAACGCTGGTACCGAGACCTTTGTCAGGGACTGGACGCAAGCCAATGTCACCATCATCGTACGAGACGCCCGTCTTCGTGAGCATGACCCTATCCTGGGTATCGTCCAGATCCCAGTGGGAAAGACCTTCACCGAGTCTTCCACCGTTTCGGCTCCCTACTCACTCAGTGACGGTATTGGTTACGGTCGCGTGAACCTGACTCTCAATCTGCGTACTCTGAAGCTCGACCTGCCCAAGGAGCTCTCAGGATGGGATACGGCTACCGTGGAGCTGCTTTCTGAGATTGAGGTCAGCGGCTCTACCCCAGACTGGGAGTCTCGTCTGAAGCACGCAAAGATCCGCGCTAGCACCGGTGACGACACCCAGCGCATGAAGCCAGCTAGCAAGCAGCCCCAGATCAACAATAGCACTGGTACTGCAACTGGAAGCGACGACGACGAGAACGATCCAGCTGTTGCCCGTCTGCCCGTCTACGACCGATACTCGAGCTCTCTCTCCTTTGACTTTGGCGGCGGCGGTCTCATCGGTGGGAAGCCGGATGCCATTGCCGTCTTCAGTCTTGCAGAAATTGCCGACAACGAGGCGACCGACATTGAGGTGGCCATCCTGTCTTCGCCTCACCCAGGCACACTGAGGCGCAACTACATCGACGAGTTTACGAAGAAGACGCACGAATTCGAAGTCGTTGGAAAGCTCCGTTGCAGGATTCGTGTCGACTCTGGTCTGGACGAGGACCACGAGAGACTGGCAAAGGGACGCTATGCTCGCCATGCTTACGATGTTTATGACCGTACGATTGCCATGCCGGAGCGAGCCGAGAAGAACTCTCACGCCAATGACGATGGTGTTGTGGACCGCAAGGAGCAAAAGGCAATGGATGCAGCCAAGACAAAGGCTTTGCACGCCCGTCATCGTGGTTCCTACGGCTACGCTCCCGTAAGGACTTCAGTGTGGGCAAAGGATGGCCTGAAGGAACGCTTCAGGAAAGTAGGAAACACCATTACTGGCAAGAAGGACAATGACTCTCAGGAAAAGAAGGTGGCGAGTGAGGCGTGAGGTTGCCCGGAGGAGGTGATGGATGAATATTGATTTTCGCGTACTATATTGACGGAATAGCATCAGTAGCTCATTTCACCATCTCGTCTGTTTAGCGTCTGTCTAGCAAAAGAGAACGAGTGAAGCTGCCAAGCGCCGCTCAGTGCAAGTCAGGACACATCAGGTGCTGGATGAGATCGAGGCGCTGTTTGCTAGTGCATGAGATTTGTCTAGACGATGTGCTTATGCTCTCTTACAAGACGAAACTGCCCACAACTCCCTCCACGAGCTTCTTGATCACCTCACTCTTTTGTTTGCCTACCTCCAGAACCTCTTCATGATTCGCCGCCTCCTTCTGATCTTTTGCGCCCACGTCTTCTCCAGCACTCCCCCCGGCTTGCTGTGCAGCAACGAGTGCTGCAAACGTATCCGCATAGGGTGTGACGACGACCTTGTTGGTAATGAGTGAAATGGCGAGCACTCGCAGTCCACAGTGGCGCGCAGCGAGAATCTCAGGAACGGTGCTCATGCCTACACAGTCTGCTCCCAGCTGACGCAACGCGGCGCATTCGGCTCGACTCTCATAAGTGGGACCACTGACGTAGGCGTAGGTGCCTTCGCGCACGCTCTGCTCCTCCTTTGGCTTGGAGAGGTTGAGCAGACCCTGCCGGGAGGCCTCGCTGAAGAAGGCCAGTCTGAGGGCGGGATCGTACGCATCTGATGTAGGAGGGAAACGCGAGCCTAGACTTAGATTGTGGCCCACGAGCGGGTTCAGTGCTGTGAGTGTGGGCAGGGAGAGATGGTCGTGTAGTGCAAGGATGTCTCCCACCTCGTAGGTGGGGTTGATGCCTCCCGAGGCGTTTGTGACAATGATGGCCTTTGCGCCTAGACATCGCATGACCCTTGTTGGGAAGACACACTGTTGCGGCGTGTACCCTTCGTACAGATGAAACCTTCCTAGCGCCGCTACTACGGGCACCTTCTTTCCCGAGGGGGATGCAATGAAGCCAAAGGCGAGGGAGTTCTTGTGTCCCGCGACGGAAGATTGGGCAAAGCCTGGAATGGAAGAGTAGGGCACTTCGACCTTGTCTAGGAGGGATTGGCCGAGAGTCGCGAGACCGGAGCCACAGATGATGCCCCAGACGGGACGGTGCAGGGCGGGAGGGACAGCATTGCGGATAGCCTCTACTGCTTGGGCGAATTCGGCAGGTAGCTCGGAAAGCTCAAAGGGATCAGAGGAAGACATGACTGCGTCGAGTGCTGGTCAAGGAGGGACTCGGCTGAGTGTTGGTGTTGGTGTTGGTGTTGGAAGATGTCCCCTCGGCGCGTCTTCTATTCTGCCGCGATAAGATTAGACGAGGGTCGACTACGAAGGTCTCCGCCAAGGTTGCCGAGGCTTGCCGGCTGGGATCCTGGCGTGCCGTCGTCGCTGTGCCGACGGCCCAAGCCGTAAATGCTCCGACGTCATTGCGCGCCAAAGTCACAGTCGTACGACCTCGACCTCTCTTTCCGCAACTTGACCTTCCTACCATTCCACACTCACCTTCTCCTCCATCATACGCATCCTGATTTACAGCTCGAGACACCTTCGAAACCACACGGAACTTTGAAATCTTCGCTCTGCGCCTGCAAGCCCACGCTCTTCATCATGTCAACACCTCAAAAGACGCCTCCCAAGTCCATTGTGCGGCCCGGTCCCTCTCCACAGGGTCCAGAAGGCTGGGAGGAGCGTCGTCTAGAGCGCGAGTCCAACCTAGCCGGTGGAGCTCGCAAAGGCGCCGCTGCAGGAGATCTGGCAGCTCAGGCCAACCCAGGTACGGCCGAAGCCGCCTCTACTGCCGAGGGAGAGGCTGGTACTGATACCGCTGCTGGTGCAGCTCCTGGAGCAGCAGCCGGAAGCGGGAACAGTTCCTCCAGCAGCAGTCCTTTGGCAGCGGTCAAGAAGGGCGTGAGAAAGGTGGGAGTGAAGATGTCACTGGTAGAGCCGAAGATGAACGAATTGGACTCGACGAGGAAGGATGCTGCTATGCAGGTGAGTTGAGAAGAGGCAACATAGCGTTCAGATGCCAAAAAGGTTAGCTTGACTGACGATTCTTTCTATCCTTCATCTATGTACGACAGGATGCTTCGACGGGCCCAGAATTGGCCTGATCTGTGACACTCTGGCTCCGTCTGTACCTCGAGCTGGCGACTGATTGCCCCTCGCAGAAGGGCGGACACTTGTATATATTTCTAGCAACGTAACGTGCAAATGCGACAGCAATTAGATTACGGATTTTGCAAAGATCGATTAGGAGATGTCAAGAGTGAAGGATGTCCACATCTCCGTCTTCCTCTCCTTGCTCCGCCATCTCAGCATCCTCTCTTGGTGTCTCCTTTGCCTTGGCCTTGAGCTTGCTCAGTAGAGACTGGGTCACCTTCTCCTGCTGATGCGAGTCGTCCAGATCGTCGTTGGTGATGCCGCTCTCGGACGTATTGCCTCCCAGAGACAAGGAGCCGAGCGCAGGGGACGATCGACTGCTGGTACCGCCGCTGCCCGACTCCATACCTGACACTCTTGCTGCGAGCTCCAGCTTCCTCTGACCAAGTGCCAGGATATCCTCATCGATTGTGCCTCGGGAGATGAGCTTGATGACATTCACCTCCTTCTCCTGTCCAATACGCCAGCAACGATCTTCTGCCTGCTTATCATTCTGAGGATTGAAGTCCTGATCTAGCATGATGACCCAGTTGGCAGCTGTCAGATTCACACCTACCCCTCCGGCCTTGGTCGTGAGAAGGAAGCAGGTGATGTCGGGATTCGTCTGAAAGTCATCGATGACACTCTGTCTTTCTTCGACCTTGGTACTGCCGCTGAAGGCAATCCAGCTGAAGCCCATGACCTCGAGACAGGATATGAGCAGGTAGAGGGCCATCTCAAATTGGCTGAAGATGACCAACTTCTCCCCTCGCGCCTTGATGTCAGTGATCAGCTCCTTGAGCTTCAGAATCTTTCCCGAGTTCATCCAGGCTTGCTTGTCCAATTGATGCTTACGAGTATGAGGGTAGTTGTACGCCAGCCTGCTCAACTCGCAGTCCGAATTGATGCCAAAGTCCTCCCGCAGATGTTGCATATTATCATCCATGTGCTCTGGCTCCTTGACATAATCCTTGACCAACGCAGCAATCTTCTTGTCTGTGTAGATGGTACGGAAGAGGAGAGGGTGAATGGCACCTTTCCGTAGGCGCATCAGGATGTTGGACGCCGTGTCTTTCTTCTTCTTGGTCGCCGGATCCTCGTCTTGGCCCAAAAGCTCCAACTGGGTCCGAGCAAGAATCTTCGAGTAGATCTTCGCCTGGTTTGGGGTCATGTCGCAGTATTCGACCAGGATGTTCTTCGCCGGAAGGGACAGAACCTTGTCTTTGAGACGGCGCAACACAAAGGGCATCATCATCCTCTTTGCCCTATCCACTCTTGACTTGGACAGCTCAGAGTCCTTTGCACCCGCCTTTGTCTTGAAGATGGTGGTCAAAGCTTCAGAAGCACCCCGGAAATCCCCAGGCATGATGAAATTGAGCAGCGATATCAGCTCCAAGAGGTTGTTCTGCAAAGGCGTACCCGTCAAGAGCAGCCGCCATTCTGCTCGTACTTGCATAAGCACGCGATAATTGTTTGTGTTCTGGTTCTTGAGCTGATGGCCCTCATCGAAGATGCAAGCGTTGAAGCGAAACTTTCGGAACCACTTGGCATCGGTCTTTGACGTGGCGTTGTTGTAGCTCGTGAGTACGACGTCAAGATCGTCGTGATCCTCGTCGATCTCGTCTCGTATGTCGCGTCGCTCGCTCTGCGATCCGGCGAAGACGAGGTAGTTGAGCTCCGGACCGAAGCGCTTCAGCTCCCTTGACCAATTCTCAATCGTGGAACTAGGTGCGACGACAAGATTGACGCCCTTTATGCCCCGATTCTTGAGATCGCAGAGCATCGCAATCACCTGGCATGTTTTGCCAGTACCCATGTCATCGGCAAGAATGCAGCTCGTCTCATTTCGATAACGAGCGGAGAGCCAATTGACTCCCTCGAGCTGATAGTCTTTCAGAGTAACGTCCATGCCCTTTGGCTGCTTATGGAGATAGTAAGGGTCCTTTGCAATGGCCTCTGGCGAACAAGCATCCTCTAACCGTTTCGAACGTGCCTCGCACTTCCTCAGAACCTTGTCTACCGTCTCAAAAGAGGAGACGATCTCGACGTAGTCCGTGAAGAGCTTGCCCGTGACGCCTTTGGTGGACTTCAGTCTAGCCTCGGCATCCTCGGCATCGTCAAATGGGCGCAGACCAGTGATGATCTTGGCTTGCGCCGCGGAACACCCTGAAGACATCATCGAAGATCAGAAAGGTCAGCAAGACTGAAAACGATTGCATCAACGGCCAGCCGGCCATCTTCACTCACCAATGGTGTCAACGAAAGTATCCTCAGCTGCTTCATTAAACCACCGTACAGCTGCCGCCTCTCTCTCCGCCTGATCGCGAGACTCTGCGCCTTCACTCGAGTATCCGCCCTCACTGTCTTCATCTGAATCGATTGTGATCTCTTCCTTGCGGCTTGGCCCACTCTGCGTCGACTTTTTGAGAGGGACCGGCGCGCCGCGACTGGCCGAGCTACCATTCCTGGGTAGCCCCGATGGGCTATGGCTGGATCGCGCGGAGGAAGAAGTTGAGCCAATTACAATGGCTTGCCCATGATCTGAGCCCTTCTGAGCTTTCTGCGATTCCAAGCGCAGAATGGCCTCCTTATGGTTTCCTTTGCACGCTTCCATGGCTCTGCGCACTTCTTGAAGCGACTCAACCTTTGTGACGAACTGAATCCGCTTCAGCGTTGCTTCATCTGCCGAGTCTGAGATGTAAATGGGCGACGCAGGAGCGGCATTTGGCTTGACAGGCGAGCTATCATCGGCTGGGGGCTGCCCTCTTCTGAACTTGCGCTTCTTCACAGGCTGATCTGCTTCAGCTCCACTGTCATCGGAGTCGTCTACAGTATGTATGCTGCGCCGACTGCCTTGCGAGCTGGCCGACCCTTCTCGCTCATTGTAGCGAAATCTGTCGAGGCCAGGAATTGCTTTGGATGACGATGAGGAGGAGGATGCCGCCGACTGCAGCGGCGAAGCTAGGCGCGCCTTTGGAGGTACGGCGCTTCTGATGGTAGAGGGCATGGCTGAGCTGCGCTCATAGGTACTGCCACCGTTGCCCGATCGCGCTTTCAAGCTGTTGGCAAAGCTGCTGCCGAAGGTCGACTTCTTGCCTTGCATGGCACTGTGAAGACGCGAGCCCGAAGTTGACGCTGACGCGGAAGCTGCCGAAGCTCGCGGGGCAGAAGAGGAAGATATGCCGCTGATGGCCCGTTCTGTGCTGATGGGAGACGAGTCCGGCGCATATATCCTGCCCGTTGGGCGTCCATTACCCGACGACATCGTCTGAGAGCAAGGTGTGACGTGAAGAAAGGAAGTAGTGCTCAAACGCGACGACTGCGCCTCGTAGGCTTTCCTGCGTGTCGTATCGAAAAGTTAAAGGGCGGGTGGTGGTGTTGGTGCGGGCTGGACGTGCCCGGGGCCATTTCCGCCAAATCAGAACCTTCGCGCGAAAGTGAGCCACGCCCCGCCAAGCTCGCCCCCTTCCGTTCCTCTTGCGAGGGCGGCAGCTGAGGTCCCACGAGAAGGAGGCATTGGCACGCACATCTGTCTCAAATCGAGATGGCTGCCGCAAAGGCACTGTAAGATCGAGCAAAGACGATAAGGAGAGCGCAGACCGCAATGCCATTCTGTCTGGCAGGAGCTTGGGACACCCAGATCTTCTTGGCGTCAAGAGAAGGGCAACGTTTCTCCACGGGGCCGATCGGCTACGCGCAAACATCCCAATGATCTTCGTTCACGTTGCTCCTCCAAGAAGCGACAGAGTAAAGCTACTCGATGCAACACTGATTGCCCACAGCAAAGTCGGGGGACCTTGGCGCGTCACAGAGGTTAAATCCGCCGACATGGATATCTCGGACATACCAACCTCGGAAGTGGGGCGGCTTCTAGACGGCATCTCGAAGACCAGAGCGGGCAGCCACCAACCACTCCAAGATTGATTCGCCGGAGAGGGCGGCCTTCCCATGGAAGCTGCCGGCGGATACAACGACTCCCCGTGGGGGTGTGTGGATCTCCAGGGCTTGCGGGAATGCTGTCGGTGTTGGCAGTGGCCGATGGCTTCCCCGGGGCGCGCAGGTGGCGGTCGTGGGAAGCGAGCCAAGGCCCCTGCAGCGCCCGTGCGGAGAAGGATCGATTCGCCTCCAACTCCACACGCCTCGCCCCACGCCGCCTCCACCCCCGGCCTGCCGCCTGACCCTTGACCCTCTTCGGATGGCAGACGGTTGCACTACGCCGGCCTCTGCCTTGCCTCTGACGTTGAGGATGCTTCCTTGCCGAGGAATAGCGGTGGTGCTCCAAGGATAGGCACTCCACCTCTGCTTAGCTGCCCAAACTCCACCCCTTTATACCGGCATTGCCAAAGGGGGGCTGGTGTCTGTCTTCCTCCTGTCCACATCCCGAACTACTATATAGATCACGCAGATCCCTTGTGACCAATCATCGCCCACAATGTTCGCCGCTCGAAACGCTTCATCTCTTCTGCGTACTGCTGTTAAGCCAATTGCAACACCCTCTCCTGCTCCCCTTCGCAACTTCTCCTCTTCTCGAACCAACATGGGAAAGGTGAGTATGGACACTACGTCTCTTCTGAAACAGATTGAGCTGATGCAGAATCTGTCGATCCCTGTCTGTCTACCCCGCGAAGATTCTCGCTGTACTGTACGATGGTGGTAAGGTAAGTTGCTGACAGCAGTGGCAGCATTACTTCTTGACGTTTCTACTGACCATTACGACCGCTCTGTCCTGACAGGCCGCCTCTGAGGAGCCTCGTCTCCTCGGTACCACTGAAAACGTACTGGGTCTCAGAGTGAGTAGCTTGCTGCTCATGGAGTTGCATCTCGTTGCTATACTTACGCTTCTCTCCCCATGTCATCCTGCGTGTAGGACTGGGCCAAGGAAAACGGACATGAGCTGATCGTGAGTATCTGACGCTGGCCACACGAGACGGCACTGTGCCTAGGCATTGAACCCTTGCCAGCGATGACGCCGATGACTGCGAAGTTCATTTGGCGGAGGTGTCTAAGATTGGACCTTGCCCGGCAGACACGGCAGCTAACCTGTGTCATCTCCCCCTCTCGCTTATCCCCGCCTTATCTCCACAGGTGACTTCGGATAAGGAAGGCGAAGGATCTGAGTTCCAAAAGCACGTGAAGGACGCAGAGGTCCTGATCACCACCCCCTTCCACCCCGGATATGCCACCAAGAAGATCTTGGACTCGGCCAAGAACCTCAAGCTCGCCGTGACTGCTGGTGTCGGTTCGGACCACATTGACCTCAATGCTGCCAATGAGCACAAGATCACCGTCGCCGAGGTGTCGGGTTCCAACGTCGTGTCCGTAGCTGAGCACGTCATGATGACGATCCTCATCCTTGTCAGGAACTACAATGTCGGCCACGAGCAGGCTGTCGGAGGCAAGTGGCAGGTTTCCGACATCGCCCGAGATGCCTACGACCTCGAGGGCAAGGTCGTTGGAACCATCGGTGCCGGACGTATTGGCTACCGTGTCTTGGAGCGAATGGTTGCTTTCAACCCCAAGGAGCTCCTCTACTATGACTACACTGCACTGCCCGACGAGGCCGCCAAGAAGGTCGGTGCAAGGCGAGTGGAGGATTTGAATGACTTCCTGGGACAGTGTGACGTCGTCACTGTCAACTGCCCACTTCACGAGGGAACTCGGGACCTGATCAACAAGGACAACGTCGGCAAGATGAAGAAGAACTCTTGGCTCGTGAACACCGCTCGAGGAGCCATCTGCAACTCTGAAGCCGTCGCCGAGGCGGTCAACAGTGGCCACATTCTGGGTTACGGAGGTGACGTGTGGGAGGTTCAGCCTTCGCCCGCCAGCCACCCTTGGAGAAAGATGCTCGGGCCTCACGGCCGAGGTAACGCCATGGTGCCCCACTACTCTGGAACCACCCTGGATGCCCAGAAGCGATACGCCGACGGAACTATTGAGATTATTAAGAACTACTACGCTGGAAAGCCTCAGAATCCAGCTAACCTCATCGTGGAGAACGGCGAGTACGCTACGAAGGCATACGGTCAGAGGAAGAAGGGTGTCGCCTCCTAGATATATGCAGGCGAAAGGATAAGGACCTAGCCGGTACCACGGCTGTGGGGCCTCTGGAGATTTGATAGGGGAGGTTCGGAAGAGTGAAGTGGTGAGACACGCGGGAGTGAGGGTGGTCTGCTGTCTTGTTTGTTACAACCTGCACTCTCTGCGCAATGTGATTACCGTATTGAAATTAAGACTCGTTACAGTCCACCCGTCACGTGGTCAATGGCTGCCGGCAGATTGCCGAGGGACAGACCTTCCGCTCTCGGCGGATGCGCGGCGACTCATCAGCCTCCCGGCGACGTGCCGTGAATCCCGCCTTCCCGCACTTCCTTGACCACCCACCGATCATTCACATCTGACTCGTACTGTGGCATCAGACACAGACGGAAGGGTCTCTCCACAGAATGAGCCACCAACCCGACTCGAGGGAAAGCAGTCTCGCTGTCCCTTCGCCGCCGGCCGCGGCCAAGGACGAAAAGGAGAAGGAGAAGAAGGTGTCCTGCTTGGGATGCAGAGAGGCCAAGGTGAGGAGAGGTGCGAGGACAAGTCTGAGACGAGCCCGATTGGTCAGCTGAAGCTTGCGCAATGGACCGATCCGCCCCGTGACACAGGTCAAGTGTACCATAGATTCGGGAGAAGAGAGATGTAAGCGGTGTAGCAAATATGAGATGGACTGTCGATTTGAAGGGCATAAGAGAGGGCGGAGAAAAGGGAAGATGTGAGTACGGCAACCATCCAGGCGGTGCAGATGCAGACGGCTGCTAACCAGCTCTATGATGACTGCTTCCAGAAAACACCAGCAGATCACACGCCGTTTTGAACTGATTGCGAGAGCTCTGGAAGAGCTGCGAGGCTTGACTTCATCTTTGCAAGATCCGGCTGCGATGGCCCTCGTTGCCTCTCTGCGGTACCAGCTTATTAGCTCCACCTGCGTCAGCGAAGAAGCCAGGATAATCTTGAATAGCTCAAACTCTCCGGCAGCTCAAGACCATGGTCAATCAAAACCCAAGAAGAGAGAGCGAAACACTCTCGACGACGACGGACTCTCATCTTCTGACGAAGAGGAAGAGCCTTCTGAACAGCCGGCCCAAGTCGACCCTCGCTTGAGCGCTATTCAACCTACATCTGCCGCGTTCTCTATCATGGATACCAGAGCAGACAACCGCAGCCTTGCTGTCACACCTCGACCTCCTCCTGGGGCCTACTCGCGTGAGTCGGGCCTGGAGCAGCATCGAGGCAGCTCGGCCTCTCGCGCCATCACGGCCCAGGGCGGTAGACGAGCCATGATCCAGAGGGCCAGAGGAGCCGACACGGCATCGAATGCACATGCCAGCAAGTCTGCTAGCTTGCTTGCGGAAATAGAAGACTTTGAATCAGTCGCCATTGTACCGCAGGCTGTACAGACACTAAGCAACCCTCTGAAGCTCCTCGCCCATGCTTCGGACGCAGTCGACTTTGCGTCTCGATCATCAGCCGCTGCTGAGAGCTCACGCCATGCTTCTGGATCCAAGGAGGACAGGAATCGCTTTGTCTTGGCACATGCTCGTGCTCCGGTCGAAGATGACGAACTTGTCCCGCAACACCGACGATTGAACCAGACGATGGATCAGCGTGAAGCTGCAGCATGGGCTCACTTTGTCAGCACACAGAAAACGAAGGGAAAAGACACACGAAACGCCAACCAGGGACGCGGTTCACGTGAAGCCCAGGAGGATCACGTCGAGTGGTCAAGCTACTTCAGTCGCGGGGCTTTCCATCCTCGATACGATGCAGGTGGTGGACGTGATCCGATTGAGCGAGGGCTGGTCACGTTGAATCAGGCAGAGACTCTGCTGTCATTGTGAGTCAGTCAGGCTTGGGGGTAACCTGAGCTCAACTGATACCCTCTCCCCGCCCTCCTGCAGCTTCTACGACAATTTCGGCACGTTCATCCATTGCTTCGACCCGAACTTGTCAACGCTCTCCTATCTGCGCAAGCACTCTGCTTTCTCGGTCTGTGTCATTGCATATGTTGCTGCAGACTTCCACCCAGACTTACAATATGCCGAGATCGCTCGTACTCTCGAGGACGAGGTGGACCAGATGCTGCCGGCGATTATGAGTGGAGTGTACAAATCTGTCGAGGCGGCACAGGCTTGCCTGTTACTGTGAGTAAGAATCACGGTGTCTCAGTGCGCTGCAACATACTGACACATTCTTCTGGTCTCTCCGTAGAGCAATGTACCAGCGCATGTCGGACTCGGCCGTCGATGATCAGACCTGGGCGCTTCTGGGAACGGCCATCCGGATTGCAACCGAGCTAGGATGCAATCTGGCCTGCTTCTCGTTCTCAGCACCCGTAGGCGATCCAGCCATCGAGAAGCACCACCGACAGTGAGTTCTGGACTACCGCGGATAGACTATGAGAGGAGAGACGCTTGTGCTGACAGCCATTGGCTCCATCTCCTTCTTGATGCTCCCTCGTAGGCTGAAGAACACAGAGCGACTCTGGCTGAGTCTTTGGATCCACGAGCGCACGTTGGAATTTCAGACGGGACAGAAGCTGTTCCTCGCCGAGGATCCCATCATTGCAGCATGTGGCACTTGGCATCAGCGGCCGTACGCTGTCACCCATCAAGACGAGGCGCTGGTAGCCTTTGTCGACCTCCGCAGAATCATGGTGGGTCCTGTGAACAAAAGGGCCACTCACTTCACGAAGACGAATGTACTGACCTTTCGCGTCTGATGTCGTTGCAGGATCGTCACGCTTCCACTTTCCACACACAGATCCTTCGCGCTCTCACCTCGCCAGAGGGCGGCGGCCCTCACTCCAAGAGACGTGACACAGGCCACAGCGAGCAGCTGATGCTGCTCGTGGACCTCTTTCGCGCCAATGTGCACGTCGACTTCAAGCGCTGGGAGGAAAGCTGGCTGGCCAGCTCTTCTGACGGAGCCGTGAGCAAGAACCCGCTGATGTCGACAGGAATCTTGCATTTGCACTTTGCGACTCTGGTCATCCTCTCTCTTCCGCTACGATCTGCCTCTGAGCGACCCACGCAGGACTTTGATGCCCTCAGGCGAGACTGCTATGGTGCTGCCATTGGTTTCCTCTCAGCCTTCGTGGATCGGGCCGAACGTGGACTATTGCCCTGCATTACAAATGCACTTGCAGTTTCGGCCGTGTATTGTTCCATCTTTGCACTGAAGCTGGCCGTGCTCAGTTCTGAGATTGCGCCCTTCATCAACAGGGAGCGAGTGGCGAAGCTAGCAAAGGGTGAGACTCTAACAGAATCGTACACACAACACGGTACGGAATTCCAAGCTCACTGATCCTTCTTTTGCCTTGTCCCTTTTTGCACTGACAGGCCTGGCCCGCGAGCTCCAGAAAGCAGGAAGCTACCCAGCACACCGCTCCAAGCGCTCTGTTCCCGCCCGTTTTGCGGAGTACCTCTTTGGCTATCTCTCTCGCTGGGAGGCCATCCGCTCTCCGCAAATCGTCGGTGGGGCCACGCCCTCCGCGGGCACTGCAGGTACCACTGGCGGACCGACCCTTCAGCCCCAGCTCCACTCCCTGACTCACTTCACGCCACTGCCCGAGGCAACGATGGCTCCTACGCCCAACGGCTCTGCTAGCGGGCGAGTAGGAGTGGACTTTGATGGTACAGCCTTCGACCTGCCCACGGGTATGCCGTACGGACCTGCATCACAGCAGCTACAGCACCAGCAGATGCTCTTTTCGCAAAACCAAGGTCAAGGGCAGGGAAGCCAGCAGCAGCAAGATCATGCTGCTTCTCCTTGGAGTACCACTCCGAGCACAAGCACTTCGCATATGCCTGGCTCGGGTGGAGGGATGGATGCGCAGCACAATAGTCATGGTGATAGCACTTCGAGCTTGGACGATTTCTGGAAATCGATGGGTGGGCCGGGCTGGGATAGCATGAGTGAGTAAATTCAATCGCGAAGGAGAAGCAGCAGGAGGAGGTCCGGGAGAGGAGGCCAGATCCGAACAGTCCTTGACTGACAAACCACCACTCTTCCTGCATCCCTTCGTTCTCCTGATCAGCTGGCTTTGCGCCCTTATTGGACCAGATGGCCGGCTTCGACTTCGTCACGTCCGTCGCTCCGCCCAATGCTCCTGGCGGTGGGCCGGGAGATTAGAATGTACAGAGCAAGCACAGAGTGAAGGAGGAAGCAAATGAACGGGCGGCTAGTGGCAGAGGGGGATGTCACAATGTATTTGTTCCGGAGGAGAAGCATCCTTACATCACTGTATTCAGCTTCGTGCTCGTGTCTGTATGTTTTGAGGCACCCTCAGACTCTTAATGAGGTGACCTAGATATATTGCGACGTTTGTATCGCCAGCCAAGCGAGCCCGTGGGCATCTATCGTACAATTGCAAGCGCATCTCGCCCAGCTCAGCTCAGCTCGTGATCGCCTTGGCCTTGACTCTCAATTCTCTCGCGTTACTCTTCAGCACCCAAGCCATAACACTTGTGATTCCTCGTAGGGACTGAGGTCTAAATCGCGCCGCCGTGACAACGATGGCTCCCGCAAGGCCAAAGACGATCCGTTCAGCCCATACTGCTCCACTTTGCCCATTGCTGAGCCAACCAGGACGCAACATCTCTGCGCAGGCGTACAAGGCTCGAGGGGCGACGTACAGTGCCATTTCGGCCCTCTTTCGCTTCTCTTCGATAAAGATGGCAAAACCACAGGCAAAGGATCCCATCAGCGGTCCCAATCCGCGATCCCAGAATCGATGCGAGACAGAAGGGAAGAGACGAGGGAGGAGGACAGTCCGGCCTAGACAGACCATGAACCAGATTGAAGCGATGAAGGTGGCGAGGAAACTTGCGCTTCTGGCCGAGCCCATGAGGACTTTTTGGATGGCATCGATGGGGTTCTTGGCGAATTGACGCGGGTTGAAGAGTAGTCTGGGGAGGAGATGCACGGGAATGTAGATGCCCATGCACACCTTCCAACCTCTGAGCCATCGCAGGGCAGCGTTCGCGAAACAGGAGGAGCCGCCTACGCCGCAATGGACCAGTTCACAGGGCATGCCGCCCATTTTGCCTTTGCCCCTCCGGCCTGCAGCTCCTGATAGAACGTACCCCGGAACTGGATCTCCACCGGGTCGATGTGGATCGCGGGCAACCTCTCGACCCTGCGCGAGAGTTTCGGCATTGGCCGCCTTGGCTTCCTTGATCAGTCGCTGGGCATCACTGCTGCTGTGCGGCAGGCGTGTTGGATCGCCCCATTCGTAGGGCAAGCCGAGTGATTCGGCAAGCGAGCTGAGCATATCGATTCCTTGCGGAGTGACATTAGGGTTGCCGTATCCCCAAACGTGGGGTTTGCCGTTGCGAATGCCTCGCAATGCCAATAGCAGCCTTTCGTCCATCGTTGCCAAGTTGGTGATCCACTTGACGTACGTCGGAGGCAGTCGCTCTGGCGCGTAGAACCACGACCACATGATGACGGCGCAGCACATGACAAAAGTCAAACCCTCGGCTTGACTGACAAGGGCGGACTTGATCGCCGTTGCCCAACCCTCTCTGACGGTAAATCTGTTGCGCCAGCTGACACCGCCAGTCCTGAGGCTGTTGCCTAGCTGCTCGCGCGACCTGCTGTTGCCTAGAATTCGGGTGCTGCCTTTGGGCAGATTACTGACTATCTCCCCTGCTGAGCCTGTAAACAGCGGCATTGCTCGAATCAAAGTGTCCAATCCACGGACAAGAGCGAAGAGTGTCAGGTCGACGGTAGGTGAAGGCTTGCCAAGTGCCCTTGACTTCTCGGCGGGAGCAGTATTCGCTGCTGTAGCAGGCGACGGCAGACCACTTGATGCGTCATACGCATTGAGAGACTTTTCCGGGTCATTGGGAAGTGCCTTTGGCTGTAGTACGGGGCTGAGAGAACCAGGATTAGCGGGTGTGACAGGGATGGACAGACTTGTCAATCTAGCAAGAAAGTGGCCGCCGGGAGCTAGAGGTGTAGGGAGACCAGATGGGCGGTCCAATGTAGAATTCGGGGAAAATCTAGCGATGATGCTCTTCTTGAGACTATTGAGAGATGGGCTAGGGAGCATGCCAGGTCGGGGTGTTCCTTCCAGACGCTTGCTAGAGCCAGATGGCCCTGCAGCTGAAGTCCTTTGAACGAGCATGAGAGACGAGCCAGATGATAGTGCGGCGGCTACGAAGCAAGTCCAGATGCGTATATGCTGAATTTTGGCCAATCTATTCTGCGAGTATGAGGAAGAGGAGCTCTTGGCTGCCTTGGGACCTGACTTGATGAAGATGGAGGCCAGCAGCTCATCAAGGATGGCGGTTCCAAGCATAGCTGCAGCACAGGCAGCTGCCATGCCCTGTGGTCCAAGTGCAACTCCTGCCGCCTGTCCCACATCCTTGGCGATCGAAGGCATACCTCGCAGACTAGGCAGCACGATGTCCTCCCATGTCGAAGTAGAGGACTCAGGAACGACGATGGGGTTGTCCCCTTCTATCAGCTCTCGCGCTGCTCGCTTCTCCTCCCTGACTCGCTTCTGCAGTAATCTGATGCGCTTGATCTCATGGGTGACGAAGCGCAAGATGGCTTTGAGGATCGAAGGGATGAGGTCGACGAGGTAGCCTATGAGGTATGCCTTTGCTGCTGGGTCGAGAACTGAGCGTGCCAGACGCACACGCCTCTGATGTCGCGATGTGGGCGCAGGGGGCACCGAGGTCATTGCCCCGATGGAGGGGGGGAGGACGGGAGAAGAGGAGGCGAGGTGAGGGAACGGAGGGAGGATGCAGCTGCGGATAGGGTGTTGGCCTTGAACACGACGTCCGACGAAGAAGAAGAAGCGAACGACGGACGACAGTTGCCGCGGCCAAGTGGACCGACCAGGAGCCTACGCCCACCACGTCTCGCGTCCCGCCTTGGCTGCAACACGGGCCACTCCGCCCTGCATCGCCCGGCACACGGCCACCTCGCTTCACCACGTCTGCCGCCGGCCCGAGCCGGTCCCCCGCTGCAATCGCCCCCGATTTCACAATCACCATTCAGTCACACAGCAAGCCGCACACCGCACATCACACAACACACGCAATGGTCGCGAAACAGGGAAGAAAGTCGAGGTTGACTGGGTATTGGGAGATGAGTACGCAAAGCGCGCAGGACAATCGGGGAAACAAAGGAAGGGAAAAGAAGATAAGGAAAGCAGGGGGCACACCAAAGGCCTGAAGCGAAGACCAAGAGGTCATCGTCGTCGTCATCATCATCGTCATCCTTACCGTCAGGTTGACTGACTGGCAATGTCGACGTTGAAAGAGAATTTTGAAAGGGGTGGAAACGAAGTAGAAGAGCGGTGAAAAGAGGCGTCAAAGGGGAGAATATGAACGTGAGTACAGGAAAGGCAAACAAGCGAAGAAGCGAGCGGCCAAGGATAGCACAAGGGCTACGGCGCAGTGTCTTGAAGAACGGCAGGTAAAGAGTGTGGCTTGGCTGGGCATGCCCAGAGTGGTAAGAGACAGGAGGACGTCTCCCTTGAACCATCGTAATGGGGTCGTAAAGAAATTCTTCCAATCGAAATGTGGGATCGTCCGCACTTGCTATAGCACATAAGAAGCCGGCACGACACCGATCCTTCCATCGTCTGACCTGGCCAGCCACCAGTGCTCATCGGCATCGTCTAGAATCGTGACAGCATCACCTGCTCTCACGCCCAGCTCCGAAGGATGAGTGGCTTCGAAACTAAAGCGCATGTGAGCGTCGATGCCTTCAGCATCGTCACTGGTCGTCATTGCGCCGCCACCACCGCGCGTTGTATTTGCGCCCGTGGCTCCAGCCACGCCACTGGTGCCAAGACTCATCGCTGTATGGCCCTCTGTCGTGCCGTCGTCTGTATAGTAAGCCGAGCGCCCGGTCTGAGCCTCGCTGTGATAGTTGCTACTGGCGTTTGTGTAGTCGTGGTCCTCCGATGTGAGCGGCATGGATTCTCCACGATAATGGCCCGACGAGGAGGTCCCCGCAGTAGTCGTCATTGCTCCCAGTCCCGCTCCGGCTGCGCCAGCTCCCATCACATTCTCTGTAGCTGCATTGAGCGTGGCCAAGAGCGACGTCGGCCTCTTCTTCTCAGCGGACAACATCTCGTCCGAGGGGGAGATAGGGACATCGACGCCTCTGTTCGGCCTACGCCTTGCCAAAGCGATGAGCAGTCCGATCAGCACTAGCAAGAACACAATTCCAAGACCAATGGCAATGGAGATGAGTATGACTAGACCGACTGCCAAGGTGCTTAGGTTAGGGAACTTGAGTGTTTCGGTAGATCGGCTGATGGCCCGAACAATGCCTGAGCCACCCGTCGTGCTAGTGGTGCGCAAGAAGGGCGTCCAGTTGACTCCATCAAAGAAGGCGCTTGAGAGATTGCCGTAGCTTGTCATGGTGAGGGCTCCGCTAACAACGAGCAGACGATTGTTCTCCAGGACATTGTTGCTTGGATGGGCCTCGGTGATGGGGACAAAGGTGAGTTGAGCGATGCCCGTGTTTGCCTCCAGCTCCTCCGCACCAAGAAGCTCATATTGCGACCCGTCCCACTTTGCAAGGTAAGGAGCTGCTCCGTCTGCGTATCTGCCCGCCACGAAGATCGAGCTGAGGCTCAGATCATCGACGACGGCAGCTGTAGCTGGACCTGGCACTTGGCCGCTGCCAGTGCCAACGCTACCGAAGGCCGTCCAATTCTGCGCAGAAAAGTCCCACCCTTGCAGAGATGCACTTGTTCCTCCAACGGTCATCTCGCCGGCTACGATCAAATGCGATGCAGAAGTCCCGGCGTAGTCGATCGCAGTGATCTGGCCACTGACACCACTGCCGAGAGGACTCCAACGATGAGTGTCCATGTCCCAAAGGCACACATTCAAGCATGGCAGCATACCTGCCGTGTCGAAGTTGCCGGCAACTATAACCTGCGCGTTGTCAGGCCGGTGAGCAATGGCGGTGACGGTCAAGTTGGCGCTGTCTGTAGCAGAGAGCTCCTGACCTGCAGAGAGCCAGGTACCATTGGTCAAATCGAAGACCACAAGTCCTCCATCGCCGCCCGCATACAGTGTGTTGTCAACGACAGTCAAAGCCCTGAAGAGGGTGGGCAGACTACCATTCTGTGTAGGGTATGCAGGGAAGCTTTCCAGGGCGGTTGCGCTCTGATCGTACAGACCAAGATTGCTGACCCCACTAGTCGTGTTGAAGCGTCCTCCTACAATGGTGAAGCTGACGCCATCGCTGCGTTGCCAGAAAGCAGACGCCATGATTTGGTTTGTTCCGTCATCCTGGAGAGAGGCTGGTTCAATGGCATCAGCCTGAGCAGTTGATGACGCCTGGTCAGAGCTGACGTCTTGGCGACGGAGAAGACCAGACAACAAGCGGCCGAGCATTGAACGGCGCTGCGCTGGCTGGCTGTGGGCTGGTATGGCTCGAGCATTGCGTGTATCACCTCTCTTCTTGAGAGCGCTGTTTTGCTGGGCGATTAAGGAGCGTCTCCGAGAGGATGATGCCGTCGTGGAAGAAGTGTCGCCTGGCACGAACGTGAAGTTCAGAGAGGTGACTTGTGGAACATCGCCATCAGTCGCAGGCGCCTTCAGACCAGCAGCACCTGCAGCTGCGTTGGCGCTGACGGCACTGACTGATCCGACCATGTAAGCAGTCCCGTTGACAGCGCTGATCGACGAGATGACACCGACTATGAAGCTCTGCTCTGTGACCCAAGCCATTGTCGTCTCGTTCCAGATAGCGTAGCCAGGGACATCATTGCTACCTAGCTGGGTGAAATTACCAGCGATCAGAAGCCCGTCCTCACCTAGTGCAGCAACACTAGTCACGGGTCCGTTGGGGCCATCGGGGAATGCTGCCCAAGCGCTCTTTGCCGGGTCATACCGCGCGACGTACGCGAGATCAGCGGAAGAACCTGCTGGGCTGGTGAAGTTGCCTCCAACGAACAACAGATTCTGCAAAGCGGCCATCGCCATGACCGGACCGTTGAGACCGCCGGAGTCTAGTCTCGTGACAGCCACTGTTTCCGAAGCATTTTGACGGTTGTCAAAGGCCACGATATTCTGGAACCCAGCTGAGCCGTTGAATACAGTCGAGGCAAAGGCACCACCGACAAAAGTCACATCTCCGATAGTCGTGAGAGCATAGACGTGCTCGTCTGTTGCTCGCGTTACCCCAGCACCAAGAAGAGTGACACCGAATGCGTCTAGAGACGTCAAGCTGGCGTTTGGTATGACCCCAGTAGCATTGACGTTAGTCAGAGCTTGGACCTCGGGATCGATGATGTCGTAGGAGAACACACCGAATCCCTTCTTGACTGCGGTGGCATTCGACTGGAAGATCTCTGTGCTATTGCGCAGCACGAAGCGCACACGATCGGCGACGACCGTAAAGTTGCCACTGGAAGGTTCAGAAGCATCTGTCGGGATGGACAGAACCACGGAGGGCATGAAGTTCTCGCTGGTTGGGTCAACTTCTCCATCCCAGATGGCAATGTCCGTATCAGCTTCAACATTCTGTGAGACCGTTATGGACGTGCCCGAGTTGGTGGAGTTGTTGATGACGGTGACGAGGACATCGGTTCGGTCATTGCACTGGCCAGTCACTGAGCACCCAGGAACGTGGAGGTAGCCCGTGTAGTTGCCTCGTACCGCCAAATCCACCTGAAAGGAGACTTGAGCGGAGGAGTGCGAGGCCAGATTGCTGTAGCTATCTGACAATTGAAGGACACCTTCGCGAATGCCGCTGACCGAAGTCACCAATGCGGTGTGATACCAATCCCCTGCGGAAGTCACACCGGAATAGGTACCATTGACTCCTTCTACCGTTGAGTTGCAGGCACCTCGATTGTATGAGCGGTAGGCACTGGCCTGACCACCAGCAGACAAGACCTCGAGCATATGCAGACCAGCACCGGCGCCGTGCCACCCAGTGACATTCAGCGAAAAGCCAGTCAGCGATACAGTGCCATCGATCGCCGCATCGGAGGAGCGTGCATTGACTAGGAAATCCTGATAAGGTACCGAAGCGTTGTGATGCATCTGACACTGCGTCGTACAGGTGACATTCTTGTTCGTCGCCGGGTCCAGGTAGAGGAGTTCTATTGGGCTGTCGCTTGAGAAGGAGGTGATGGAGAAGTTCTGAGTTCCCCGGCCATCGTGAAAGGTGTTGCCCAGTCTGAATGCCCTGACCCTCTCACGACGGAAGAGATTCACTGAGAGTGACCCTGCGCTGCCATCTGCGAAAAGGTACGTGTTCCCAGATCCGTCTGCACCCTGGGGACAGAGAATCTGTGGGGCCATGTTGAAGTTGTCGTTGTTGAGCGACGGACCTCCTTCAAAGTAACTCATAGCCAGCGAAATGGGTGCCCATTTGGCAGAGAGAGCTGAGGGAGAGGTGTATGTGCCCGAAATGGCCGTAGCATTGTCTGTAGAAGCTCCTAGAGCGCTGCTGTTGCCAAAAGCGGTGTCGAAAGTTCCTCCGAACTGTACCATCGAAGTATTCGCACCAGCTACCATAGCCTGCACCGTACCATTGAGGCCTCCAAAGTCTAGAGCTTGCCATGCTTGGGATGTGAAGTTCCATGCAGCTACATTGCCGAGGTATCTCTGACCTTCAACGCTTTGAGCATCGACTTCTGCTGGAGCGGTGAAATTACCGCCAACGACAACAATCTCTTCGAGGCAAAGCACGGACGTGATCGTGCCCTCTATACCGCCCGCCATGTCATCCCATTGTCCCGTCGATGGATCATAGGCGGCGATGTTGGCGGTGGAGACGTCGCCCATTTTTGAGAAGCTACCTCCAGCAACGATCATCCCTGCACCACTGCTCTGACCGCATACAGTGGAGATGACGCCCCCAGCCTCAGTAGCGTTGAGCTTCGTTAGGGTTCCATCGCTGTTGCGGTGCAGCAGAGTAGATGCAGCAGGATCATAGGTGTTTGCAGAGCTGTTGTCAGACGAGCTCCAGATGTCCAGGCCAGCGAAGCTACCTGCGACGCCAACTGAACCTAGCGCATCAAAGTCGATGGCAGGAAACGCGGCGGAGGAAGCTTGCAGGTTCTGCAGGCCGAATATGCAGAATGCAACTCCTAGTAGAGCATTGAGACGTGGAAGACGAGTGCGACGCTGTCTTTGCGACGTCGGTGCCTCTGATTGTATAGTCGTTTCCGACTTCGAAGAGGCAGAGGATGAGGATGACGAGGAGCGAGGCCCCATCGTAGGTTAGCCTCTCCCCAAGAGACGGGTGGCTGACACCAGACGGCTCAAGTCTTCAACAGCTGGATAGCTCGATGGTATTGGGCCCCTGATGGGGGGGAGGGACCGAGGATGAGGAAGAGGGACGCGTATTAGGTGCAATCACAAGATTACTGCTGCTGTAGAGAGCAACTTCTATCGACGTTGGGCAGACAAGAGTCGTCTGTCAATCCCTTTGCTGTAGTGACGTGTCCTGAAGCACGTCTTTGACGGAAGTCGGGAGCCGAAAGGGGGTAGGTGAAGAAGAGGAAGATAAAAGACAGTGGGTAGCCAGGATCTCGTCGAGGAAGCGCGCCCTGGACGAGCTAGAGAAGATCTGTGGCTGAGGGTGGAAAGGGTAGCGTCGGCAGAAGGCGGTACGGTGACCAGCAATGATGATGATGTAGAAGTAGTATGGAGGGTATCTGCGGTCAAGGAGAGGGCGGCGGAAGGGAAGAGGTGGGTGAGGGGGTGCTTTGCTTAGGGGGCGAGGTGGAAGTGAATTGCGTACGAGGTACAAGGGGGCGCTGAATAGGGGAAGCCAGGCCAGGCACGCGGGCGGCACTCAAACAATACACACACACACACACGCACACACGCACACGCTCTCGCTTACGCCCAACGCCCGCGAGGCATGCACACACACGCCTAAAAAAGTCGGCACCGGAACACGACTCACGTGGCAGCACTCACGTCCGTGAATAGGAATAGCTCGAATTGGTCGGCATGGTCAACGAAACGAGACAGGTTCAGCTGGTGAAGATACAGATGCTGCTGTCATCACAGCAGCGGTCATAGCTACGATCCCACAATGCATGCTTGCGATGTGCCGCCTTCGAGCGAGCTACGTGCACCAGCGAGGCCTATAGAGCAGTGATGCCGATTTGCCGCTATTATCTGGCAGCCACATTGTCACATGAAGCTAGGATCTTGATGTTGCGACTATCGGCGGCCTCTTGGTGCTCTTTCTGCCCAAGTTCTAAGGTGTATGAAACTTCCTTTTGCAAGCAGATCGCATCCCAGTCGCTGCTCGGAGCCGACGCGCCCCCCGCCCTGAGTGCAGCTCCGCTCGCCCGGTCATTGGCCATTTCGAATCGCTCACTAGCCCAGTATCACCGCTTTCCCGAACATCTCACCAAGCCGCCTCGCTCATCTCCTCCCTCTTACCCTTTGTCGTCATCATGAGCTTCGCAAGCCGCTCGCTACTGCGCCTGTCGGCTGCTGCCAAGGTGGCTCCCATGGCCCTTCGAGCGCCGGTTGCCTCTGCGCCTAGGAGAATGGCCAGCACAAGTGGTTCTGCTTCGAGCGGGGAGGAGTATGAGACCAACGAAAGTGAGCAACAGCGATCAGATGTGCGACGGGCCCCAGAGAGCGGGACATCAGTGCACATCATAGATCTGCAGCTTGGGCCACAAGCTATTCTGAGGCAGACGATGGGAGATGGGAGGGCAGTCGGGGAGGAGAGCAACCTCCCATACATTGCACGTAGCTCTGACACCTAGACGGGCTGCTCACCGTACGGTCGCACTAAAGCCCTACTCGGAAGCCGCTTGCGCGATAACACGGCTGCCTGACTCGACGAATCTGACAGGACATTGGCCTAGGCGGCCCCATTGAGGACAGATTTCTGACACAACCCCCTTCGACACGTCCTCCTTGCTCTACAGCCTTCAGCACACCCTTCTGGCGAAACACGATTCTCCTCACACTAGGTAGCGTGGCCATCTATCGCTTCTCTGTCATGCATGCTCAGCCTCACCCTTCTCGGGCCTCCTCCAGTGGCTACGCATCGCCCGGCAACGAGTCCGAGGACGACCACCGAGACGAGATCCAGGGCGATGACCGACCATTCCTGACCAAGTACATTGAGCTGTGGTTCACACCTTCTGACGTATGGAAGGAGAGGAATCTGCACCATCTGGACCTGGCTAGGGAGAAGGCAGAGGAGAAGTTATTCTTCCAGGACGCGGAGAGGCCGCCCGTCCACAGGTTGCGATACACTCAGTAAGTGTACGACAGCCCAATGCTGCACCAGGCGATATACTACATCACCCACGGTTCTTCTCACAATGTTTTTGCCTCGTCCCTTCCTGCTACAGGTCTCTACAGACCGCATCACCACATTGCCAGGTACCAGGTGGAGGGATCGACATGTCTGACGTGGTCCCCAAAAGGTCTACCGATTGAGGGTAGAAGGGGGCTTCGGGCGGTGATCTCGAGCTATGATTGAGCGACGCGTACGTTGATGTCCACAAGACCAGTCACTGCTCCATAGAAGCTCGAGACGATCGCCAAGTGTAAGAGGAATGGAGATATGAAGAGTGTGGGATGTAATTCCAAAAGCACTCAACAACTTGAACCCTCTGACTGCTTCAATGCTGTGCCTGCCTGTGATGATTCTTATTTGTCTAAGCCATACCATACAGAAGTTGTACATCAACGACCAGCCGGGCAATAACGGGTACGCCTGTACGGTAAATTACAGCGTGTGGTGCGTGTGGCTAAACGCTTTGCCTCCTCCCTTGATTGCCCGTCAAAGCATGCCAGCTTGCTGCCCGATGGTCTACATCTCCGCTGTGACCCCGTGGGAAGCACCAGGATCATCCAGACTCCGTTTGAGCGAATGACGGTCCTCCTTGGTCATCTTCTGGTGCACCAAGGTGGCGTCGTCGTAACCCCTTTTCCCCCCTTTGGTCCAGCCCAATTTCCGCTCGGACGCCCGTCCAGACGCACGCGGGGTGTACGGCGGCGCGGCTCTGGGTCTGCCACGCGACTGCATCCAGACGACGGAGGAGAGGCAGGCAGTGGGAAAGTGTGCTTTGGGTGCAGCCAGCCACGCAGCCCAGCCCGCATTCTGTGTCCCGCGTTGCCGTCAACCACGTCGCACATCATCCTCAAGAGCCAGCCAGCATTCCTGGCCATTGCCTTTAGAACCTCCATTGCCTTGCTACCTTGCCCACCAACAGCAAACATTCCGTCTTCAGTGGTGCCCTCTCACCAGTACCCCCTTCTCCCATACCTGCCCTACTCGAGGCTACCTCTTATATATACCACCCGCCTATCACTGCTTCGCCGAGGAGAATCAATCACCTCCTTGGAGCAGCTTCTTCAGTGTGAGCTAGAATCACCAGTGACCCATCTGGAATCCACTTCATCACTGTACTCACTCACACACACACCGCCCCTCATTCGTGCCCCCCGCTACAGCCCCGCCATTAAGCGCCCTCGTACCATCACCAACGGCACTGAAGACGCAGCTTCAGCCGCTGCTCTAGAGAGAATCGATCAGCTGCACCCTTCCCACATCGGCAACCCCTTTGCTTCTTCCTTGCCCGTGCTGCCCACGATGTCTCTCTCCACCGGCTACGCTACCATCCTCAACGATCTCAACCGAGACGTCCTCAGAGCACAACCCGCCGATCCTCTGCAATTCTGCGCAACTTGGTTCAACACTAGGCTTGCAGAGGAGAGGAAGTCAGTCCTGGCGAAACAAACCGGTGACGCAGGAGGATTGGCACCCGATGTGAACATGTCTGGCGCCAATTCTCCTTCTCCCGCTGCCGCTGCTAGCGCCGGTCAAGCGGGCGTCTTCTCGTCGGCAAATCCATTTGGTGGAGCATCGGTCACCCCCGCAGCTTCCTTCCTGGCACCAGAAGAAGAAGACGATGAGGAGGATGGAGCCGCCTTTGTCCCACCTCCCACCTTCAACCTCGGCCGCAGGACTTCCGTATCCGCCGAGTCACTCGTACCCGGCTCTTCTGCTCACGAGGAAATCAAGAATAGCGTCAAGACGGTCATTCCCAAGTCCGACAGCCAGCTCAGCCGAATCGAAAAGGCGACTCAGGGAAACCTGCTCTTCCGTCACCTGGAGGAGGACCAGTACAAAGATGTACTTCTCGCCATGAAGGAGGTGCGAGTAGAGGCAGGCAAGGCTGTCATCGAGCAGGGCGCACAGGGAGACTTCTTCTACGTCGTGGAAGAGGGTACCCTTGATGTCTACATTCGGCCCGCACCTGAAATCTCACGCTCTTCCTCCATCGGAAGCACAAATACCGACGATGGACCGCAGACGTCTACCAATTCGCACCTCGGCGAGAAGAAGGTATCGTACGGTCCCTCAGCCTCCTTTGGTGAGCTGGCGCTGCTCTATGCCCAGCCTCGAGCTGCCACTGTCCTCTCCACCAGTCCATGTATCTTGTGGGCTCTGGACCGAGTCACCTTCCGCTCCATCCTCATGGAGACGAACAACCGCCGGAGGGAAATGTACGAATCGTTCATCAAAGAGGTCCCCCTCTTTGAGCACCTGTCTGCCTCTGAGAGGGCAAAGATTAGCGATGCTCTGGAGCTGAAGACGTACGAAGCGGGTCAGGAGATTGTCAAGCAGGGTGAGAGGGGTACCGAATTCTATGTCATTGTAGAAGGAGAAGCAGAAGTGAGAAAGAAGACACTGGACAGGGAAGAGGAGACTGTGGGCAAGCTCGGTAAAGGAGACTACTTTGGAGGTGAGTACATGAGAAGGGTGGAGAGCCAATTCGTTAGGAGATCAGGCTGACTGACCCACGTCATCCTTGTTGCACTCTCGCTCCTGCTCCACTCTAGAACTGGCTCTCCTCAACAAGGCTCCTCGAGCGGCCACGATCCTGGCTTCCCCCAGCCCCCGACCCGGCTCGCCCGAGCGTCTGCGAGTCGCTACCCTATCCGAGTCGGCCTTTACACGTCTACTCGGTCCCCTCAGTGGCATCATGGGTCGCCATGCCCAGGAGCACTACGGCACCTCCTCTGCTGCCCCCTCTGCCCCAGCCCTCGCCCCTCCCATCCTGAACAGTGGCATGGCTGCGACTGACTTTGGGGAGATTGCACCTCACAGCGTGGCCCCCACTGGCATGGGTGGTCCTCAGCCTGGTGGTGGGACATGGATCAATGGACTGGGCGCCAGTCCATTTGGAGGCGCTGCGGGTACAGGAGGAGCCAGCGGGCCGCTCTCGCCCAGAGCTTAAGCGGTGGGCGCAAGGAATAACAGTAGTAACGGAGACGGGCGCTCAACATATCGATAGTAGAGTCGGTAGAGTCATCTCTGCTCCTCTTTTTCAGCACCTTTATAGCATTTGTTTGATCTGCCTGACTGGTATTTGCCAACTCTTGTGCCTGTGTGCAGTGAAAGCGGTCGACAAAGGCATGACGCTCAGAGGCCGTCCACGAGCTCAACGGCCCCCGTCTGTATCTCGCCATCGGTAATCGGGTCGGACCGCGGGACAACTGGCGGGCTGACTCTGAGCAGGGGGCAGAGGAAAGATTCCTGTCCCGTGTCGAGGCGCCATGTTGGCCCAGGCACCCTCTTGGCTATCTCTCTCTTCCTTCTTCCCGTCTCTCTCTCCCATATATGAGACAGAGTTGTACTAGCCTCAGCACTCGTATTTTCCGATCTTCTCTTTCTTCTTCTTCTTCTCCCTCAACGAACCGCGTCGAACTCGCTAGCTCTACCTCTGTATCACCACGGCTCCTTCCTCGCAGCAGGACCTTTGTGACTCTTGCGCCCCGCTCTAGGCCCCTTCGACTGGTCTCTACGATCAATAGAAGCAACGCTAGCTCTCTCCGTGTCTTTCCCTCGCATTCTGTGAGTACGACCAGTGACTCCATGCTGTATCGGAAACGGGCGAGTAGTGGTGTGATTGCAGGAAAGGGCGGGCAGGCTCTCCCAGTCCCCCGCGGCACAGCCCCTACAATAGGATGAGACAAGTACCATAAAACAGTGAACAATCCAACTCTGAGGCTTTCGAGGATCAATGATTCTCAAGCGATGCTGTGAAAGTGTATTCTTCTGATATCGGGCGTAGGATGGAAGAGGCATCGACGAGGAAAGGGGAGAGAAGCGACTGCAGTAGCGGTAAGAACTCCTGCTGATCCTGAACCGACCCTTTTGCAATGTACAGCTTTCCCTACCACCGCCTCTGAATCGAGCCATGTCGGTCTCGTCTACAAAGGCTCCTGAGCCTACCCTCTTCATTGACGGCAAGTGGTGCCACTCCTCCGATGGCAAGTCCAGGGAGGTTATCAACGTGAGTGATGGGATGGTGGGTTCAATGGAGCGCCAATCGTCAAGCTGACCAGAAATTCTCCCTCTCTCCCTCCCTTTCAGCCCTTTGACGCTAGCGTCTTCACCTACGTCGATGAAGCCACAACAGCCGACGCTGAGCGTGCCATTGTCTCTGCCAAGAAGTTCTTCACCGATTCCGACTGGCCACATCTAAAGTGCGCCGACCGAGTTCCCCTCCTTGCAAAGACAGCCGAGCTCCTCCAGCGCGACAAGGCCATCCTGGCCAAGCTCGAGTGTCACGATACGGGCAAGGCATACAGGGAGGCTGAGATTGATGTGGACGATGTGACAAACACATTCAAGTACTATGCAAAGGCTGCTCTGGACCTCGACCATGATAGGGTCATCAAGAGCGAGTACTTGCCTGAGACGGCCAAGAACTCGATTCGTGCTGAGCCAGTGGGAGTGTGTACCCTCATTTCGCCTTGGAACTTTGTGAGTATTCCTAGGGAAAGAGGGGCGGGCTCTTTTGGATAGTATTGTGCAGAGGCTTACCTACTCTGCCTCCTGTTCTTCTCTGCCAGCCTCTGCTGCAAATTTGCTGGAAGCTTGCACCAGCCCTTGCTACAGGCAACGTTGTGATCATCAAGCCCTCCGAGGTCACTCCTCTCACCACCATCCACCTCACCAAACTGCTCCTCGAGGCGGGCTTCCCTCCTCTTTCCATTCAACTCTTGACGGCAGCAGGCAGCAGCATTGGTGACACAATCTGCCAACACGACGATGTGGACCTCGTCAGCTTCACCGGTGGTCTCCAGACTGGACGGAGGATCATCAGGTCATGCGCTGAAGGCATCAAGAGGTGTTGTCTGGAGCTGGGCGGCAAGAACCCCAACATCGTTTTCGCTGACATGCCTCTGGACATTGCCATTGACAATGTCACCACGGCCGTCTTCTTCCACTCCGGCCAAGTGTGCTCTTCCGGAACCAGGCTGATCGTAGAAGAGTCTATTGCAGACAAGCTTGTGGCCGGTGTTGTGGAGAAGGCGAGGAACATCAAGATGGGCAGCGCCTTTGACGAGAGCACCGAGACTGGACCCCTCGTTTCCGAGGCCCATTTGAAGAAGATCGAGGCATTCATCGAAATGGGCAAGAAGGAGGGAGCTAAGCTGCTGGTCGGTGGCTCGCGGCCTGACCCCAAGAAGTTCCCCGAGCTGGCAAAGGGCTACTTCTTCCAGCCTACCGTCTTTGACCAGTGCGACCGCTCCATGAAGATCGTGACCGAAGAGACATTCGGTCCTATCCTCACCGTCGAGAGGTTCAAGGACGGTGACGAGGCTCGAGCTGTAAGTAGCGGTGCAGGGGCGAGGGGACCTTTGTCAGAGAGCTGACCACATGCCACAACGTGCACGCACCTCTCTCCTCCACAGATCTTCCTCGCCAACGACACAAAGTACGGCCTCTCCGGCGGTGTGCAGTCGGGCGATGTTGAAAAGGCCAACCGCGTGGCACGCAAGATGCGTCACGGTACCATCTGGATCAACAACTTTGGCCCCTTCTCTCCTGCTGGAGAGTGGGGAGGATACGGTATCAGTGGTAACGGAAGGGAGCTAGGAGCTTCGGGACTGTGAGTTGGAGATGAGAATCCTCTGCTGTCCTTTGCTGCTTCGCTGACCTTGACTTATGCTCTGCGCCCTTCTCCCTCCTCATCTACTAGCGACGAATACATTGAGAAGAAGCACATCTGGGAAGAAACGCAGCCAGCCCTGACGGAGTGGTTCGCAAAGAGCAAGCTGTGAGCAGTAGAATGCGGATCCGCGCACTCGTTCTCGGCTTTGTCATCACCGTTTTGCTACGCAGTAATGCTCATTCTCGCACCATGTTTACGTCCCATGCCCCCTACCTCGCGCTCCGACCGCCATTGCTGCTCCCCGACCCTTACGCCCTGCGACCTCACAGTACTTGATTGGAGAGAAGACGGATATGCCGGTGATTTCGGCGTCGATGCAAGCCGAGCTTCTAGATGTGGTCAAGACTCAAGGGCGCTGGTAAAGGCTGCAGCTCTGTACCTCGCTTGTTGAAACATCATCTCCGATGAGAGGAGGAGTAGACACAGAGCTCACAGATACACATACCACATCCGATGGCACCGCCATTCGATCGACACCTCGCAAATGACCCGACTCGTCGCTTACTGCCGCCCGCCCTCGCTAAGACGCAACATATATCATCATCCCATGTTTAGCGTGCCGATACAGGCCGAGGTATCCAACGATCGGCTCCGCATTCCTCTGAAGTGTTGATCGAGGGATGACCCACTCCATCCCACCGACCCCATCCCCACCCCGCCCCATCCCAGACTCGCGTCACGCTTTTTCCCACTCACACGGTCGCGGAGCTCTGGCGTTTGACTGAGCCAGTGCCCAGTGGCCCAGCTTCCCAGGGCGTGTGACTATGCTCAGTGGCGAAGTCCCAGCCGTCAATGGGATGCTATTTCCCTCCTTCTCTGTCCCTTTCCCTGGATGCCTCCTCAGTGTGACAGATGCTCTTGCGTTGCGCCAACGTCTGCCTGTGTGTGTGTGTTTGTGATCGTCGTCTGAGCCTCGCCTAACCTCTTCCGCCTGTTCGATCTTGATCTTGCCGACCTTTCACCCCCGTCCGTCCTTTCCGGCCTCGGGTAGAAGCCCTTTTTTCCCTTCCTCCCGTTCCGCTCCAACTTTGCCTGCCCTGCCGTGTGTGTGTGTGTGCCCTTTTTGCGCGGAGGGAATTTCCGCATCTAGATCGGAGCAAAAAAGGAAAAAACAGGCGAGACGGACACGGCAGCGTCGCTTGGCGAATAGCGAGCTTCTATCGGCTTCCCGGCCTCGTCTAATCTCGTCGATCCGATGCGGGTTCCCGCCTTACAGTGCCCCACCCCACCCCCGACTTGACCCTCCGACTGTCGATGTGCTGCCCTGGAGATTCTCATGGTAGGGTCATTGTTGGGCAAGTAAAGGTAAACTCGTTCAATCCGGGGGCACTTGGACAGTATACAAACCCAGAGCCTTCCCCCCCCCTCCGGCCAAGCAAAACTACGAGCGGACTTTGATCGGCTCAGCCACTCTCTATCACAGCCGACTGGGTTCGAGGCATCCATCCGCATTGGCTCGCCCCTCCGCTCTGAGGCCCTCCGGGGGAGAGCGAGGTTGAATCCAGTTTCATTAATGCGCTCTCTCAACGCGGCTGGGAGAAAATAGAGAGAAAGAGTGTGTGTGAGAGAGAGAGAGGGAGACAAACAGATCCCGACCTGACCTGGCCTGCTTTGGACCGAAGTGACCTGACCTGGGTTGGCTGGAGCTGACCTGACCCTCTTGTCTAGTACCCGGCCTTTGATAAGAGGTAACACGGCCGATATGGCTCTATGCAGTCTAGACTCTGAATGCACTCGCTCCAAGTGCCCCTGTGCCTCGCCTTACCGCGCGATATCCTTGCCTGTCTGCCTGCCTGCTCTGCCTTGCTCCTCTTCGGTCTCTCTACGCTTCGAAGCTGCAGCACGTTCCGCGTGTCAATCTCGGGAGGCGTCCATGGAAGCCCAATTGGCTACTCCTCCCCGGCCCTTCCTTCGATTCGCCGCCGCTGCCGCCGCCTTTCGCCGCATTGGCTCTGCTGCCCCCTCTGTCTCCCTTCCCTCCCCCCCGCCAAGCAACGCACCCTCGGGATTGGGCGGTAGCCCTCGGCCCCATTCGTCCGTCCGTCCGTCGGTCCGTCCGTCGGTCGATGTCCTTGCTTGTTCCTCTGCCTGCCTGATGACCCACGTCCGACCCTGATCTCTCCCTCTCTACCGCCTTCACCCTCCGATGCTTCCTCGCTCCCGTCTGCGCCTGGCAGCCTGACAGCCTCTTTGCCCCCCGCTTTGCTTGTGTTTGGTCTGGGCCGGCTGCATCTCAGCTTCGGCGAGCGAGAAAGTGGGACTGCTTGCTAGGACTCGCTGCTGCTGCTCCTCCTGCCCCACCCCCTCCCAACCGCATGCGTACACCGCAAGTCGGTTCTCTCTTTACCTGCCACCACCTAGCATCGACATCGTCATCCTCCTCCTCGCCCCACCTTACCCACTTCGTCCCTTGCATCGATTCGCTTGCGGAGCTTAAGCATTGTCCCATTGACGTGGTCCACTTGGTCCAACCTAGTCATTCGGCATTGGGCGAGCCAGGAACAGATGCGACAGACGCCCAGTTGCAGTCTGATGGCACCTCTCTTTGCCCTAATCTCATCCACTCCTCCGAGACATTCGTCTCACCTTTACCATACACGAGACCAACTTGTTTACACTTTCCAACCACACCACCCTACCAGCACTATCTGCTACCTCGATTCACCTCCCCGCCATACCGATAGCATCTGAGTTCTTCGCCAAACCTTCTCCTCGGCCCCAACTCGAGAGCTTGAGAGCGAAAGAGTCCTAGCAGGGCAGGCGCTTCCTCTTAAGCCCCCCATTGGAAAGCATGTCAACGTTGCAGTCGACCTCGTCACCATCCATGTCATACTTCTCCACGCCAAACCAAATGGGAGGAGATGTGGCTACCGAGGCCTTCTTCTCTCCTACACCGCAAGGGAGCCTACGATCCTCTGGCTCGTCGAATCCCGGCTTTGCCCATCAGCAGGGTCAGAACTTTGCGAGTACAGCCCAACTTACCCAGGACTTCTCCCAGATGGGCACCTCAAGTCAAAGCTCGCCAGCGATTGGGAGCTCAAACTATGCCTCTAACCTGCAACAGCCATTGGGAGACTACAATTCTGGCGAGAGCAGACTATTCCCAGTGATCAGCCGGCAACAATTCCAGGCTCAATTCGCTACCAATGATCTACCACCCCAAGCCAGCGGATCCACACAAGTGGCACAGGCCAATGTGGACGACAACTGGATGCTCTCTGATCTGAGTGAGTAGACGACGTCTAGCCGAGCTGAGCTGCCCATCGTAGATGCGGGAAGAGAGAAGAGGCAGCTGACTGACGCACGCGCCTTTGCCCCGCCTGCCACTCATTCCCCGTTCCGCTTCTGCTTCCGTCGAGCAGCGTCACTGCGAAGTCCTGGTCTGAAACGCTTTGCCGGCGACCACCTCGAGGATCCGAGACCGCGGTCGCCTGGAACAAGCGGCAGTCTACGTCGACCTGCTTCCTTCCCAATCCTGTCAAGCGTGGGCAGCAATGGCGCTGTCCCTGTACCAATCAATGATGCTGTGCCTCAAGCGCAGGCGTCGTCCAGCACCGGTCCGCACCGCCGTACCATTAGCAACAATGCCAACAACAATGCAATGACGACGTCACGGGTCAATCTGCGCAGATTGGCGAGCGGGACAGGACCAGTCGTGGGCGGATCACCCCAACATCACCAACAACAACAGCAGCAGCAGCAGCAGCAGCTCCGGGGCGGGGTCAAGATGGGTGACCGCGCGGATATGCGGCATCACCGATCAAATCTCTCCCTCTCGGCACTGAGCCAGTACCCGGGCAGCCATCCTCCCCCTTCCGACGCAGTCGAGGGCAGCCTCGTGGAGAGTCCTCTCACGTCATCGTCCCTATCTTCCTTCAACGGCGGCACTGCAGGCGGACCCCAATTCACTTTTTCTGTGCCCTCGAATTCTGGGTATGCCTCCGGCAGCCATCTCAACGGAAGCGGGAACAATCAAGGCGCCCATCCTTCAGCATCGGCCGGATTAGCTTCCGAGAGACGGGGTCAAGACGAAAGGGAGCGAAATCTGGGAGGGGCAGCCCATTTCAGCACCGTTTCCTCCTTGCCCATCGTCGGTCACCTTCCTAACACACAGTACTCACATCCGACACCTTCAGCCAGAACATCTCCCATTACTTCACTCCAAGCTGCCACACCAGTCTCATATCAGCAACAAAAGATGAACACGTCTCCTTACAGTACCGCCAATGGCGGTCTTGGATTCGACATCTCCAGCAGGCCTTCGCGAGCCAGCAGCGGCGACAGCTATCCTCAGCAGAGCAATGTCAACGGCAATGGCAATGGCAGCGCCAATGGCAATGGCTCCGTCTCGCCGCCTCAGCTCGTTCGAGCTTCTCAGCTTGCATCGCCGCCCCTGATCGGCTCGCAAACGCCCAGTCGCGGCACCATTGCCTTGACGCCTGGCGGCTACCCCAGCAGCAGCAATGCCATGTATGCCCAGCATCCCCCTTTGCCTTCTGCGTCTCATTCACCGCAGCAGTTGCAGAGCGGGTCCTCGTCTTCGCCTAATGGCAATGACAGCCCGTCGCCTACTGGTCGTGCCAAGCTAGAGCTGCATGGCGACCTCGGCGAGATGTCATCGGGATGGACTCACGATGAATGGGCACGAGGAAGGCGCCTGGTACAATTCTGGCGAAAGCAAGAGGGTACTACCATCCACTGCACCTTTGGCGGCATCGACCCATCCGAGTATGTGCCTCGCTCCATCGTTGTCAGCTGCATCTACAGGGCAGACAAGGACGAGTGCTTTGTGACCAGCGTAGACACCATCTACCTCCTCGAGTCTCTCGTGGCAAGCCAGTTCACCATCGAGGAGAAGAATCGTATCCGACGTAATCTCGAGGGATTCCGCCCAGCGACCATTTCCAAGACCAAGGAAGAGTCCGAAGAGTTCTTCAAGCTGATCATGGGCTTCGGTACACCCAAGCCTCGCAACATCGAAAAGGACGTCAAGGTCTTCCCTTGGAAGGTGCTGGCCGAGGCTCTGAAGAAGATCATTGGCAAGTACAGTGCTAGCGTCGAGCCACCTCTCGCCAGTCCCCATGCTCCTTACTACAACGATGAGGCGCTTCAGCACCAGCAACAGAACGGCTTCAATGGCCATGCTGGACATGCCGCCCCGCACTACCAGTATGGGCATGCTCGAGATGACTCCGTCAACCTCAACAACAGCCCTCGCTACTTCTACGGCGGCAACGGTCAGCTCCAAGGTCCTTCACCCGTTGGATCCTCCTCTGCTTACCTCGTCAATTCGGGCGTCGAGGGTCAACAAGGCGCGCCTGGCCAGTCTTCGGCAAGTCATCACTATGGGGATGGGTCTGCCAATGGCCCCATCACCGGTAGCATGCCCTCGTCGACCTCCTTCCAGGGTCACTACCACTCACAAAGCATGCCTGGCACCTTGCTCTCGCAAGCTCAGCCTCTGTATCAGCAACAGCCGCAACAGCCGCAACAACAGCAGCAGCACCCAGGCGCCATCGTCATTGGCGGCCAGCATGCTCACGGACACTCACAGTACGTTCCTCACCAAGCAGCACAGTATGCCGATCATCAGTATCGCGCCGCGCCCGGCCATGCGCCATCGTCGTATGACAGCATCAATGGCAATGGTAGTGGTGGCAGCATGGGAGCGCAGGAGTATGCCCATCTCAATCCGGGCGGATCCTCGCACTACGCCCATCACTCTGCTCCCCAGCATGTCCAATCCCATCAGCATCACCAGCACCAACAGCAGCAGCAGCAGCAGCAGGGTGTGCCTCAGCATCACCAGATGACTCATGGGGGATACATGGGCGGACAGGACTCCGGCGCCACGGGCCTGTACACGCTCCCTTCTGCCGCTTCGATGCCTGAGTATGCTGGAGGATTTGCTGGACGATGAGGCAGCGGGAATCGTGCATGCCCTCCCCGATCTTGTCTCCTTCCCTTTCCCCTCTAGATACTTCCTCCCCACCCCACCCCATGTCTTCTTCCCCTCAATCGCCCCCTCGCCAACCCCTTCTATCTCACATCCATGCATACCACCTCCAGCAGCCAGAACCCCCACTTTGAATTTTGTACTTGTACCATGCTCTTTTGTTCCCCAACCCCTCCCTCTTTCCCTCCTTTGTTTCACTTAGGGCATACGTATAGATGTTTGTGGAAAAGTAACCCATGTTTACCATGCATACCTGACCTGCCTGTCTGCCTGCCTGTCTGTCTACCTATCTGAGCACGCTTGAAGAGCGTCAGTGTCAGTGTCAGTATCAGTGACATTCTGGTGGTGGGAGCTTGGAAGCCTGATCTGTGTGAGCGTACACGACTTGTCACACGACAGGAACGTACAGGCTCCCGTCTCCAAATGGAAGCAGCACAAAGTCAGTCAAAAGGCACATCTACAGCACCACAAGAGAAAAGGTACAATGGCAAGTACAAGTAAACATATTTCGTAGGGGGAGGGCAAGAAAGGGGTCCCAGTCCACTAATGTCTGTCTACAAGAAGGCATAGAGGTCATTTCTCCTATACCTTCTCACCTCATCATCAAAATCTGCCATGTCCGGGTAAAATGGTACCAGACTATCCTGAGCTCCAACATAATTTGTATTGTATACCCTGCAAAAGGGTTCCCTCACTTTTCTCGCAGCATGGAATAGACCTTGAAGACTGTAGTTGAGTAGGATTCCAGGACCGAGGGCGACTCGCATGGCTTCGATTGCGTCAAAGACGTTGTTGATCACGTGAGGGCTTTGCTCGAAGATGTTGGGCCAGATCAAGTTGAGGAGATGAAGAAGACAGTCTTCCTGACCTAACCCGACGACGCCTAGGGCGACGTGCTGCACGACTGCAGCGGCGGTTTGACGATGCACTGCATCTCGCTCGATGAGAGCATTCTCCAGCACAGTCACCAGAGCAGGGACGTAGTCTTTGCTCATCTCGCCGACGTATTGCGTCAGAAAGGACAAGGACTTGAGACAGCCATTTTGTACGTTGAGCTCAGGCGTGCGGTACTCTGCTAGGATGGCAGGAATGGTGGTAAAGGGACCACACGTCTCCGCCACAATCGCAATGGCTACCGTCGAGCAGACTCGCGATTGACGCTCCTGAATCTTGAGATTGGTCAGGAGAACCTGCAGAACATCCTGAGGGCCAATGGCACGGGCTAGATAGCCAAATGTGTTGACTGCTGCTCGTCGAATCGCCTTCTTGTGTGCCTTTAGCAGGTCTAGAAGCTCAAAGCAGATCCTCATCCACTCTCTTGGGCTAACAAATTCTGCACCTCGATCTGCGATACGTCCAATCAGGTTGATGCAAGCCTCTTGCACCTTTTCGTGCCTGTTGCGCAGAATCGGTGTGAGGCGAGGGAGAAGATCCTTGATCGGGGGATTCATCTGGGTCATTCCCACCACACCGGCAATGGCTCCCTCGGCAGAGATGATGCTGGCCAGAGATTCAGGGAACTCTTCACCCAATTGCTCGAACAGAACCACTCCGAGCTTGCTCAGAAGGGCATCCTCCCCACACTGCTTGATGACCACGGCGAGCTTCGTAGTCAAGTCGGCAGCCTGCTGACGAGTCTTTGCACTCTTGTTGTTGAGCCTCCAGAGAATCGTGGACACAATCTGGGTAAGGTATGGCTTGATGCGCATGCCCAGAGCATTCACCACAGTACCAAAGCCCTCGAGCATGACGTTGTCTTCGACTGTTTGCTCTTGGAAGGCGTAGATCAGACCGTCGACCAACTGGATCTCGAGTCGCTCATCAATGTCGGCAGCACCGAGCGATGCGATGACCTTCTGAATGGTCTCCATGACCATCTTCCTGAATGGCTCGTTCTCATCCTTGAGCTCATTGACGATCCGGCCAACCACCTCTGTCACACCAGTCTTTTGCGACAAAGCTACTGTTGTCTCCACTACCTGACGGTAGTTCCTTCGGTCGAGAGCCATCCTTCGCACCCAAAAGTGCTTGAAGAATTCGGGCAACATCTCCTCCTTGAGGAATTGACCAGTGACTCCATCAGTGGCAGCACATTGCTTGACTACCTTCAAGACAATCTTCTTCATCTCTTCATCCGCGCTCTGGAACTCGCGGATCAAGGTAGGAGTTACTTCCTTCACGAAATAGAGGGTACTCTCCGAGTCCATCAATGGGATGATGAATCCAATGGCCTTCAAGAAAGCAGCGAGCCCTTTACCTCGGTGTTGACGAGTGCCCAACCACAGAGGCTTGAGGACATTCTCGAAGGATTCGATACCATATGGTGCTGCAGCTTCTGCCAGAGCGGCAAGAGCGAGGGCAGTCATCGTCTTCACCTTCTGCTGATCGTCCTCCAGTCCCTTTTCCACACAGTCGACGAGGTTCTTGAGATGGGGCAAGACGGCGCATCCCATCATAATGGCAATCTGCTGCACGATTCTGATACCGGTATGTCTTGCTTGCCATGACTTCTTCGATCTGCACACGGCCTTGAGGAAGGGCAACAGGGCTGGGATACCCAGAGCCGAGGCCACCACAGAGAACGCTCGAGCAGTGGTGTTTCGCACATACTCGTCCACATGGTCGATGTCGGGTCGCATAGTCGAAATCATGTGGGCAAGTCCGGCAGCCTTGGACAGATTGGAGATGATCTCACGACCCTCGACACGGGCGTAGTAGTCTTCGTCGATGAGCAAAGGCTCAATGACGACGAGGATACGATGCACATAGGGCCGCACAAGATCATCGAGCTTGTAAAGAATGCGGTCAATGACCTTTACGAGGAGATGTCGCTCCTGGTCCTCCAATGTACGCTCCATCAGCAGAGGCAGAATCTTGTCAAAGAGCGGACCGGCTCCAAAGTCTCGCGCCTTGTCGGTAATCTGACGCAGCGCCGTCTTTCGCATCGGTGGTGTACCATTCTTGATCTTTAGCAGGAGCCTCATAATCTTTCGCTCTTTGAGCTCCTCCAGCGAAAGCTCTTGTTCTCCCTCGTCCTCCAAGATCTTCTTGAAGAAGACTTGATCCTCTTGCTTGAAGAAGGCAAGCTGACCAACTCCAGGAATATCGGTTGGCAGGTCTGGGATCATCTCCTCGACGGCAGCTCTTGCACTCGCTTCATCTTGCATCATAAAGCCGCCTCCACCCATTGCAGCCGGTGCAGACATGAGCTTGTGAGCAGGCGTTCTGATGGGAGCATAGTCGGGAGGTGGCTCAACGATCTTGTAGCCTTCAGAAGGGAGGAGCTGATCGAGCTCTTCGTCACTGAGACCCCTGTTACGTGGGTCTAGCGCGAATGTTCCGTTCATTCCAATGCCTGCTTTTTGGGCATCTAGGGCCCCAAAGTCCTCGGCTTGAGCTGGGGTCTGATCCCAACGAGACTTCTTGACCGGCTCGGTTGCTGCTGCATCGCCATCTGCCGGGGGAGCCTCGTCCCATCTTGATCTCCTCTTCCTCGGTGCTTCATCCACTTCGGTCTTGATGGTCTGGGCAGATGATTCCTCCTCTTCCTTAGGAGGTCCCACATCCCACCTTCTCTTCTTCCGTTCCATCTTGGGTGTAGTATCTCCTCCTTGTGGCTTCACATCTTCTCTAGGTGGTGTGACATCTCTATCGTCTGTTAATCCACCCCTTGACCGCTCCACTGCTTCCTTCTCCCTAGCCTCGATGACTCTCCTGACCCTCTCCTCCTCTCTCTCAATCTCTGCCCGCCTCATGGCCTCCTTGTAGCCTCCTTCGCCCTGCTCTCCAGCCTCGAATGCATCTGATCCCTTTTCAGGTCCAGCATCTCGATTGAATCTCCTGAGTTTGTAGTCATTCTCTCGTGCTGCAATCTGACGAGATTGAGCACTCTGAGCGAGGGGATCCTCGTCCTCGTCGGCGTACTCGTGGAGGAGGTGCCTCGGGGCAGAATAGGCATCGAGGGGATTCCTAGGTCTGGAGGAGGAGCCTTCCTCATCGGAGCTGCCAGCATCGTCGACGTCCATTGGCAGCTCGCTAACGTACTTGGTCTCCTTTCGACTGCCTCCTCTTGAGGATGACATCTTTGTGGCGAGGAGGAGGAGGAGGATACAGGTGATACGAAGATGGTGGCGACGAGCGAAGGTGTGGCTCGGCTTGGCTGAGTAGAGCGGGGAGGTGAGATTTTGGCGGTGCGCGGCCAAAGCGTGGAGATGCGATGTGGCTGCTTCCGTGCGGGCCACTTGGGATCCCCATATCCTCCCCCCCCCCGCCTTGTAGCGCGGTGCAGGACGACGATGACATCCTCGACGAAGATAGTGAGTATTGCAGAGTGATGGTGGAAGGTGCCGCAAGAGTAGCGCATCTCATCGCTCTTGTTCTTGGTACGCTCCTCGGCCCCTTCGCCAGCAATGCATCGCCCTCATCTCCTCGACCAACTCCCCTCTCTACATTCGCTCCTTTGGTCCCTCGGATAAGCGAGGCGAGGCAGATCTACGGTATCACTTTATAGCTCATAGTGCATTGGACCTAGTCGAGGAGAGGGAGACTGCCAAGAATGTAGAGAATTACTTTGGGCTGCTGATGACCATGGAGGATCTGGCCGTGTGAGTACTACTGGGGTTGCAGGAGATGGACTGCACCAAGGGCGCCGGTACAAAGGCGGCTCGACGGGAGAGCTCACACGGCGGTAACACTCTACAGGTACGGTTTCCAGACTTCTACGAGGACGAAGCTGCTGATCATGCTGACCGTCTCGGACATGGTCGTCAAGGATCTGGACATGATCACCGTGAGTCCTCCTCAGCCCTCCTCTGGGAGCAACCCATATTCAGGACATGGTCTCAACCTCAACCTGAACCTCGACCTCTACCCTACCTCTTTCCCTTTCCTCCAACTTCAGATCTTCCGCGCAATCCACACCTCCTACCTCTCGCACCTCTGCAACCCTTTCCACTCCATCTCTCCCTCTCTCCTCTCCAAGAATGCACGCTCCGCTCCCCTCCCACCAGCAGAAGCTGCTCTGCCACCGGGGAGGAGAACGATACATAGTCCCCTCTTTGAGAGGAGAATGGAAAAGATTGCTGCGTGGAACCCGCCTTCCATGGGTGGGGGAGAGACAGGAGGAGGGGGAGGTGGGGCGACGGGGGGAAGAGGCAAGCAGGGGGAGATCCCTCCGCCTACGCCGAGTAAGACCTGAGACGTGAGGAGTGGGAAGGGAAGGAAATATACCATACTAGAAACCATCTACCTAACTGTGAGTCTGAAGTCTTCTGTCGCTCGTCGCTTCTCTTTGCCATCCCTCACCCCTCTCGGAGCATCAACCATGAGAGCCTACACTCCTAGCCCCACAACCCGCATCCCGCTTCCCCGCCTTCCTCGCCCACTGGAATGGCAGCGCCCTCCTTCCACCACCACTACCCTATACCAACTCTCCACCACTCTCCACCACCACACAACCACAAATACAAATACAAAGGACGAACCTTTAGAGCTCTTCTGATCAAGTACAATATCGTCGAGCACAGATACGCGTCCAAGATCTCCCTCTCTCCCCCTCCTCGTTACTACTCTCGTTACTACTACTTCACTTCATTCCAGTCCCTTGGCGACTTCTGAACAAGCAAGGTGTACATTCCACGGTACGGATGAATGGAACAAAATAGATATGAAGTTGTGTATTGCATTGCATGCATGCAGAAGCGTTGCAACCTGTCAACCCTCTTCAACACGGCCGACTCTCCCTCCCTCCCTCCCTTGGTCAGCTCGCCGTGAGGGTGTGTATATACGTGTGGGTGTGCGTGTGCGTGTGCGGTTGTGTGTGGCTTTTGTGATGACCCGAGACCCGAGACCCAAAACCCGAAGAACCGGATTGGTGACGAGGGAACGAGGAATGAGGAACGAAGGGACGGGGATGAATGGAGACGGGAGACGGAGGCCCAGAGGAATGGGGGGATTTTACCGATCGTGTGTTTTGTGTTTCCTTTGCACTTGTTTGCTTCTCTCCTCTGTCTGTCCGTCTTCTTCATCAAGACAATGACCTTTCTAGGCGTCCCTCAGCATGGATGCAATATCCCTCTGACTACTTCCTACTCCCCCACCCGCCCACAACCTCAGTCCTCTTCAATATCCTCATCTCCATCTCCTTCACCACCTTCTCCTCCTTCACCTTCCTCGCCTCCACTCCCATCTACTCCTCCCTCTCCTCCTTCTCCACCCTCTCCCGCTTTACCTTTCCTCCTTCGCTTCTTTCGATCAACCCTTACAGGAATCTTGACTCCCTGTGCAGCAAACTTTCGGCTGAGGACCGTAGGCTCTATAACTCCAGGGAAACGTCGAGGAGTGTACACCACAAAGGGCTCCGTGTACGTTTCTGCGAGGGCTTCGGAGATGCCTAGTCTCATCTGACCCTGTCCCTGTGTACCACTGCTGGAAGAAGGAGAAGGCGAGGCGGTAGATGATGGACTTGCTAGATCGGCAAACATGAGCTTGATGCGGTAGGTTCCTTCGGTTCGTACCGAGAGGTCTTGCAGGACAAAGAAGATGCCAAGCTGGTCGTGCTCGTCCTTGAGAATGTTTGCACTGGCGACGGAGGCGCCGACGAAGTTTCGTGTGTACGTCTCCGTGGTGACCGTAGTAAAAGGAGCCGCACCACCGCCACCACCACCACTTGAATGCGGTGGCCCGAGGCCTTCTTTCGAAGAAGAAGAAGAAGGATGATAAGCCGGACCGGGTCCACCGCCTCCACCGTTCCACGAGGGAGTCACTTGAGCCGCCCTCCAGGGGTCGGACAAGGATCTCGCTCTTACTCGTTCGACGTCAAAGGTAGCTAGTGATGAAGACGAGCTAGGAGTACCCGAGCCACCAGCAGACTGTTGCAGCATCTCCGTAGACACATTTGCGGCGTGTTGATGTATGAGCAGATTCCTCGGAGACGCCTTGAGCTCTTCGGGGTGGACGAGGTCAGCAGCGAGAAAGAAGGCCGAGGTGTCCACATCTGTAGGCGGTACTTCCTTGCCAGTCTCCACATCTGTAATGACCAGCTTGACGATCAGCGTTGGGCTTAAAGGCCTCCTGTCCTTGTCTCCGAACCCGCACATCCTCGCTCTGCTTGGGGATTGTACCACCACAAGCTTGAAGCGTCGGCCGTCCTGCTCCTTTGAGAAGCCATCTAGAGAGATAGTCTCGCCAGGTGGCAGATTGAGCGAAGGTGTAGCACTACTGCCTGTCCCGCGGGAGGATGCGCTAGACCCAGGAAGCCCCGTCTGAGCTCTGACCTGAGACGAGGGAGTTGCACTGACCAACACGGAAGGATGGCCGCGATGAGGGCCCGCTAAAGAGTTTCCAGCCATTGCAGCAGCACCAGAGGGGACGACATAGGGCTCGGGCCTCGAGTGACTGCGAGCCCGTGAGGTGGGCCCGGCGCGACTGCTACGGAGGGAGCCTGACCACGTCAAGGTAGGGTTGGACGAGAGGCTAGAAGAGGTTCCAGCGCCGGCGCTTCCAATCGCAGGGTATCGGTCAGGCTGAATAGGTGGGGGCGAGAAAGGGCATTTAGATCAGCGATACTCTTCACATCAGAGCCTTCCCGTTGTCCCAACTCACCAGGGCCGATCTTCCGAGTATGGACCGATCATACCTCCCAGATAAGTACGTTCCCCTATGTGATCCTCCCGCTGTGAAGGACGAGGCAGAAGCTGCTCTAGGCCTATTCTGCTCCCAAGCCGATGTAGTAAGCAACGTGTTTGCGGCAGCTATTGGGCTTCCTGCCGACTCTGAAGCCGAAGCAGGTCTTCCTATTCCCATGACACTTCGAAGAGGGGGCAGGGTAGTGGACAGAGGCAGCCTCTCTGCAGTGGAGAGCTGTTGCATCGTGGGATTGAGAGAAGCAGTTGTGGAAGGCCTGCTACCTGCACTGCTTCCTCCGGAATCTCGGCGGTAGGCGAGATCGCCCGAAGACGACGAGGGACGATACTGGAATTGAGAGGCAGCATAGTCTTCCCGCGATGGACTTGCTACCGTGACATCACTGTAGCCAGGAGGAGCTGCTTCTGAAGTGGAGCTGGGATTGGTCACGCCGGCGCCCTCTGATGAGGGACCACCTCGCTGAGCTATGGGAGCTAGCCGGGGAGGGGCATCCTCCTGGGAATGGAGGATGTTGTGTGGGAAGCCGCTCATGAGTCCTGGGTATGGGGCATGGGGGTCCTGGAGAAGGACGAGGGTATTGATGAGTGTGTGAATTGGTATGAGTCCGGGTCCTGCCGAGAGGTAATTCTTTGGGCCCTTTGCGGTGAAGGATGAGGCAAGAAGAGTCTATGCTGAAAGGGAGTGTGTGTGTGTGTGTGTGTGTGTGTGTGTGCGTGTTGGTGGGCGTAGTCTTGACTAACCAGAGCTCATGCCTTGCTCAAGGAACCGCAACAGAAGGGGGTGAGAGACCAATGGGAAGGGAAAGCGAAGGAGTGAAATGAATGACGAAGGGCTTTGGGTGGGGCAAAGTGTCTTGCCAATGGCAAATGGCGGGGAGGTGCCTGGGTGGTGCCTCGCAAGACGCGCTGCTGCTGCTGCCGCCGCCGCCTTTGGTGACAAGGTCGGGCGAAATCTACCTCGGTGCGAGGCCGATAGCCAAGTCGAGTGTGGTGTCCTGCCTCTGTCCCAGCTCCGTGCGGCCTTTTGAGTTCACTTTGGCCCTGCAGGCACAAGCGGCGCACTACTCGGCCAGCGCCCAGGTCCAACCCCGCGGCTTCTACAGCGGGCCCTTTTGGAGGGCGAGGTGCGTACGTTGAAACCAAGAGGCAGCGCAATTGCAGCGGAAAGCTAGCTGGGCTGCCTGCAGGGAGGTATGGCGTTGTGGGGTGGAAGGAGTCAAGGTGTGCGAGCGAGTGAGTGGCTGATGAGGGCGAGGAGGAGGAGGAGGAGTAGAGGGAGCAGGAAGAGTGAGGAGCAGTACGTTGATGGTGACGCTCCTTGTTCGTCCTTCTTTGTGAGAGGTTGGGCCGAGTCTGTGTTTGCTTATCGCGTCAACGGAGTCTAGGTGCACCACCAAAGCGGGGATTTGGCCCCTCTCGGACTCAGACTGAGCAGAGGCAGCCTCTCTTGTCTGGGTCCATCCATCCTCGGCCACTTGGGTTTCCCCGCTCCGTGTCTCCGTGTCTTGCTCCCCCTCCCTTTTCGACTTCGCTTGCTGACTGGCCTTCTGTCGTCCCTGAGTGAGACAATTGGCATTCCGTCCATTTCATCCAAGCGAGGGCGTCGGGAAGAGGACCCAGGCAGGTAGCTCAAACGTAACGCGAAATCCATACTCCCCTTCCCCTGCCGGCCCGCCTGCCTGCCCGCCTGCCTGCCCGCCTCTTCTTTTCTCCCCTCCCATTGCCTCTTGAGCACCATGTGTATGGATCAGAGCAACCATCAGTCCTCTACTGAGATGTCCCCGCCGCGGCTGTGCCTGGAGCCCCAGACCCAGATGGGTACCGCACCAGGGCGGTCTGGTCTGGCCCATTCGTGCGCTACATGCGGGACGCGCTGAGAAGATGAGCGAGAGAGAGAAGTGTGGCTCCGCTCCGCCTCCCGCCGGCCGAGCGAAGCGACTCAGCAGGCAAAAGGCAGGGCAGGGCAGGGCGCAAGAGATTCCTCAAACCCGGCATCTTGAGCGCCCCTGCTCAGTCGGTCAGCTTTGCTACTTTTTGCTCCTCCACTCGTCCCCCCCCCCCACCACTCTTTGCAGAAGCGAGCTCTGACTTCGACTCGGCAATGCAGCCAAATCTACACTGCCCATGACCCTGATCTCGACTTGCAAACTGGGTGTCTTGACCATTCATTGTCCTCATCCAGCTGAGCTGTGAAAGCGCGCGACAGAGCAATCAATGGACGGAAATGCATTGGAACTGGGATTCGAATGGAATGCAATGCAATGGGGGGGAAAAGACAAAGCTCAGCTCCGCTTACCTGCCTGCAGCCCCAAAAGCCAGGGCGATACAACCACAAAGAAGTCGAGGCAGTGGGGGGAGGGGGCTTACCAGAAAGAAAACTCTCACGCTACCCTACCCCATTGCCAAGACTCCTTCCCGACCCGTTCCAAGTACCGCCCACCGAACCGGTAAAGTGAATCGGCAGTGGGCGCCGGCAGCGGTAGGGTCAGTGGCAGTAGCAATAAATGGCAAAAGGGGGATTGGGTGACTCAATAGCGCTAGGCCGCGCCGCGCGATAGCTGCACCCAGGTCTGCTCTGCTCTGCTCTAATCCGCTCTGCTCTGCTCAGCCCCAAGGGGCGCGGCGCTCTTGGGCGGACCTTCCACTCTTCAGAGAGGCGCTTGAATCGGAGTCAGTACGCATGGACGAGTCGGCCGAGAAGAAAGGGAGGGAGGGGAGAAGGGGGAAAAGGGGAGGAGAGGTAGAGAGGTAGCCTAGAAGAGGCGTCCTGAGAATGTTTCTAATTGGATCGACCGTATACAGACCAACTACTTTTCGTTTCTTGACGGCCGAAGAGGGATCACCTGCAGGAAAGGTATTGCTGACGTTGCATTTATTTGCACACCTCGCACTCTTCAAACGTCGAGACTCTCTAGAGTATACGGCCCCACAAGTGCGCTACTCTCCAATGCGTGCAGCCTGACCGTCTTTCCAAGTCCTTCCATCCCTAATCCACCTCCCGTTTCGCTACGAGCTTGTACAGCTCCAGCTTGACCTGCCGATGCCTTCAGTGACTTTGCCGCCCTTGGATCGCGAGCGCGCTGTACAGCAATTCTCCTCGCGCTTTCCTCTTGCAGTCGCTTGCGGTCCGTGTCGAGACGTGTAAAGGCATCCAGTGGACCTCTGAGAGTGCTCAAGCTGGTGCAGAGGGCGAGATGTGCCGAGAGCGCCTTGGAAAGCGAGTGCAAGGATCCATGCATCGACGGCGTATTGAGGAGTAGGGGGAAATAGACGTCGATGAGGTCCATTGCGAATTGCAGCAAATCCGTCGTGGGAGGAGCCTTTGCTTGCGAGCTCTTGTCGCCAAGTCGCCTTCGCCTAGAGCCTGCCGTCGACTTCTTCATTGTGCCGGTCAGCTCGTCATCGGCTCCTGCCAGAGAGACAAGGTCAAGCGGCTCTGCCGCTCTGTCTTTCAGCCAGCGCGTGATGACTTGCAGAAGGACCACCACATCGCTTGACTCGGTGACATGGCCGTGTAGAGTGGATCGCAGAAGCGGCCGCGAGACTGCCATCGTCACGAATTGTGACAGGTAAACGTCTAGAGGCGTCTTGACGGCCGACTCGCCTTCCTTGCTCCTCTCGTTTCTCAGGAGCTCTACTAGCAGGTCCACTAATTCCCTCTCCCCAACATCAGATACGTTTCTGATCGTGTCCATGATCTGTCCCCAGTCGTTTCGGGCTCTCAAGCGAGCAATGAGTGACTGTCCACTCCCAGCAAGCATGCCACAGCTGACAGATTTGCGGCTCATCAAGTAGGTGAGGATCTTCTTTGCGTACGGTGCGGAGCGAGCAGTCGATGGTGCTGCAGGTAGAGCCAGGTCCAATAGAGTTGCAACAAAGGAATATGATAGCTTGACTTTGGGTGCTCGTTCATCCCTGTGGTTCTTGCGTTGTCTGACTAACTTCTTCTCCTCGCCGCCACCCAGATTGGCAGGCTCCCGGTCACTGTCGTCGCTCCCGCTCTGATCATCGGCCGCAAGTTCTGCAGCAGCAGCTTGTGACTCGAGACGCTCCTTTTCCCATGCTGCTTTGACCCTTGCCCCTTCCTCAGAGAGCCAGCTGGCAAAGGCGATCTCCATCTCTGCAGACTTCTTTTCAACTGTATCAGCAGTACTTGAGCTGTAAATGCTCTGCAGTCGCTGCAGCAGGGCCTGATGCTGTCCCTCAATGTCTGCTCCCGCACGACTCGAAGAAGCAGCCTTTGCTTGAACTTGCTTCGACCATGCAGTGGTCAGCGCTGCCTTTCCGACAGCATGTCTCAGGACACTGCTGGACGGAATGGTAAAGGGAAGAGCCCACAAGGTGGCCAGCGCTGTTCCGCCGGTCTGAGCTCCTCCCCAGGAGCACCCCTCTACGATAGCCTGCGATCCGCCCACACGAGTCAGCGAGACGCTCGCGTTTCGTTCGGCCTCTTCAAGGCCAGGGACAACGGGTGCAGACCAATCGGAAGTGACGATTAGTGCGTCAAGATCCGTGTCCCAGATGAGAGCAGCAAGTCTGCCAGAACTAGGTCCGCCTGCTGCACGAAGGACGACCAAGAGATGAGAAGCAGAGAGTCGTAGGAGCGCAGCCGGACGAGAAGACGAAGGTTCCTGAGAGATATGCGCGATTGACAAGGTCCGCGACTGGCTGACTTGTGGCCCTTCTGATGCGCTGATGCTAAGTCTGCTGAAAAGAATATCACCAGACCGGGCTAAGAAATGGGAGCACAGAGTCGTCAGCAATCGCATGTCGCTCCTCTCCCTTCAGCAACGGACTCACTCAGCATTGAAACCTGCCCGTCATGGAACAGATTGACATCTAGCAGAGAGGCCGCGTCTGGTATTGTAGAGACCGCTGTCTCTCCAAGGCTTGTGAGCCTCTCCGGTCCACTCGCCACGCCGATCCTTTGCACCTGAACCTTCAGAGGGCCAGAGGCAGTGAGTCCGTCCCTATTGGTGGAGCCTTCCGCGTCGTCAATGACTTCTATGGCCGTCTTCCTCCGTCTGCCCTTCTTGTCCTTCGAGTCACCTGCCGCTCCTCCCGAAGGAATTGAGGGGCCAGAAGACCGGCCGGCCGAAGTAAAAGTGATGAGGGAGCCCAAGGAATCTTCCTGGCGCACTCCTCCGCCAAAAATCTGCGCGGATGCCACGAGGTCAAGCACGGTAACCGAATGGGTAACGGTACGAGGATGAGGGGATGCAGAGTTGTCGTTTGTTTGGGGCGAGATCTCTGAGATCTGTAGGATTGGCGGCTGTACCTCGGCGGCCGAGCTGCTCAAGACGCTGTAGCTACCGCTGCCATGTCGGAGCAGGACCTCGCCGGAGGAGAGCGGATGCAGAGAAGATATCACGTCTTTGGACCGCACAGTTGTCCGCTCGGGATTGGCATCGTTTGCTGCTGAGCGGCTGCTCTCCTTGACGACCTCATTCCACGCCCAGACTTCTGAGCCGGAGCCATCTTGAGCAACCAGGCCCAGGTAGGTCCGCCTCAAGGTGTTGCCCTTGCCAGCTGACTGCAGAGTTACCAAAGGTGGTGTGCAGGGCTGTACAGCATTGGAAAGGACGAAGCTCTGGACAGCAGTATGTGTTGCAGCCTTCAAGATGCATAGGAGACAGAGAAGCAATTGTCAGCCAAGCTCGCCTTCTTGCTGTTTCGACCCGCTCTACTTCACACTCACATCGATCAGCGTCACTGAAGCTCCAGCAGCTACTGTCACGATGAGACCCCTTGCCCTCCTGACGCTTCCTGAGCCCAGCTTGACAACTTCCCCAACGGCAGCGTGTGACAACCTAGATGAAGAAGCTGCAGTTGCCTGAAAGACGGTCTTGCCTGCCTTGCCAGCTGAAGGGGCATAAGATCCGAGGACGACGGGCGGCGAGAGAGAAGGATGAGGTGCCAGGACTGCGGGCATGATGGACGAGGTCTGACGCTGAGCCGCAATAGCCTCTTACCTCGTAGCTGCCGTGATGGTCTAGCAACGGCTGAATGGCGAATCACGGGAAGAAGCTGTCCGTGTAAATTTTGTGCAGCCTCCTCCGCCAAAAATCGTCCGTGGCGCTCACGCCTTCCCGCCTGTGCGGGCGCGCAGTGGAGCTGACCGGCAGCAGGATATATGCACTTCTTCTGGTCATGGTCCCTTCGCCCTGAAAGACCTGTGAGATACTCGGCCCTTTGATGGTATCACTCTTGCCACGGCTCTCATACTCACCTTTTTTACTTCGTTCTGCTACTCCTTACTCGGTCCCTTTCTCCTCTTCAGCTCACCTCAGCCTCGAGCTCAATCGGTGTCCACCCTCCGCTCCTCCTCCTCTCCCGCCCCACGTTCTCTCGTCGGCGGCTGTACAAAAGAAACGAGGGAGCTTGTGTCTGCCATATAGAGATCGGATAGATACGTCCCGCGTAACTCACGGACACTCAAGTCTCCTTACAGAACCCCTCAAGAAGATTCCATCTATCCCAACTAACATGGAGGCGCAGCGTGAGGGTACCATCACCCTGGGAGTATGTGCCCTCGACCGAAAGGCTCGAAGCAAGCCCATGCAGAATATCCTGAACCGGATCTTGGCCAATAAGGACCTCGATGTGAACATTGTGAACTTCGGTGACAAGGTCATTCTGGACGAGCCGGCAGAGTCTTGGCCAGTAGTGGACGTGCTGATTTCATTCTTCAGTGCTGGGTTTCCCTTGGACAAGGCCATCGCCTACGCCAACCTCCGCAAGCCCGTCTGTGTCAACGACCTTGGTCTCCAGAAAGTCCTCTGGGATAGAAGAGCTGTCCTAGCCATCCTCGATGCCGTCAAGGTACCTACGCCGAGGCGACTGGAAGTGGATCGAGATGGAGGGCCAGAGGTGGAAGAGGAACTGGGCAAGGATCTGAAGAGGCGTTTAGGAGTCGATTTGCTTCGTCGTAGACCGGTCCAAGATTGCTACCTGAAAGACGAAGATACTCTCGTAGTAGGCAATCAGGAGATTCGAAAGCCTTATGTCGAAAAGCCCGTCAGTGGAGAGGATCACAATATCCACATCTACTTTCCACGATCGATGGGAGGAGGGGGCCGAAGGCTGTTCAGAAAGGTCGGCAACAAATCCTCGGAACATGACCCGAACCTGATCGAGCCAAGAAAAGAGGGCTCGTATATCTACGAGGAGTTCATCAGTGTTGACAACGCCGAGGATGTCAAGGTGTACACCATTGGTCCCCACTTCGTCCATGCCGAGACTCGCAAGTCCCCGGTCGTAGATGGCCTGGTGAAAAGGAATCCAGACGGTAAAGAGATCCGTTACATCACAAAGCTATCTGAGCCTGAAGTGACGATGGCAACGAGCATTAGCAAGGCCTTCAAACAGAACATCTGTGGCTTTGACCTCTTGCGGGTCGGAAACAAAAGCTACGTCATTGACGTGAATGGATGGAGCTTCGTTAAGGGCAACGACTTCTACTATGACAAATGCGCAGAGATCCTTGGCAACTTTTGCAAGCACAATGTTCCGCCTGTTCGATCTCTTTCTTCTGGTAGTGAGACTGGCTCAACAAGTGAGCAGTCTCAGGCCTCTTGGAACCTGAAAGCAACCGTCACCGTTTTCCGTCACGGTGACCGAACGCCAAAGCAGAAGCTGAAGAGGAGCTTCAAAGCCAAAGATTCTTGGACGGCTCCACTTATCGATCTCCTACAAGGGCGAAGGGAAGAGATCATCCTCCGACAACAGCTTGACCTCGTCTCTACGGCTGCTGAAGAGGCTCGCAAGCTCGACGGCGCTCAGACAGAAGACCTTGATCTTGTCATCGATGTCATCAACCGTAAGAAGGAGATGCCAGGTACCAAGGTGCAGATGAAGCCGGCATTCAAGGATGGTAAGCTAGACAAGATGACATTGATCGTCAAGTGGGGCGGCGAGTTCTCCCATGCTGCTAGACACCAAGCCAAGGACTACGGACAGAATATGAGGAGAGACATGATGATCATGTGCCCAAAGGCGCTCAAGAACTGTACCATCTACACGAGCTCCGAGCGCCGAGTCACTGCCTCTGCTGAGATTTTTGCAGCATCCTTCCTGGACGACCCCGAAGAGCCATCGCAGAAGCCCCTCCAGCTTGTCATCCGCAAAGACCTCCTAGACGATTCGAATGCGGCCAAAGAAGACATGGACACTGTCAAGAAGTCCCTCAAGGCCAGCTTGAGGGCAGACGGCGTCGATGCTCAGAAGCGACCCGAGCATTGGCCTGAAGACATGGCGCCTCCTGCTGAACTCGCCAGACAAATTGCGGCCATCTTGGCCCATCTGTCCAAGGTGATGAAGCAGAATTTCCAGAGTCTTGACGTTGAAAAGATTCAGAAGCGCTGGTGTACCCATGAGACCCCCAAGTTGTTCCGCGAGAGGTGGGAGAAGCTCTTTGCCGACTACGAAGAGGAGCCAAGCGATCCATCGAGAACTTCCGAATTGGCAGACATGCTAAGTCACGATGGTCTGCACAACCGGCCTTTCCTCGAGGCCATCTTCAGCGATCCTGCTGAGACCGATGAGAAGAAGAAGCTGGAGATGTTGCACGAGCTTTATCGTCTGAGCTGCGTCTTGTTCCATTACGTCTGCCCCCGCGAGTACGGCATTGAGCTGGAGCAAAAAGAACGCATCGGCCTTCTTACCTCCATGCCTCTGATGAGGAACATCGTATCTGACCTGGAGCGAGCCGAGGAGGGCAGTCTCTGCTCCCTCTACTTTACAAAGGAGTCTCACGTGCATACGCTTCTAAACCTCATCCTTGCTTCCGATCTACCCATCGTAATGCCCCGCATGCCACCATTGGACTACTTTAGCTCTATTACTTTCGAAGTCTTCGAGAAGACTCCATCCAACACAGGTGGGGCGAATAGCACTACTGCTTCGCCCCGGCCATCACACGATGCCGGATCAGCAGCGGCCGCAGAAAGAGCCCCTTCGCCGATGTCTACCACCCCTGCAACAAGGCCGGAGCGGTCTCTCTTGATCACGGTTTCGGAAGGAGCCTTCTCATCGAACATTCTCTCCATTGACCTGGACGCTCGCCATTCGATCCACCCTCTGCCCCGTAGAGCCCTCACTCAGCACATTGAGCTATCGGAAGCCCTCTCGAAGCTTTCCGCCCATGCTTTGAGCGTGGAAGACTCGAAGATGCTCGCTCGTGGTCAAATTGAGGGAGCTGCCGTCTTCTTCGGTGAAAAGGAAGCAGAGAGCGAGCATGGCTTGCTGCCCGTGAACAAGGCGAGCTTCTCCCACAGCCAAGCCAGCAGCGTTCAAGGAGAGGTGACGGCTTCCTCGTCTCCTCCGACGCCGCCGAAGCAAAAGACGTCCAAGCCAGTGGTACTTTGTGGACCTTCGGGAGTGGGCAAAAGTACCCTCATCAAGAGGCTCTTTGCAGAGTTCCCAGATGAGTATGGGTTCAGTGTAAGCCGTGAGTATGACATAGCGCAGTAAGAGACGAGGAGTTGGGTAGGGGAAGTCTAGTGGCTGACCCGATATCTATTTGACTTTCCCAGACACCACCCGTGCACCACGCCCAGGGGAGATTCCCGGTTTCCACTACCACTACGTCTCCCGCTCCGAATTCGAAGATCTAGTCTCCAAGGGTGCCTTCCTAGAGCATGCTACCTTCGGTGGCAACATGTATGGCACAACCATTGCCGCCGTCGAAGCCGTTTCCAAGGAGGCTGGCAAGCGAGCCATTCTAGATATTGATGCCCAGGGCGTCAAGTTACTCAAGGCCAACCATGCCCACTTGGATCCATTGTACCTCTTCGTCTCCCCACCTAAGCTCGCGGCACTCTATGAGCGATTGAAGAATAGGGGGACAGAAACGCCCGAGAGTGTACTCAAGCGACTCAGTATGGCTGCGGGGGAGATGGCGTATGCTCGAGAGGATGGCGGGAGGAACTTTGACGTCGTAGTCGTCAATGATGATCTAGATCGGGCATACCAGGTCTTCAAAAAGGCGATTCGAGGAGTGGGAGTACAAGAGGTGGGGAGTGTTAATGGATCTGAAGAAAAGGGAGAGAAGGGAGATGCTATGCCTGTTGAAGAGGAGGAGGGCTCAGTGCTTGAGCAGGCGAGAAAGGAAGTCGAGGATGCAAAGGCCTCGTCTTAATGTCGATGGCCATCTTCCACTGTCACTTCGTTTCTTCTTTCGGCTTCATCACAGAGGTCCCGCCCTCGCAAATCTATTATATGGCAACGCTTCTCACTCCCCGCACCCTAGCCTGTATAGCAATGGTATGAACAATGCATTGTATTCCAGTCCCTTGTCGCTGCTCTGCATGCATGCACACGAGCCCTCCTGCGCGACCAGTAAATAGCATCTACACGAATCGTTCCTCCTGCTGATCGTACTGCTCTACCAGGCCCAATTCTTCCGCAGGCCTCAAGGACAAGGCTGGTTGGGGAGCAGGCGCCAGACCAATATTGCTGGCATTGGATCCTCCAGCAACGCCACTGGCAGCCCCAGCGCCCCCTGCTGGACGACCTGAAGAGTAGGCGGGTGTGGCCGCGGTGTTGGCCGCTTTGTTCCGCCGCTTGATGAGCCCACCTGTGGTGCCACTGCCACTGCCGCTGCCGCTGCCGCTGCTAACGGTGCTCCCTGAAGCATAGGCTCCTCCGTTGCCCAATCCCTCTCCAGCTGCAGCAGCCTCCTCGGCTCTCATCCTCTCTGCTCGGCGAGTGAGCGCATCCGCCGCAAGTAAAGTCACTACAACGATACTTGCTAGTCCAAAGACGAGTGCGAGTGCCCTCCTCGTCAAGTCCCACTTGATCGACTGCTCAATCTCCGTCTTTAAGTCAGAGAGAGAGATGGTAAAGCGATTGTTCAAATCTTGGATTTCTTGATCGAGAGAATTCTGCTCCTCCTTGGCTTCGCCTTTGCGGTTGTTCATGTCGACTTGAATGTCGTGCTTCATACGCTCAATGTCTTCTCTCATGCGTTGACTTAAGCTGTCCACTTCACGCTGGAGAAGAGTGGTAATAGAGCGTAGAGCAGCTGCATCGTTTCTTGCTCGGACTTGAAGCTCGGTACGTAGCTCAGAGAGGGCAGCTGTGAAAAGGTAGCGTTGATTCTCGACTTGGACACGATTCAGCAGGACGTCTAGGGACTGAGCCGCTTTGCCTTGGATGGAGGCAGTAGTCAGCTGCATGATTGCTTCGGCCGGGTCATGAGGACGATGCAGGGGTTGGGTAGATAACTCTTTACCGGCGGCAGTCGGAGGAGTACCGTCCTCTGTCTCCTCTTCGATCGAATCTCTCGCTTCGAGAGGTCTGCGATTCTGAGCCTCCGTGATCCACCTCAAGACCTCTCGTTGCCGCTCTTGGCCTTCTCGGTCATTGCCACGAAGCTCAGTCGTGGCCTCTTGCAGCCTCTCCGCATTGAGGAACCCAGCTTCTTCCAGCCTCTTGACAAAGAGCCGCGTGTCGAACAGATGGTCGAGCGCAGGGGATGGAGGTCGGAACTCTGTCGAGTCCATACTTGGCACAGACGTCGCAGGAACAAGAGGACCATGGTGCGCCTCGCCGCCAGAGTCTGCCCCGGATGGACGAGTTGAGGACCCTCCAGCAGATCCGCTTGCCACACTCGATGTATATGCATTGCCGCCACTCGAAGAGCCGCTACCAGAGCCAGTCTGCGGAGGAGGAGACGAGACTGGACCAGCCTGGTGGATGATATGCCCCTCGCTGTCGAAATTGACAGTGGCTCCACCACCTGCCATTCCTAGTCCATGAGCTGGCATAGGCCTATCCAATCTCTCCTGCGCTTGTTGTAGCCTCTGCTTCAGAAGCTCAGAGGAGCTCGGAGAAGAAGGAGTTGAAGATGATGAAGAGGAAGGTCCAGCCGAGGATAAACTTTGCTGTGAAGATGACGGCGGCGCTTGTGAAGTGGATGCTGACGAGGATGAGGAAGAACCAGCTGCTTGTTGCTGCTGCTGGGACTTGGGCTTGATGGTCCCGCTGACCGTCTCTCTCGGTTGACTGGCCCCTGCTGATGTTGCCGAAGTCCCTTGAGCCACCGTATCCTGATCCTGACCCTGAGCACTAGCCTGAGCCTGAGCCGCCTGTTGTTCGCTAACCCTCTTGATACTCTGCGACTGCTGCTGCTTCTCTGCCTCCCTCGCAGTAATCTCTGCCTGTCTCACCTCTGAGCCAGATCGCTTATCAGTGACTCGTACTGTTGCAGGGGGAGGCGATCTCTGCTGCTGCTGCTGTTGGCTCTGCTGGCTCTGCTGGCTCTGCTGCTCCTTTTGCTTGCCAGCCTGGGCCGCTGCATCTTTAGTACCCTCCTGCTTCTGACCCTGCCCCTGCCCTTGTCCTTTGAGAGGCGGCGATGGTGAGGCGGAGGACGAAGACGAAGCTGGCCATGCTGAAGGGATCGAAGCATGATAGCTTCGACCTAAAACCAGCGGCAGGCCAGTCTGAGCCGTACGCCGACTTCTGAAACGCTGTACCCTTCGGAATGGGAGATGGGACGGGAGTACGCGAAGCTGCTGGGTCGAGGCGACGGCGGTACGGCTGGCAAGTGAGTAGGAAGCGACGAGGCTCCGCCCGCGAGCAGGGAGCATGTGAAGGTGAGATGGAGGAGGGGTGAGGATATTGTAATGGCAAGATGGTCAAGGGGATGGCGGGGCGAACGAGGGGTTGTGTTGGTCTCGCAAGCGTGGGCCAATGCAACTCGGACCCGCGTGGACGGGCCAGAGTGGAGCAGGACAGTTAAGACAAGTCGTACATTTAGCACTTGCCCGCCACCTCGCGCCGTCTCTACCATCGACCTCACTCGCAAACACACCCACGACATGTCGACAAAGGACAACGCAAACCCCATCGTGCACCGTCCTGCGGGTCACGCAACTGCCAAGTCCACTACTGCTTCTACCTCTACCGAAGACTGGTGGCGCGACGAGGCGATCCATCTTCCTGACACTTCCTATTCAAAGAAGCAGGGGATCGCTGCGCTTGATGAGGGAGATGATGATGGTATGGACGAGGATGATGTCAAGGAGAAGAGGGAAGAAATTGATGCTGAAGAGGTCTTTGGTGAGTATGCCCTTTGCGGTCCCAGTGATGGTCCTCGGCGAGGCTAGAGAGCGCAGCTATCCGGTGCACTGTACTCACCGCAACGCTCCTTTTTCTCCCTCACATCAGACCTGATCCGCTCAATCAACGACCCAGAGCATCCTCTCACTCTCGAGGAGCTAGCAGTAGTCAATGCCTCACACATCACAGTCACACATCCAGACGACTATCCAGGAGCGCCTCGATACCCCGCTGTGCGCATGGAGTTTACGCCTACAATTCCACATTGCTCCATGGCCACGTTGATTGGTGAGTTGGCTAAAACGGACTTTATATCTGCTTTTCCCGCTTTGAGACCTGATGAAATCTCTCCTCGCCTCTCCTTCAATTCGCTCCCCCTCCGCAGGTCTCTCCCTCCGTGTCCGTCTCCTACACGCCCTCCCCCCTTCCTACAAAGTCGACATCTCCATTCGCCCAGGAACACACCAGTCGGAAAACAGCATCAACAAGCAGCTCAATGACAAGGAACGTGTTGCTGCTGCTCTAGAGAATGAGCATTTGCTAGGAGTAGTGAGGGGATGTTTAGAAACGGCGCAGAGGAGGGGTAGAAGTGAAGAGGAGTGGACGAAAAAGGCTGAAGAGGTGGCGAGACAGATTGGGGTTAGTGCTTAGAGGATGCGGAGGAGATCAAGGCAGCCAGAGCATAGGTATAGATGGGGTTCCCTTTATTGTATATCACTAGTTGTACACAATTTCTCATTCACAGCAATCCAAAACATTTAGATTCACTCAACAATGTGCAATCTACCGTCTGATCTAAAGGAGGAGCAAAGGGGGAAATGGTAGAATGCAATGCAGTCGTGTATGTATGTGCGATCCTTTCCCGACTCTTTTCTCCTCCTTCCTCTTCCACGTCAGCTCAGCTCAGCTCAGCTCATCGAAGGATCACCAGTCCCACCTGCTGCCCCTCTACCCATCTTCTCCGGTCTAATCCTCGCCCGTCCAGTCAAAGGCGGCGCAGGCCCAGGTATTGTCGTCGACTCTGTCGTCCTCGCAGCCCCGGCGGGAGCATCAGCACCATAGGGCCACGGTCCCCTCTCTACCGTCGACACGCTAGAGGGGGATGAGGAGGGCAGTGGTACATTCGACGAGAATCCGGACCCAGTGCGTGGGGAGCGAGGGGTCATCGTCGTGCGAGCGTGCTCCGTCTGTTGAGATTTGCGACTGTAGCCTGGTCCTTCGCGAGCGTGAGGTATGGGCACTGCGAGGCTCGAGGCCGCTGCAGTCAACCCGAGAGATTCGCCGCTGTTGGATGGGGGCATGAGGAAACGCTCCTCCCCACTTGCAGAGGCAGAGGAGCTGGGGGAGAAGGCAGCCGAGGAGGAGGGGGGAGAGGTGCTAGCGGTGGCAGTCGATGTGCCAAGACGGGGCGAGAGCTGACTGTAGGGTGAATCTCGAGAGGCTCGGCTGGTGGATTGGAGGGATTCGCTCTCCTCGGTGGAAGACTCATCGTCTCCGTCATCTGCTTCGATTCCATACCTGCTCGGCACCAGACCTACGCCCTGTCGAATGCCACGCCTGGATGCCGAAGCATTAGAGCCGCCTCTGCTGGAGCCAGATGGACCAGCCGCTTTGCCTAGGCGGACAATGTCTGTAAGACTGGAAGCCCAGCTGCCCGAGCCTTCCACTTCGCCGAAACCTCCGACGGAAGCGCTAGCTCCATTGCCACCCCCGAGTTGCTGAGGGTAATTATGATCATCATTGATCGAATCGTCGATGGAGCAATCGGATGCGGCAGAGGGAGGCACAGCAAGCGCTGCTTGACCAGAGTGAGGCTGAGGAGGCGCGTACTGGTCGTAATTATTAGGAACGTAATGAGAGGTGGGCCGCGAACGCGTGCCCATGCTCTCTTGCGTCTTTGTACGTCTTCGAGTCGACGAGCCTCCATTCTGACCTCCAACAGAGGTGGAACTAAGGCCCTGTCGCTCGAGCTCATCAAGAGCTTCGGCGCTGTGGCCACCTTGAGGCCCGCTAGTGGAATTTTCAAAGGCATCCCATGCGTTGCCGTATCTCGATACGAGACTTCCATGTGCCAAGTCGCCCGTTGCTGACGACGTCGGAACAACGTAATTGTCGAATCGTCTTGTCACGGGAGGTGCGCGTGCCGTCGACGTAAGACTCGGGTCGTTCTGTATGAGGACTTCTCTGCGTAGGCTGTTACGTCCAGGGGGAGGACTGCGCCTCTGCGGGCTCGGAGTTTGGCTTCGCTCCTCCCAAGGGAAGACTGCCTTGACCTTCTGTTCGTTTGGCTTATCGCCGCCCAGGTGACCGTACGTGTGGATCTCTTTAGCCTCAGGTGGGATATATCCGAACCCTCTTCCTTCGGCTTGAGCCCGAGCATTTGCGTTGAAGTATACCCGCCTTCGCTCTGCCTCTGTCTGTGGGTCCTTGGCTTGATCCCAAGCGTTGGTGTAGAAGGCGTCGATCGGGTTGCGCATCTGATGACCCTCTGGGCCTGAGACGGAAGGAGGGGGACCAATGGTCGCGTCCCATGGAGAGACCTCGAGCTCGCGCCGCTGCTGCGTCGGTGTGGGAGGCGTCATGACTTTCCTGGCGGCCACTAAGTCGAAGATGGGAGCCAGTAGGGCCACACGACCAAAGAGCGGCAGACTTTCGTACCGTCCTTCGGAAGCCCGGCCGGTCTCAATCTTTTGACTGCCGCTTCCGTGAAACATGGCCTTGAGCTCGTCGACAGTAGCTCCTCTGCTAGACGAGGCTGATGTGGAGCCGACAGAGTCCCATGCCGCATGAAAGGTGGGGACTTCGGCCACGACCTTCTTAGGTCGCTCGACCACCTCTACGCCCTTCTCAGTGATCTTGACCTCCAAGTCACTATCCTCGCCGTCAGCCGAGCCTTCCGTTGCCGTAGGATAGTAGCTATTGTAAACGTCCCACCATCGCGAGGCCATGCTCTTGCTTTCGCTATCGCTGCTCCTTGCAGGTACCCCGGAGCGTGTGAAGGTAGAGCTCTGTGCCGCAGATCGGTCCCGCCAGGGCTTGTCTTCGCCAACAAAGTGGGCAACGTTGACCTTGGATGCGAAACGACGGAAGGCTGGCGCATAGATGTAGCCTCCCAGAGCGGTAGTGTTGTAGGTGAAGCCCAATCGTGTCCAGCCGCCACCTTGTCCCTCACTTCCGCTGCCGACTTCGCCGCCGAAGTACTCGTTGATCAAGCCTTGGTCTGCCCCATCCCAAGAACCGGTGTTGGCGGCTAGCTCCAAGAGACCTGCGAATGTGTCTTCCGAAGGCGTCAAGACCATGACACCAGAGTTGAAGATGTCAGGCCAGCCAGTGTCAGGGGCAGCTGCAAATGCGTGGGGCGAAGCGAACAGATGGGCGAGAGGTTTCTAGTCGAGCGAGCGAGGAGGGGCAGAGTCAGTAAAGGGCGGTGAGTGGTGATCTCCAGATCAGCACTTCTACTCACGAGTACCAGGACATCGGCGTCGAGATAGACAATCTTCTGATAGTCGGTCAGCCTCCAAGTGTGGAGTTTGGTCAGAGCCGCGCCAGCGCTCATACCCAAGTCGATCCTTCCAAGCAGGGCGAGATTGTCGCTATTCTTGCGAGATACGTCTTGCCAGCTTCCATCGTGTGCAGTCTTGACTTGGCCGAGCTGCTGCATTGCGAGTATGCTCTCAACGCCCAGTGGCTCCACGCCTATCACCCGATCGAATACGGTGAGGAGGACACGAATGGTTTGTACAGAGAGGGTTGCAGGTGTGACGAGTGCGACGAGGTCGATGTTGCTCCGCTGGGGCAGAGGCGCAGACTTGTCCTTGCGCCATGGCCCGAGCTGGGGTATGGAGTCGCCCTGCGCATGGTCATCATCGCTGCTGCCGAGAGCTACCTTGTCTTGCTTGGACAAGAGGGAGGAGTGGGAATGTGCTAGGCGCAGGGAGTGTGCGGCGACGAGGGCTGCTGGCAGGTAGTCGTCTGTGGTGACTAGAGTGACAAAGGCATAGGCTGCACCACTGTGAGCAGCCGCCATGCTTGATGGTGTGCGTGTAGGTGTGTGCTGAAGTACTTGTGCTCTGCGTGAGCCTCCACCAGGGAGGAGGTTGGGGAGTGTGTATGAATGTAGGTATGTATGGATGTATGAGTGCGAAGGACTGAGGCCGTCTAGACCGTCATCAGCCTTGGTTGGCCCTTTGCCCCACCGGCCTTCGGTGGCCGCACGGCGTCTGAAGCTGACCTGCCATGCGTCTGGCGTCTGGGGCCCACGCAGCCTGCAACCTCCGCTATCTCGGTCAACAAGGAGCCCGCAAACTCGGAACGGAAGCACGTTCCAACCAGTCGAGCGAGCCAACAGCCAAGACAAAGCTCGCGACTGGGACTCAAAGACTCGCCCGGACCATGGAATAGCAGGGCCCAGTCCTACTCGATACCAGTGCTGCCTCTGCCACCCATCATCATCGTCATCGTCGTCATAATTGCCATTGCCATTGCCATCGCCTCTCTTGCCAGCACCGCGGAGCCAGCATGAGCTCCTCGGGTGGCAGCAGCAGCGCCCACAATGGCGTAGCTACCTACACAGCTCCATGGCCAGTCTATGCCCTCGCATGGTCCTCCCACACAGCCTCACCATCGCCCTCGTCCTCTTCCTCATCACTGCGTCAACGTGGACATTCATTCACCGCCCCCACTTCCCCTAGCCGCTTTGATGATGGGGCGCCTCCTTATGGTGCTCGGCTGGCCATAGGAAGTCTCATGGAGGAGTACTCCAACTCCATGCAAGTCCTGGGATACATTGGAGAGAGGGATGCAGCAGGGTGAGTCTCGCCTCGTAGCACAAATATACAGGTCATCATTGCAGCTCGCTGATCAGGGGCCTCCTCTACTCTCATCTGCCATTTCACTCCTCAGACAGCCGCGTCTGTCGATGCTAGCCAATGCCTCCCATCCCTATCCAGCAAGCAAGATCGCCTTCCAACCCTCTTCTCTCTCCACTTCTTCCTCCTCTACCTCCCACTCAGATCGAGATCGAGACCGCAATTACATGTCTCCCAACTCCAAGCTAGCCAAGCGAGGCTCGTGGGGTACTGGCAACCAGAACAACAATCTGCAGACTACTCCCTCCCCTGAGCCGCACTTGCTGCCCAACGATGAAGCTCACGATGGATTTCCCAATCGCGAATTGCTGGCTTCAACGGCAGACTGTTTGCGGATATGGGAATGTGCGAGGAATGCAGATGGAGGACTGTCGTCACCTTGGGGCTCGGATCAGTCTCTCAATGCGGGATCGGCCGAGGATGAAGAGGCATCTGCTGGGCTGGGGAGTGGGCAGAATGGCTTCGTGGGCTGGAGAGGCAGGAGTGGACCACCTGGCAAGACACGGTTCAACTTAAGGGAGAAGAGTGTATTAGCACATGTGAGTCGCAATATGCGGAACGGCTGATCTATCAAGGACGACTTATTGACATCTGCCCGGCCATCCTTTGCCTACCTTTTCCAACCATCTAGTCCAAGTCCTCGACGTCCCCACCGGCTCCCCTCACCTCGTTCTCCTGGAATCAGCCCTCCCCAAATCTCATCGTCACCTCTTCCATCGACACGACGTGTACGGTCTGGGATCTCCCCACCCGAACAGCCCTCACCCAATTGATAGCCCACGATCGAGAGGTGTATGACGTCGACTGGTGCCCCGGTTCCAGCGACGTTTTCGCCTCAGTAGGAGCCGATGGCTCCGTGCGTGTCTTTGACTTACGGTCATTGGAGCACTCGACGATCATCTACGAGACTGCTGGTCCACCTCCGCCCAGCTCTAGCTCGAGACCAGGGACAGGCATGTCCACCAGTTCCTCTTCCCGCAATGGCTCTACTGCAGGAGGCGGAAGTGGACCTGCTGCCCCCTTGCTACGAATCGCCTTTAATCCCTGGGATGCAAATTACCTCGCCACTTTCCACTTGGAGTCCGATTCGATTCAAATTCTAGACGTACGCGCTCCTGGTCTGCCCATCTTGGAGCTCAAAGGTCACAAGGGAAGTATAAATGCCGTTGCCTGGGGTCCCCCTTCGCTCGCAGGTCTCGGATCTTCCCATTCCCTTACCACTACTCCCGGAGGCTCATCTTCTACAAGCAGTACCGGATCATCCATTTCAAAGGGTATGATCTGTACAGCTTCAGACGACGCTCAAGTCCTCGTGTACGATCTAGCCTCCAGCACGCTCCGCTCCGCCTCTGCTCAAGGTAGGCGCTCCCGTAGCTCCACAGCCCAAGCAGCAGCAGCAGCAGCCGCGGCCGCCGCCGCACAAGCTTCACCCGGCGGTGCCGGTGCCGGTGGTGGTGGTGGTGCCGGTAGTGGTCGACCACACTCCCTGAGCAAGAGCATCTCCTCTGCCTCTCTCTCCTCTGCAGGTGCAAGCAGTAGTCTCTGGGGAGCTGGAATCCCCATTGAAGCACCCTTCATGGCGTACGAAGCACCAGATATGGTCAATAACGTAGCGTGGTTTAGACCTGCGGGATTCTCCCCTTTCTCCTCCTCTTCCTCTTCTGCTGCTACTGGGGGAGGGACACATGGTCGAAGTGCCTCGATTGCAGCAGAGTGGAATGAATACACGGGAAACGCTAAAGGCGCGAGTGCGAGTGGTGGACAGAATCGCAGGGAGGATTGGATGGTCTGTGCTGCCGGGAGGGAATTGAGGGCATTGAGAGTTGCCTGACACCTCAAGGAAGGTAGGAAGGAAGGAAGGAAAGGACCTGTAGATATGAATACGAATTGGATTATAGATTGTCGTCGTCGTTCGTCGTCACATCCCCAGCCACCACCACTATCAGCTAAGACTGGGTGATCAGTGACCAGTGACCAGCAGCTCTCCAGCCAGTGAATGGCAGCACGTACGGCACAAGCGTTCTTCGATCACAAGTATCATCTGAGGTCTCATTGGCTGGCTGTATTGATGTATACATGTCATGTCAGGTCAGGGAGGCGGGGGGGGGG